TAGGCTACTAGGGAGGGGGCACGTCGCCTCTAAATCGACGCCTTTATAGAACCACTAGTATAGAGCATACAAGTACTCGGCGTCATGATTAATAATAAGCTAAAATAGGGACCATAGGTGGTACACGCCGTCTCTAGAGCTCTCTAGATAGAAACCACTATACGCCGGATTATAGTATCTACGTAGAGAATAGCCCGGGATAAGGCGAGATAGCTATACGTCTCCCTAGCACGCCTAGCCTTTATATATAGATACGAGTACTAGTACACGGCCCTTATATAAGCTCGGCAGGTAAAGCTTAAGTCTATATAAAACCGTATACTCCGCCTTATCTCTAGCGTATATAAAGCTACTAACACGACGCTCCTCTAACGCGAGATAAATATAACAAGTATATAGGACTTCTACTAGATATAGAGACTTATATACTTTACTAAATAATAAGTATAAGAACGTAGAGAAGATAGGGTATATACCTTCACTATACTACGTACACGTATCCGCGCGTATTACTAGGCCCTCCCTACTATAGAATAAACTCGAGTATAATATAAATACTATATAGAGGCGGACTCGAGCTAGACCGCGTAGAAGGTTCAAAATAACCTAGATACCGTCCTAAGCTAATAGAGCCCTAAGGAGCTTAGCCGCGTTATACAGTCATAGATCTAGAATAAATAGAGAGAGATACTTAAAGCCTAGTGGGCCTCCTAATAGGATAGGTATCTAGAATAGATCCGAGGGCCTTAGAAGGAACTAAGTAAATAGATATATAAAGGGCTAACGAAGGCCTAAGTATCTATACTCCTCTAAGCCCGAATAGGCGCTATAGATCTCCTATATTACCTCTACTAGAGAGGCGTCCTAGATATATCTCCCTAGTGCGAGGACTATAGCCGGAGAGATATAATACGCCACTACCTCGCGACGTGCTCTAGCCTCTATACTCTAAGATAAGCCCTCGTCCGTATAATAAGGACCTCTAATATTATATAATAGCTTAATAAGTACCCTAAGGACGTCGCCCGATAGATACTTATATACCTTCCTCTCCTCTAGTTCTAGTAGACCCGCGTATATATACCGGAAGAAGCCTAATATATACCGGAAGAACCCCGGTATACGTCGGAAGAACCCTAGGAGAACCGCGATTATTAGTTAAGGGCAGCCCTTAACTAATAATCTCCGTACCTACACGTGCTGGCTAAGGGTAAACCATTATAATATAGGCTATAGGCCTATAGGTAGCCCCTAGGGCTATATATATATAAAGAACGAGAGGATAGATAGAGCGTAGTTATGGATATAAGGGAGTTTTTCCTATTCATAGGTTTCTTCTTATATAGTAGCTTAGACTAGAGGAGGCATGCGCCTATAGAGTGGTACTCTACCTAGTTTACTAATATTATTATTATTATTATAAGATAATTTACTTAAAGTCTTAATCCTATACTTACTTACTAAATAACCTTAATAAATATACTCTAAATACTTATCGGACTTTATAAATACCGCCCTATAGATTAAGCTATACTTCTTATAAAATAAGTAAGGGAAAGGTATCTTATTACTCTTATAATTAATTAAGATAGATAAAGTAACTCTCTATTTCGCTAGATTAGACTTAGAAGACTTAACTAATTTTATAACCCTAGATATAATAAAAGAAAAGAAAGAAGGGCTCCTTACTAAAGGAAGTTAGAATAACTCTCCGCTTATAAGTAGCTATAGAAGTACTTTAGGATAAAGTACCTTAGGAGAGATATTATATAATAAATTACTAGCTAGAGCTATAGAAAGATACGTAGACTCTAGTACGAGTAGTATAAGAGATAGTATAATATATAAAAGAGAGGCCTATAATATAATAGATAGCCTTAGATAATAATCTAAGGCTAAGGTAGATACCTATAGGGAGAGCTAATTATAGATACTTAGAATAGATATTCTAAGTAGCCTACTAGATAATTAAGAATAGAATATTAGTATTCTAAGTAATATACTAAATACTTAGAATAAGTATTCTAATTAGCGGACCTTAGTAGAACTATATAGACCCTTTAGACCTAATCTCTAGAGATAGTTCTATAGTAATTAATTTAAACTTATACTATTATAATTACTACTTTACTTACCTACTAGCTAGTTACTATTTATACCCTATTAATACTTACTATAAACCTACTTATACTCCTCTAAGCCTTCTAAGTATCTTTATCTATAGGAAAGCTAGAATACTCTATATAATAGACTACTTTAGGGATAAGCCGTATCCTTAGTAGAAAAGGTTTATTATAGGTAGCTATACCGGTAAAAACTTTAAGAATCTAATAATAGCTATACTTAAGAGATAGAGGATCGAAGATAGAGTTAGCTACTTCATCCTTAATAGAGTAAGTAATAATACTATAGCGGTGGAACTCCTTATAAAGGAACTTCCTAGTATAGGTAAATATTCACGTCTTTATTACTTTCTATACTACCTTAATCTTATCGCCTAGGCGCTTCTTTTTAGTAAGGATAAGAATATATTTAATAAGTTATCTAAGGATCTTATCGCCAAGCTTACCTTCCTTTAAGAATAGCGGAAAAAAGGTCTAATTATAGTACTCTAGTCTATTATCTACTTTATCTATTACTCTACTAAGAGACGCTAGAGGTTCGAGGCTATATAGAAGAAGATTTATAATAAGAACACGCTTATAAAGGATATAAAGTTTATCCTAGTTTAACTAAAGAAGCTAGTTAAGACGCGCTAGAATAGCTATTACGACTTCATGGAGCGTAGCCTTATATTATAAGCTATAATTAATAAGTTTATTAAGGAAATTCTCTTCTAAAGTTAGCGACGTAGTAATCTATAGTAGTCTAACCGAGATCTCTTTATAGATACTAAAGATAAAGACTCTAATAATAAAGTAGTTAACTTAGCGAATAGAATCCTATTATTTATTATAGAAGGTAGACTTAATAACTATAACTAGAGTATTATTTATATATACGTTAATACTCTCTTATCTATTAAGAAAGTACTTCTATAAACTAAAGAAAGAGGCTATAAGGCTAATTATAGAGTAATCTAGTAAATTCTTCTATTAATATGCTTCCTAGAATTATACTTTAATAACCTTAGGTTTTCTAAATCTACTTCTATTATATCTATCGGTAAAGTATAGCCTAATCTACCGCTTAAAGACTATTTATAGATTATAATTAATAACATAAGAAGTAAGCTAGTAAAGTACTATAACCTAGTAAAGGAAAACGTTATATATTATACTACTATATATCTTTATTCTATATAGAAATACTTCTTTAAGTAAGATAATAAGGATCTAATAGACTTATATCTATAGGTATTACGAGATAGCCTAAAATTAGACTTTCTTATACTCTATTACTTATACTAATCTCTATTACCCTTCTCGCTACTATCTCTACCTCTTCTAGTTATATAATCTCTACCTTAGCTATTATAAGTAGAGTAATACTTAGATAAAATAAAGATAAAGGGCCCTAAAAGGTAAGAGGAGAATAAGCTAAGTATCTATCGTCGCCTTAATAGTAAGTCTAATCTTATAGATAGTCTAATCTAGTAGTAGCTAGATAGAAAGAATAAGTTTCTTTACCTTTATAAACTTATAATTAACGTACTCTCTATACTAGCTTTAAGCTATAATAATAAATATATATTTAGTAAGATAGAAGATATAATTATACTATAACAAAGTAAGATAAGCCTACTATTAATTAGCTATCTATAAGATTTAAAGAGTTAGTAGTATTATAGCCTTATCTATAACTAGTAGCTTACGTAAAAGTATACTAGTTAGTTTCTTATTAAATTTAGATGATTTAGTACTTAAATCTACCTAGGTATATACTAAGGCGTACGAAAATCGACTATATAGTCTTAAATATATGATATTTTAACTATGTTTACGAGATTCTTCGACTACCTACTAAACTTTAGTTTAACTTAGTTAACTTTAATTCTACTACTAGAACTAATAGTTTAGTTTAAATATATAGTAGGGTAAACTAAAGTACTTTAGTTTAACTTTAAATATAGGCATAGAATTGAACTGATTGTTTGATAGGAAGTCTGCTCACACCTCAACCTCACCCCCTGACCATGCAAACACCACAACATCACACGCCTAAAAGCGCACTTAAAGTCAATTGTATTAATTATATCAAGTATCACCATCACTATCGCCCTCTCTGCATCACTGTCATCGATACATACCCATCGTTTCTCAATCCCAAGTTACGACCCCAGCCCCTTTCTCGTATTCAAATACGAAAAATCCACACGGCCCCTTGAACTTCCACCATCCGTGGCCCCGGCTCTTCCACTATATCCCTATCCCTATACACAATGAGAAACTCTACAATCAACCCCAAAACGGTGTATATCCATCAATCCATCTCTGTCCAGCGTCGTCGTAGTATCACAATATTCTATAGCACATTGCCTATCTCTGCTGTATAGATATGTTACGTGTATACACTCACATACACGATCACGCCTACAAGTATACAACTGCGGATAACGCCATACATGTACAGATAATGGAAGATATAAGCAGATCATAGATCGCAAAATAGTGCATAATGACATTGCTAGACAAGAGGTCGAGAAAGAGGTCGAGAAGGATTGTCTTCTTTAGGTTGATCTATTGATTATGAGAAGGAATGAGGAGAAAATAGAAGAATTGGTATTTTCAAGGTAGGGGCTACATACAGGAGTCCAGAGGTATACTACATCGTCGCCGCCATTGACGAGTAGCCAGGAACTAGAGATCTCAGAGGCCTCATGACGTATCGAAGAGCGCGTATGTGGGTAGCAATATAGACATGCGCTGACGAGCGAACGACGTACCTCACCAGGACATGAAGACGAGCGCTACTCCGAAGCATATCTCGCTCTCGGGACTCGTACTCTTACCGGAGCGTATCCACTGCCTGGCGAAAACAATACAATACGACACAATCCATCAAACACCTCCCAGCGCTGCACACCAGCACAAGTACCAAGTTCTACTCGCACCATCATCCAGCCACTCATCTTTAAACGCATCATCTGCAAAGAACCTGTACGCTCTCTGTGGGTCAAACAGTGCGACGTTAGCCATGATGATACCGAGCCAGCCACCGCCCACGTCCTGCAGCCTGCCCTCGAAGACGGCTTCGAATTCCTCCTTGGCAAATTCCGAGCGACGTGTGAATGCGGTTGCGGGACAAAGGGGTAACATGTGGATGCCGTGGATGTATTCCGGTCTGAGACCGAAATATGTGGCGCAATCTGCTTTGTTCTCGAACATTATACCCACGACCTTGTTTGGGATGAAAGAGGGCGGGTGGATCGTATTGTTCGAGCGCATGAGGTAGTAGCTGTCCAGTGTGCGTGACAGGATTGAGAGCATGAGGTTGCCGCGCGATTCCATGGCCCTGTCGCCGATAACGTGACCCCACATCTTCAGGGCATATGCTGCGAACACGTCTTCGGACGACGACTCTTGGTCCTTGCCGTCGGCGCTCTCGAAGAGTCCCTTTGCCCATGAATGACCACAGAACCAGTCGAAGGAGCGGTAGAACGGTAGTACGCTGTCAGTACTGGAGTTTGCAAAGTCTTTGACGAGCATTTGCACCCAGGCTTTGTTCGTGCCTTGATGCAGCCAGTCGGGATCAAGATAGCCAATCACTGCTGCTGCGTATACGAAGTAGCCATAGTGAAAATGATGGTCGTTATAGTACGTATTGCCGAAGTCGAGATTCTTGTCCTCGTAACCTCCGCTGGAGACAATGCCCTTCCATGCAAGGTCGTAAACCAAAGGGAGAGGCTGCTTGTTCTGCACAAAAGTATTGAAAGCTGCCTTGAGCTTGGCCAGCCCAGCACGTGCGGCGTCTGGGTTCTGCGCTATGTCGTTTGTCACGTATGCAATAGTTGCGAACTTGGCAAGCGCTTTGCCGCTGAAATACATGGAGTTGAGGTTTGATTGCCGATCCATATCCTGCGATAGCTCAGATTGACCGTACCTACTCAATTGTGCGGTGAGATGAGGTGCGAAAGAACGAACATCTCTCTTCACGGGGCCCCACGGTCCAAAGCCCATGTCTGTGGGTAGGTTGCTTTCTACCATGGTAAATGTAAGCCTGTCCGCTTGAAATGCTGTCGCAACGCCTTTGGTGGTAGTTTGCAACTGTATGTGAGTTTTCGCTTGTAACGTCGCCACATCCATTGACTCGACATGGTGAGGCAGAGCATACATGAGCAACGGCTTGCCTTGAATGCCATGCTTTGTCCAAGAGAATGTATAACTCCCTACGTTCTCGCTCACAGAACCTGAGATGTCAGCAGATTGCGGGTATGCTCCCGCAGACCTATCAAACACCGCGAGGGCCTCAGGAGATTGACTGCCTCCGGAGATCTTGGCCACTTGTATGAGGCCCGAGAAGTGCTCATTGCCAGCAACTGTACTGTTGTCCCTTAATCTCAAGCTGAACGGATCGTATGGCTGGTTCGAAGGTGTCATATACAGTGCCCACATATTGCCGTCTTCCAAGACAGTGATAAACCTGTAGGTCGCACCGTAATCCTTACACGAAGCAGAGTCAACAAGAGCCGGACCGGTAAAAGATCGAAAGAAGACACCAGACTGGATCAAAGGAGTAGCATTGATGTATTTTCCAGTCACGAATCCCATACCCTGGGTCAATGGAAATTGTAGTCTCGTCCAATAGCACTCACTGGACCCTTGGAGATTGACGTTCACAGAAAAGGCCCGGTGAGAGTCAGTTGTAAGCCTTGTTTCTGGACCCAATTCCGCCGCAGAGAGGGTAATCGACTGGATGAATGTAGGGTTGAGGAAATAGCGAGACGGAGAATTCTGCGAGGATCGATCTGATACAGGTTGTACTACGAGCTGATTGCGCTCAATATGAGAAATTGATAAGCCCCAACTCTTCGCATTGCCGTTGCCTTTGCTCCACCAAATGGAGTATGGATGTGTCCAAACAGTATGCTGTTGCTCTTCTAGGAAAAGGTTGGCGTAGAACTTGTTCGTCTGAATGGGCTCCGAGGAATCTCTAATGACCCCTTTGCGCGGAACGGGATGGTACTCCTCGCGAGGAATGTTTCTAGGAGGCGCATTGTTGTCGATGGGCACAAAAATATTGCGCGCCCCCGCATTCTCTGCCATACTAATACTCATGTCGAGGGATGCCTGCTTCGACGGTAGGATATGGAGCATACTCGAAAGAATAGATGATCAAGGTGAGGTGATGGAGGTTGACGGACAACGTGAGAATCCACGATTCATGTGGACCTGAGAAAAAGCTTAGGTAGCTTTCGCCTGGTAAGGTAATACTGATGTGGCCGCACTTGCCCAAAGCTGGCAGATCTTGTCATACGATCGAATGAAGCGATTCGTTTGAGCAGACACAGGACACTACCAATCAGAGAGGGCATGGGTTGACTGGGAGATGATTTTGATATACTCTATTAACTCTCCATCATGTTCAGCTAAACCATAGGTCGCTCTGGCGGCAAAATAATTCCCTGCTTCATGAGCAACCTAGGCTTCGTACCATCCGCGAAAGTCTGCACTGTATTCCACTCAACGCCTTTCGGCATCCTGAGCGAGCGTTCGTACTGTGCTCTATTTTCGAATTCATGCGGTAGCTGGGTCGCCAGGTATCTTGAATTCTTTCTGACACGCTTCTCGTTGATGATAACCCTTTCAAGCTTTGCGTCTTTTCGATCGCTCGGCTTAACTCCTTCTTGCTTACGCATAACCTTGCCTTTGTTTCTCGCCTGCTCACGCTTCGTAAGGCCACTGCCGACCCATGTTCCCCAACCGGGAATAGTGTCGTCCACGACCTTTTCGTCTTCCTCTTCGACGAGTGCATTTTTCTCGGCCTCGAAATCGGCTACAGCATCATCACCTGCAAACCCACGCTTCATGATGTCGCGGTGCCGTATCACCAGGGAGTCCACTGAGTCAGCATCGCTGTCATCGTCTTGCTCGTCATTACCGTATGACACCGTTTGCCAGCCATCAGCATCTGGAGCGGAAACAACCTCTACTCCAGTCGTCTTTGGCTTCTGCTTCTGCTTCGACGGCTTCTTCGGCTTGAGGATAGTAGTTGTCTGTAATTCAGGCAGTGCTTGTTGTCCGTCGGATTTCTTAGTCATCTTGGGTCCTGTAAGCCAGGGGTTCTCTACGGGCTGAGCAGTTTGATCAAGACTCGTTATTTCGTTTGTCCTTGTTCTGTTGGATTTCGATTTTACTGACTGATTTTTCGTGCTGCGCGTTTTCGGGGTTTGCTTGTTGTCCAGGATAATCTTGACTTCTTTGTCGTCTACAGGTTCGTCGTCGGAGCTGTCGTGTTCTTCGAAAGCATTTCGAGCTTCCTTGGACGCCTTCTCCAAAGGTAGTTCTACAGGACCGTACTTCCGACGCCCAGCATTCGCGATGCGCTCCTCGGCCTCATCACTATCCGTCTCCTCGCCGTCTAAATCCTTCCGCATCTGCTTTATATCTTCATCATTCTGTGCTTGACGAGCCGCCTCCGCCTTCTTCATAAAAGCCATGTTGGCAAGCTTCGAACCGGGACCATCTGGAACATCTTGAGCAGATACGCGCTGCAGCTGGCGCCCAATCTTACGGGCCTGGCGCTCTTCTTCGTCTTCGACTTCGCTCTCATCATCGCCGCTACTGACATCGGAATCGGCTTCGTTTTCATTCCGTACGTCTTTGCCTGACATGCGCTTGCGCAGCTCCTCATTCCGACGGGCCATCTCAGTCACTCCATCCCTAGCATCATCGTCCCAAGCTGCTTTACCGCTCTTTTTCACACCTTTAGCCCATTTGCTCTCGCGATGCTTGGCGCCCATGCGCTCTTCTGCACGGCGGCGGTCATTTAATTCGCGCTCCTCCTCTTCCAAGTCGACTCTCTCGGCCTCAAGCATAGCACGCTCCTTCTGTTCCAGTCTCTCACGCTCTTTTCGGTGCACTCGACGATAGGACTTGCTTTTGATCTTCTTGATACGTTTCGCACGAACTTCTTCGCGGAAGAGCAGTTCTCGAGCTTTGCGTAATTCGGCGCGTCGGGCCTCGACTTCTTCCTGTGGCAGCTTTTTCGTTTCCAGTTCTTCGAATTGGCGAATCTTGTCTTCATCCGTCTGACCATTCTGTTTCATCAGGCCGCTCTGGAGTAAGATATTTTGAATGTTACTTTCCAGATCATTCTGTGGTTTGGTCGTGGGGAGGAATCGCCGACTACCCTCGAGCTCAGTTTCATCACCATGCTTGAGTGGAAAGGAGAGATGCTCCGCTTGACGATTTCGTTGCACTGTATCGGTCCATCGTTCAAGTGTCTCTTTGGTCTTTTTGTTGGCTGCAATGCGGTCTAATTTGTCCTGCTGTCGTTTGGGTAGTGGGACTTCGACTTTGGCGGGTATACCGTTTCGCTTCGAAGCCTTCACATCATCTCGCAAGATTTTTGCAGCTTGTCTCAACTTGGAGCCTGCCGTCGCGGGAATCAGATCCGCCAGGTCGATCTTCCCTGAACCAATCGTTGCTGAGTCTGATGGCGCTGATGCTTCGAGGGCATCATAGCCTTTTCTTTTCCGTTCCGCTGCTTCCTCGGCTGGTGTCATCGAGGAGATGAGATCTTGAAGTCTACGGAGCTGTTGAGGATCTTCTGTTTCGCCTTCTGCGTCTGATAACGATATGTCGGAAGGCCCGTCATCCTCCTGGTCGGATTCATTCGAAAACCCATCAAAGGCCTCCTCAGTATGACGCTTCTTCCCTCTGACGGCAGGCTTCTCATCTCCGCTATCCTCGTAGTTGTCTAGCATAGTGGCAAGATCAACAGCATCCTCGCCAAGACTATCATCACTATCCTCTTCCATCTCGTCCTCTTCATCCAAAGTCAGTTCCTGGTCGTTTTTGGTTTTCCTTTGCCGCATCTTTTTAGCTTGTGTGCTACTACTACCACGAAATGCGTATCCCTCAAATCTCTCTTCGTCGCTTTCGCCAAAAGCTTCGTCACTATCAATGTCACTATCATCTTCATCATCCACGTTGCCCATCTGCCATGTGTTGCCATCGCTGTCGCTTCCCTCGTCAAGGTCAGAATCCCCGCCTTTTCTGGCCGATTTACGATGACGTGAACGATCCTCCTCATCTTCGCCGTCCTCATGTTGTTCCTCGTCCGAGTCTGGTCTTGCCCGTTTGCGATCGGGCAGCGCTTCATCTAGGTCACCTAAGCGATGCTTGCGGACCTTCGACCGTTCAGGATTCTCGGCCTCGGCGATGGAGTACGCATTGAGGCTGCGCTTCTGAGACTTTCCAGATTTTTGTCGCGGTTTCTTGGTCTTCGACGACGAGGCCGAGACAACCGAGCTGCGTGCTATACGGGGTGCCATGTCGCAGATTTATGTGATGGGAAGTGCTTTTGGTGACTTCAGTAGGTTTCGCACATATCCATGCTTAGAAATTTAGACTGAAATCTTGGCGTCGTCTAAAATTCCTTTGTGACGCCGAGGTTCTTCCGCGGAGGGCGCCGCAAAACGCGGAGGTCTCGTAGGAAGTTGATACAGAGCTCGAGCATCGCCGACGAGTTTACCTCACGCATCAATCAATCACTTCTCCGATCTCCATCCTCACCCGTCCGTCGACCGCGACCGATCTCCATTTCCTCCCATACCACCACCATGTTCAAAGCCACGCCTACGCTGCAGATGTTCAAGCCTACAGCCAGTCTCCTCACAGCCTTCAAATCAACGCCAACACTGCAGGCCAAAGCGTACGAAATCAACACAGGCTCCTGGCGCAAATTCATCCCCCTGACGCCGAAAAAGGGTAACAAGTACTTCTACAAGGGCAACAAGGTCGGCTCGCATGGATCGTTTCAGAAGGGACACAATGTCCTGCAAAAGCGCAGGGTATATCGAGTTGATTATAGCAAGGTGCGCACGTATGTGGTGCCGGATCTGAACGGGTGCAGGGTGAGTCGGATACTCTTTCTTATCCACAAGAGAGAAATGCAGGAAGGGAAAAGGAAATATGGTCGGAGTTGGGTGCCGTGTGAATGAATGCTGATGTGTGATGTAGTTGACGCCGTTCACGAGCAAGTTGATCGAACATCCTAGAGACATGCCCAAGGAGCCCGGAGAAGGTAGTGACCTCGACCCAATCAAGGGCGAGGCCTTCCTGCAACTCTGGAGGGATTTGAACAGAGATGGAACTTGATTACACTGGCATATTCGAGCAGACGAGATGCATTGCGTGGAGTTCAGGGCTGGTCGCCCATCTGTATATAGTTGTACAATATCGTATATCCAGCATATGCTTGGTTTAGGACGGATGCTTAGAGACGCAGTCCAAGCCCTGTAGTGAACCAATACAGTATACTCTTTATATGATTCGAAAGCAAGACACTAGGCCAGAGGTATCAAGACGGTCTATTACCGCTATCTAAGGTATCACGAATATCTAAGCTATGTTCTTTGACCCAAATAGTAGTGTCTATGAGCACATTATCCAATTCCATCCCCTGTTCGGGCTGCTGTATTCAAACCACAAAACATAAATTGCACGTATACCAGACATTCATTAATCCAAGCAAGGATGATGAGGTCGAGTGGTTTGCCACGTCGCCTCCGAGATCTCGCGTGCCACATCTATGCGCCCGACTTGCGGGTAACTTTTGGACTGGTCGGGTAGATGGGGCTTTCGATGGCAGCATCATCACGCTTGTCGGCGAACTTGAATGCGCCATACTTCTTCAAGACGCGCTCAATGGCATCCATACCCTTGACGAGGTTGTCCATGCGCGGACCATACGAGATACGTACGAAGTGATGACAAGGAGAGTCAAACAGATCACGACGCTTGCTGGGATTTAAGTCGAAGAAGATACCCGGAACAACAATTGTCTTCTCCGCAAGCAGAGCTTGAAAGAAGTTCAGACCATCGTTGATCTCTATGGGCAGTTCAGATAGGTCGAGCCACAAGTAAAAGGTGGAGTTCGGGCAGTAGCCAAGAGAAAAGCCCATTGCCTCAAGACGACCCACAACATAATCACGCTTTGTCTTAAAGTGGGTCTGGAGAGCGCGCATCTCGTGACGGACTTTGTGTGGCTCAAGCATAGGGATTGCGGCCTCCTGGAAAGGAACATTGCAGCCTCCATCGAGGTACGAACCACAAGAGCCAATTGCCTTGATGAATTCCTTGGGTCCAATGACCCATGCGACTCTCCAGCCGGGCAGGCGGAAGCGCTTGGTCATACCGTCAATGATGAGGACGTCGTCTTCGTCCACATCCTCGACATTTTCGGCAGCTGAGATAACAGTGCCATCGCACTCTGTGGTGTAGTTGTAGCCGCAGTAAAATTCGTCCATAACCAACGTGGCACGGTCACGGCAGATATCCTGGATCTGGGCAAGCTCAGGGTTGGTGATCATCTGACCGGTTGGGTTACGAGGGTTGGAAGTCAGGATGACAGATGTACCACGGGCAATTTCCTCCGCAATCTTATCCGGGTGGATATGGTATCCATCGTCGCGAGATAGAGGAATAGGAATAGCGGCAATCTGGGTGTAATTGTTAGCTCGTCACTTTATGATTATACACAGGCCCCAGCGACTGGAGGAGCATACGTTACGGAAGAGCGACAACATCTCGTTATACGCCGTGTAGTCCGGAATGAAGAAACCCAGGTATGTGTTGCCCAAAACTGCAGCAATACGGATGAGACCAGCACGTCCACCGGGAACGATACAGACGTTCTCCCACGTGTACTTGCTCTCTTTTCCCTGTCTGTGATGCTCGTTGTAGAGATTGGCGACCGCCTCTCTCAAAGGGCGAATACCAGCGGTAGGTCCATATTCTCTGCCGGTCATGGTAACGTCAATCTTGTGTGGGCGGACGAATGTGCCATCGATCTCGTCCTCGACCTCGGGAGCACCTTGCCCCAAGTTGGACCAAGCCGCTGGGTTTTCTGCGAAGCCATGCTCGTAGGCGCGCTCTGAAGTCCAGACGACACCTGTAGAGGCACGAGAAGCATCGAGTCCGGCGTGAGGCTTGTGGCCCTCGTGAGCGTCACGGAACTGACGGTGAATCTGCGATTGAAGCTCTGTCGGAGGGGTAGCTCGTTAGCCAAGGCTAGTGTAGCGAAATAAGTGTAACACAAGGTGCAAATCAAAATTCAGGCAGGCATGAAGCTCGTGTGAAACAACAAAGGCTTGCTTACCATTTTCGCTCTGCTGGTTGGAGGAGAATCGACGCTCCTTGGGCTTGCTGATGCCTTGAAGCGACGAAGGTCGATTTTTGGTAGAAATGGACAGACGATGGGCGGGGAACGACATGATGGCAGCAGTACTGTAGTTCTAAGCTGGAGCTTGGAGGCTTGGTATTCCTTGGTAGTGGAGTTGAGTGCAAATGCAAATGCAAGCAGAAGCAATGCACGAGTTGAGGAAGAGGGAAATAATGATAATTAGAGTGGCCCGGGACAGCCTTAAAACCAAAAGTCGATGTTGACGGCGCGGGCAATGCAGGATCCTTGTAACTGTTGTCTCTCGTCTTGTTCCCACATTTCTCTTGCCGCTGCCCAAGTTCCCCTCTAGGTCTGGGGCTAGGTGCTGTGGATACGGTGAGCAATGAACACCAACTGGCGCTGAAACGCGTGGTTTTTCCACTGCCTGTGGTCACCTAACCCCTTAAGTAGCTAGCTTTGCTTATTTTTGGCCGCATAATTGAACACGAAATGTATTTGGCGTGATTCACTTACGCTGTCATCCACTGACCGAGCAGGTATACGCCACAGCTGAGCAGCCTTTGGGGCCGACTGGCCCGATCCGTAGCCTTCCAATCATCTCTCACTTGGGGGAGGCCGACGACAATGAAGAGCTATCATCACAACATGTCCAGAACGACGCTTGAATGGCTAGATATGGGACTAATAGCACCGTCTGCTTACTTCAGGCATGCTGCCAAGGACCCCATCTATTTACGCAGGATCCGTTTGTACTTTCTGGAGGCAATTTCCTTAATGCTACAATTCTGTACAGGGCTGAGTGATGCTATGTCTAATTAATTACTATTTATCTTCTTGAGTACAGAACAAAGAACCACTCAACCAAGTAGTTAACATTACCCCCGGAACCAATGGAAACTAGTGTTGAAATAAACTGGATGGTTCACACGCAGCTGGGCGCAGCAGCTAATCGGCCCGCACTCTGCGAAGGCATCCTACTCGGTGATAAACCCTCATTGCGCCAGGTCATGTCTCAAGCCATATGCAACCCTCCGGACGTTCTCGGTAGTTTCAGCCCGCTAACCATTACAGCGCACTTCAAAACGTGCTACGAGGTTCTAATCATGTACCTTAATGAGTAGAAGAGTCCTTCAATGTTTGATTCTATGTATATTTCTATGCCTCGAGGAGAACGCAGCTAAGCCGTGCAACGGCTACAGAGAGTAACATTGAGAGACTTATCCTATAAATGCCGTTGTCATATAATAAATGTCTAATCTTAATTATTCTTCATCAATAACCTTCAAGCCCTGCAAGATAAGAACTACGTCGTATTGTCGCAGACATGGGGTGATGTAAAAGTGACTTCCTAGGTTGCCTAACAACCTATAATTGATCGAGAAAATGTTAATGAAGATCATAGACTGCTTTGAGCTTTTATACTCTAGCAGTTCCTAATGTCTCTAGTACATACGTGTTTTATGACCTCCCAAGAGGAAAATGGAAAGACGCAGTTGATATATCTAAGAAGCAACGCAGCTTACATGGAACTTCAATAGACATCTCGTCGTTATATATTATGTTCTATAAGAATCAAATGCTCTAAGGACTTCATTGATATGAGAAAGGTCTACTTTTATCTACAGTAAGATGCTATAGTCCAGTTTGGTCTATAAGTATGTAGTGGTCAATGGCACAGACTGGCTCCGGGAGCTAGGCAACGGCACGAAGCTAGTGAAGCAGAGATTTGGAGAACTCGTTTACCAGACATCTAGATGGATCCATGGACATCCAAGAACCGCCACCCAGTGCATCACAAACACACAGCAATTATCACCTCTGACAACCGTACTCATGAACATAGACAGGTGAGTTATAAAACCGAAGTCTTATGTGTGTAAGAAAAACGATTTTCAACATCATCCCACCGCCCGATACATTGCACCTCATGTCAGTGTTCCCGGCCGAGTCGCATTCGCCTCGTATCAGCATTACTGCATACCAGTCGACCCACGGTTTCAACTACCCTTAGCCACGCTTGTTGGGGCCGTCCCAGTGTTTCTGTTGTGCCTCATCTCATCTGGCTGAGGTAGTCGCAACCACCAACACTCAGTTGCTCATCATGTTACGCAGTGCACTCTGCGCGTAGGAACCGCTGAAGTCATATGGAGTTGGTGGTGACGCCTTGATTTGCTTGATAGCTCCCAAGTAATTATGATGTTCTGTTCTCTCTGGGCTGCGACGTGTGGAAGTCCGGAAAGCACTGTCCAAGGTTCGGTTAAAGTAATAAATCTAGACCGCAAGAACGAGCGCTGAGGCTGCGCTGCCACCAATAAATCTACTCACCTGTCAGCCTACCTAAGTACATGCAACGCACAGCCACAACGATGCAAATAATATCATTCGTCATTCTCCACAGAACTTGCCTTCAAGTTATATTTCTAGCCTTATCGGGTTGTCTTCGTGCCTCGTTTTTGAACGGGACTAGGCTGGACAGCGTTCCTGTAGTAAATGCTTCCTGCATGGATGATAGGATGCCCGAATTTTGGGCTGCTGACCTCGCACATTATAAGATTCGTGTTACTACACACTGCATGCGTGAGATCAGCTCTAGTTGATTCAACAACAATGCGTTACGTAGGTACAATTTCCTTACGGCGTGACTAATTTCTTGCATGGTTTATCTAACTCATGTACTACCTCGCTGTGCAGTACAGTACAACATGATAACGTCAGGACGACTATATGGTTTTTTTGCCGGTGTGGGTATGTGATTCATCATCTAGAGACTTCATACTAACGGCAGGTAATGAATAGAAGTGTTATCATGCTTATAACACCGTCTTGATCTGCACCCAAAGTGCTTCGACACACATACGAAACTGCGTTTTCGTAATAATATCCTCTTCAATACGCGGTTATACACGCTGTAGTATAAGCATTCAAGAGGCCGAAGTTAGCATTTCAACTGGGCGATGCTGTTCTGGTGCAGTGCCATCAATCACAATCTACCAAGTGAGCCTTACTAAATCCCATCATGACTGGCAGAGTGAGACTTGGCATTTTTTGAACCACCATGACGACTCAACTTATATCATTACCGAAGATTGTACCTCAAATACAGATTTTAGAAAGAGAAAATTTTCAGATAGTATCTCCCAACGTATTCAGGATGGACTGATCATGCTGGCCTAATCTTCTGGTCTCGTCACAGAATATTGAACGAAGACTTTTCATTTGTATGGAGTCGGTTTTATCGAGAAGGCCTCCGATGTTGCATCTCGAGTTTCTCTGAGAAGACTATTTGGGGTGGTTTTAATCATTGGCATTTTAAGCTGGGTACAACGCTTCTTCATGCGCCATTATGTGATCGAATTATCTTTAAGAACTAGAGTTAGATGAGGTTCTGATGAAGACTCGTCTCTTTAGCATTACTTACTGGCCGAAATTGAGTTTGGTGGAGGGTTTAGCACGCGTCGTACGTTATAGCTTATTTATAGACAAGGTAGCAAATGTACGCACCAGGCCGTAGCTCCGATACCGGATTCGGCAACTAAATTTCATTGCGACAGCATTTCCCCACGTCATTCAGGATTTCTCAGTAAGTTCTAGAGTGACTCAGATCGTTCGCGCTGTAAACTTTGCGCATAGTCACATAGCAGCACCCACAGCTCAATTGGTCCCGAATGACCGGATTTTACCTTGCTTTTACCCTATAGACCACTAGGCCTGCGTCTATCTGCCATGTCTGCTGCCCTTCCAGATCCGACCGCGGATCTGCATTGGTCTTCATACAGAGGCGCAATTCACGAGATTTTTGCTGCAAGTCAGTTAATAGTTCCTGAGACATGACATGGCTACTACTGAACATATCCAGACGCAAAGAAACACCCGGAACGACCCTGTGTCATCGAAACCGCGACCTCCTCTACTCCGAGACGAGAATTCACCTATCGCCACATCTTTGAGGCATCATGTCAGCTCGCGCACAAGCTCACTTCCTCGGGTGTGCAACGAGGGGAAGTCGTGATGATATATGCCCATAGATCAGTCCACCTATGCGTAGCTATACTCGGTACATTGATGTCTGGAGCTACGTTTTCGGTCCTCGATCCGTTATATCCTCCAGATAGACAGATCATATATTTGGATGTCTCTCGACCTCGGGCACTAGTTATCTTGGAGAAAGCGACAGAAGAGGCGGGACCGCTCACTGAGAAAGTGCGAGACTTCATCGATACCACCTTACAGTTGAGAGTCGAGGTTCCAGCGCTGAAGATTGTAGATGATGGTACGCTTCTTGGGGGTATGGTCGATGGAAGAGATTGTCTGGAAGAGCAAGCCTTGCTGAAGTCGGATATGCCTGGAGTGGTAGTAGGACCAGACTCCACTCCTACTTTGAGCTTTACCTCAGGCTCTGAAGGAAGACCAAAAGGTGTCAAAGGACGTCATTTCTCGCTAGCATACTACTTCGATTGGATGTCAGAGCAGTTCAAACTTACCGAAAACGATGCCTTCACTATGCTCTCTGGAATCGCGCATGACCCTATTCAACGAGACATTTTCACACCACTCTTTCTTGGAGCCAGACTACTGGTCCCGTCAAAAGACGACATCCAGCATGAGAGATTAGCAGAGTGGATGCGACGCGAGGGGGCCAATGTCACTCATCTAACTCCTGCCATGGGTCAAATTCTTGTCGGTGGTACAATGACACAGTTCCCAACTCTACACCATGCTTTTTTTGTCGGAGATATCCTAATCAAGAGAGACTGCCGTCGCCTCCAGGAGCTCGCTCCAAATGTATGCATTGTCAACATGTACGGCACTACAGAGACACAGCGAGCTGTCAGCTACTTCGAGATTCCAAGCGTGACTTCAGAACCCGCCTTCCTCGAAAGCATTGGGGATGTCATCCCTGCTGGGCGTGGCATGAAAGATGTACAAATGCTGATCATAGACCGAGAAGACAAGAATAGACTGTGTGATGTAGGCGAGACTGGTGAAATCTATGTACGTGCTGGTGGGTTGGCAGAGGGCTATCTTGGGCTGGATGAAGCCACAAAGGAGAAGTTTGTGCCAAATTGGTTTGTCGATCCTCAAAAATGGATAGATGAGGACACGGAAAGAGTCCAACAGCAAGGCCACTCGGAGCCCTGGAGAGAGTTCTACAAGGGTCCCCGAGATCGTATGTATCGAAGCGGAGATCTTGGTAGACGAAAGGAGGATGGTAATGTCGAGTGCACTGGTCGTGTCGACAACCAGGTGAAAATACGAGGGTTTCGTATAGAGCTCGGTGAGATTGACAAGCACCTATCTTCGCATCAACTCGTCCGAGAGAACGTCACTCTATTACGAAGAGATGCCAATGAAGAACCGACACTTGTGTCGTACATTGTGCCGGACATGGGCAGATGGAACACGTGGGTCGAGTCTAAGGAAAATGATCGAGGACTTACCGTCCCACAAACTGACGAAAGTATGCTTGGAATGCTTCAGGTGCGTCTAGTCCAAATTGCCGTTAACAAGGTGTCTGACACTGTGTAGCGATTCTGGTCACTCACCCGTGATGTACGAGAACACCTCAAGACGAAACTGCCTGACTATGCAATTCCATCCGTGTTCGTTCCGCTGTATCGCTTTCCACTCAATCCAAATGGTACATTATTACCTTCACCAGCATCCTATAGACTCATGGCTAAACATGATAGGAAAAATCGACAAGCCTGCCTTACCCTACCCCGGTACTGATGATCTAGCATCAGCTGCACCGAGAAGAATCTCTAGACGCTTTTCACACACCAGCTCCTCACTCTCTGCAACTGAGAAAGAAGTAGCGAAACTGTGGGCCGAAAGCATCCGAACAGTAAGAGCAGACTCATTAGAACCAGACTCAAACTTTTGGGACCTTGGAGGCCATTCAATCATTGCACAAAACCTTACGTCGACTGCCAGAAAGCGATTTGAAGTAGATGTTGGCATGAGGACTATCATTCAACATCCGACATTACGCGAATTCTCCAGAGAGATAGATCGCGCGAGAGACCCTACAGGCTTGCAGCTGTATCCCAATGATGAACTTTCCAAAGTCAACTTCTTGGACGAGAATTACTCTGCAGATGCTGCAGAACTAGCCCATAAGTTACCAAAAGTCTTTGGCTCTGTCTCGCTAGATCCATCTGCGGCAACAACCGTATTCCTTACCGGTGCCACTGGTTTTCTGGGTGCTTACATTCTTCTTGATGTTCTACAGAGGCCATCGACTTCGGTTATAGCTCATGTAAGAGCGAAAGATCCATCATTAGGACTTGAGAGAATCAAGAAGCAATGTAGCGCCTATGGCATTTGGGATGATACTTGGCAATCGCGTATTAAATGTGTTGTTGGAGACTTGTCCGAGCCTAACCTTGGTCTTGAAGATCAAGTCTGGGATTCTTTGTCCAAAGAGGTCGATGTGATAATACACAATGGTGAGCTACTCTCTAAGATGTTGATCACTGTAATCTTACTGACCATGATATCTAGGCGCGCAAGTACACTGGATTCATCTGTACTCTACTCTCCGAAAAGCTAATGTGCTGAGCACTTTGGCACTGGTACAACTTTGTGCCATAGGCAAGCCGAAACAGTTTGGGTTCGTCAGCTCGACTAGCGTCTTGGATACTGACTACTACGTATCTCTCTCTGAGAGTGATACTGCGTTTGGAGCAGCAGGTGTCAGCGAATCGGACAACTTATGGGGCAGCCGCAAAGGACTCACGACCGGGTACGGCCAGTCTAAATGGGCAAGCGAGTTCATTGTTCGTCAAGCAGGTAGACGAGGGCTTCGCGGCTGCATTATCCGTCCCGGTTATGTATCCGGTCATCCCATCAGTGGCACGACGAACACAGATGACTTCCTGGTACGCTTCTTAAAGGGATGTGTCCAGACCACGCTGTATCCGGACATTCAGAACACCATAAACCAGACCCCTGTCGATCACGTAGCACGTACTGTTGTCGCAGCTACACTGAACCCTCCTACTGTTCCATTGGGTGTGGCGCAAGTAACTGCACATCCCCGTCTGTCTATCCAGGAGTTTGGTGCTTGTCTCGCGGTATACGGTTACGACGTCAAGAAGACGGACTATGACAACTGGAGAAAAGGCGTAGAGCGCTACGTTGAGACTACAGAAATAGCGAACAGAGAAGAGCACGCTCTGTATGTACTCTCTATATCTTCCACCCCAAACACTAGCTAACACATTTCACCAGACTTCCCCTCTACGAAATGGTCACTACAAACATGCCGGAAGGCACAAAAGCCCCCGAACTAGACGATATCAACGCATCTGCCGCCCTCCGCGCGGACGCTCAGTGGACTGGACAGGATCTCTCCGCCGGCGCCGCTGTAACAGCAGATACCGTAGGTGTCTACCTCGCGTACCTGGTAGCTATCGGCTTCATGAAGCCTCCTCCCGACGACAAAGGCCAGCCTCTCCCGCCCATCACCATAAACGACCAGCAACGCGCCGCGCTAGCCGGAATCGGAGGCCGAGGCCGAAAAGTATAGAGCGTTGTTCGTTCACATAAAAGTTCGAAGTAGAATATGTATAAGATTGTGCTTTTTAGGCCCGTCGGTCTTGTGTGCGGATGTTTTTGTTTGTTCCCTCTTGTGCTCGTCCTGCCCATACATATCTCTGCCTTATCGATTGTCTGGCATACACTATCGCTTGACTTCCCAAAGCGGTATTCTCACAATTCTCGCCCGCCAGTATATGAAGCATATAAGACCAGATTCCCCATGCCACAACCATATTCAATCCCATCCCACTCGAATATTCCTTAGCTTACGCACCACCAGAAAACCCAGCGAATCCAAGTGAGTGAGTGAGGGAGTGAGTATAGTGAGTGATAATGACGAGGAGGAGGATGAGGAGAATGAAGATGGTGAACACTTATCGCATTGCATTCTCGACATACCACGCACGGTACATACAGACATACACGCGAACGCGAACACACACCCACAGCTAAGTATCCCAACATATACTATATACAGGAAGACGAAACACCCCCTCCCCGCGCCCCCTCCGTTTTCTCCAGCTAACTACCTGCGAAACCAACTCTCGACATCGGCACGCGAGAACTCCAGTCCCGTCTCAGAATCATACACAATCCTGCGCACCTCGGCCGCGCGCTCATGGACATCAATGTACTTTGCCTCGCACTGCTTCGAGACCTTCTGGACGAGGTTGCGGCTCAGGCCCGGCTCGTCAGCATCGCCGAAATGCTTCTCGAGACGCTTGCGCAGGGCGTCGACGCCTTTGCGGACTTCTTTTGCGTCGAACTGGGCGATGACTTTCTTGAAGATGTGTTTGCCGTGAGAGGCGCGGTCGGCGATGCTGGTGGGTGGTGTGCCGGAGGGCAGGGCAACGAGCATTGCTTCGGTTGATTCGATGAATTCGATGAGTTTGCCGAGAGGGCGGCGGACGACGGCGTCGACGTAGAGGCTCATGTGCTCGTCCATTTCCTTCATGGCCTTGCCGCGCCATTCCATCAGAACGGGATCGCCGCGCTCGTCGACTTCTTCAATGTAATGGTTCATGTTCTCGATGTGTAGGATATGGTAGTTTAGAGCCTCCTTATCTTCTGGATCACCCTGACCTTGCACGGCCATCACGGCAGGGCTATCTTTTGCAATGACCTTCAAACTCTCGAACATGGCCTTGTTGACTTTACCATATGCATCGTCAACCATGGTACGAACTTCCAGTCGGTCATGCTCGTCGTAGGCAGGGACCATGTTTTCGATGGCCATTGAGAAAGGAGGGAACGTCTTCATGAATGCTATGACGCCTTTCCGCTTCTTGATCTTGACCTTCGTGTCTTCGATGGCACGAATTTGGTCATCTACAAATCTCTGAAATAGACCGCTCAATCGTTCGTTCAGCTTTTGCAGCGTGCGTGTCAAGAAATCTTGATTGGTCTCTTCGTATTCGGCCAGCTTACGCTGAACAGCATAAAGAATGCCCACACCTTGTCTGCATACACATCAATACGCGCAAAATTAATGTTAGCGGCACACTTACAAAGGGTCAATCTTCACTGCCCATTCCATGAGAGATTGCATATCCGTAGCCCAGAAAGAGAAAATATCATCCATTACATCCATGACTCGCTTCGCCATGTCACGGTCAGGCTCGAAAGGCTTTCGTTCATACAAATTAGTCCCTCGCCGTGCCTCTAGAGGTATTGTCGAAACTATTTCCGCGAAGTCGGCGTTTTCTGCAGCTGTGGCATGGAAGAAGTCAACAATGAAGTTCTGCTCTGTGAATATGAGAGGTGCCATCTCATCAAGCGCGCCACTGAATGATTGGTACGGCCAGAGCTTGTCTGATTGCTTATCAATATTTCGATCATGGTGACTTGAGCGCAGTCCTTTGGCGAGGGTCTGGCTCCGCTTTACGGTGAGCTTCCGAGCTGTTGTCGAGAGACTTTCATTTTCTTTCTCCTGTGGAGTCGTGAAAAGGAGGTCTTGCTCCTCCCCAGTTGGCTTGCGCGCCTTTTTTCGCCAAGCAGAATTGTTGTCACGCATTTCCTCTTGATAGACAGGGCCTGCTCTTTGCCGGTACAGCTTGACGAGGACATCCCAAGCTGCTCGATCGACCTCCTTGGCAAACAGAAGTAATGGGCTGTACTGCCATAGACCGACGCGAGCTCTGTCATGAGCTCCAATATCAAGTTTTGTGTTGATTTTTGCGTGATCTGAATTGAGCCTCTTGATTTCGTCCATGGTTTCTAAGAGCGCTGCGCCGAATGTCATATCGAGGAATTGCTTGAGTCTCTCCAAGAAGATCGTGCTTTCATCTTCGTAGCTCTCGCGCTTCTCTATTAAAGCACGCATATTTCCCATTTCATTGATGCCAAATGCCGAGTGTCGTTTGTTGGAATCGATGGCATCACTCATAGGGCTATCGTGCCGTAGCGACGGATCTATAGTTCTCATAGCCCTGTACAGCAAGAGCAGAGCAGATTCAACAGCTTCCAAGCCTTCGGTCTTACCGAGTTGTGCTCGCCGAAGGGCCTCAAGCTGACCTGGGGTGATGGACAGTGTATCAACTAGCTGCTGTAGTTCGGTCTGAAGAAGCTTTTGGTTCGCAGTTTGAACCTGTAGACCTTGGCCTTGGGCTTCAATATATGCGATATCGTCGTTGAGACTACTTAGCTCAACGCTGTACAGCGTCAGTAGGCCCTCCATCTCCTCACACTCGGCAATTGCTTTGTCAAGGAGTTTCTCAACAGTCTCGACACGATCGTCTTTCTGCTCAAGATGCCCGAGCCAACTCCCTGCTTCGACACGACCAAGTTCCCTGCGGATATCTGCTTCTATAAGCTCAATTTTCTTTGTTTGTACAGCGCTGTTACCCCAACCGAAGTCGGTCAGGGTTTGCTCAAAATCGAGACCTCGACCCTCTAGGAGAGATGCGTCTACACCTAGGTTGTCAAGATAACGAACTTGTTGCATAGACCGTCTTCTCTTCTTCTTCTCTGGCTCTGGCTTCTTCTTTTCTGGACTAGGGGATGGCTCAGGTACTACTTGTGGCTGTAATGGCAATGTCATTTCTGGTCGCGGCCCTGGGGACTGGGGACTCGATACTGTAAGCTGCGGTACAGCATCCGTGCTCACGGATGGCTTCGGGGGCTCTGGTTTTTCATATTGCTTCGGCGTTTCGACGGTAGGGCTGTCAATCGGCGTGGTAACGGCCGAAGGCGTAGGACTTTTCATAGACGGAGCTGGAACGACACCAGTTATACCATCAGGTTCGTTCGAAGCTGTTTTGGGCGCAAATCGGTCCGCAGCACCCCCAGCACGGGGTTTGAAAGCGCCATAGGTCTGAGCCGCTTTCCTGAGTATATCACCAGCAGTCTTCTTTTTAACCATAGGACCCAGTCCTGGTCGAACTGACTCGTTTTTCTCATCGGTGGGAGATTTCATAGAGTTTGGAGATGCCAATGGTGGCGAGGCCAAATCTTGCTGATCCTCTTTAGAGCCTGAGGCTGAAGTAGGCAATCGCTCGAGCTCTGAGGCGGTGGATTTTGATGTATCGTTCCTTTGTGAATCCATAGCAGGGAAATAACTTCCATTCTCAGGAGCAGGTACTTTCTCTGGTTCTATAGTTTCTTGGCTTGCACCTGAAGCAGTCTCGTTTATACCTCGTCTCCGAGGTGGTGGTCCTGGACTTTCCGTAGTCGTGGATGTCTTTTCGGTGGAGTGCTCACGGTTCGAGCTAATAGAATCATTGCTCATAGGTCCAGATATGGTAGGACGTCGACGTTCTGGGAGTCCATTGAGTGGCCGTGGTTCCAGTCGATCCTCATTTCTGGGAGGAGGTATACTGGAACCACTCTGAGCTGTAGATGGCCGTTGACTGTCAGGTGAAGCATCCTTTCTGAAGCGACCTCCGAGGCCTCCATTCAAGTTCTCTGATGAATCGTTTGGCCGACCTTTACGAGCATCGGGACTTCCCCGTGGAGGTATACTCGGTGTGGAGGACATGCTCTCAGGCGTAATGGAGCGCTGCGGTTCTAAATCTGAACGAGAAGATTGGGGCGTCAGCCGTTGTGCTGCAAGTAGCTGAGGTGGTATCGGGGATCTCCCTAGCTGATCTTGACTTGGGGATGGCCTCATGGCTTGCTCCTGAAGCTGCCGTGGCCTGGGCTGCCGTGTAGGGTCTCTACCAGGTGCCAATGGAGGTGACATTTGAGACGGTTCCGGAGGGATTCTCGGCGACCTCTCATCATGTCCCGACGGCGGTGGACGTACTCGACGGGGTGGGGCTTGCTGATTTTGCGTGTTTGAGAGATCTGGAGATGCACGAACGGGTGGCTGACGACCAGGACTACCACCTGATGATCCTGGGGGTCTCTGCCCTGGTCTAGTCTGAGAGGCTTGACGATTCCCCTGCTGAGCGCCTACACCTCCTAGCATTGCGTCTATCTCCACAGGACTAAAACCTAGGAGTTCGGGAACCTTTCCCTGGGTGTACTTGCGAAAAATTTTGACAACACTGGCGATGAAAAACTCTTTCTCCTTTGCAGTTCCAGCCTGCCAATAGTACGGTTTTGTCATTGTGACCAGAAACCCCACATCGCCGGCCCATTGCTTGTGATCCTTCTCCTCTGGAGTCTGAGGGTTGATATGCGAATATGATTGAAGTGTCGACAATTCCTCCAGTCCCCACGATTTTCCAATCGAAAAAGATCCGTTGGAGTTTTCCCTAGCTTTGTGCATCCGCACGCGACCAGTGTTCTTGACGGCAACTATTATAACTCTTGGTTTCTTGTTACTCGGTGGTGACTCTGGCGGCGGAGGACTTTGAGGATATGCACCATCTTCTTGGACACGAATATGAGTTATGTATGATTCCGCAACTAGCAAAGCAATTAGTCAATGCATCCCAATGACAGTATATTATCCACGCTATTGACGTACTTTGCCCGTTGGGATCCATTTTTGAGAAACACGAATCCATAAGTCGGCGTTTCTCGTCCTCAAATCGCTCAGCTCGATTGATGCTCATGGAAGAAGCCCCATTCGGAAGACCAGGCGACAAGCCCCTCCGAGGATCAGGACTTGGACGTCCATTGGGTCCATCGCCCTGGCCAGATCGTCCATACCCGTTCATCGCGATTGATTCTGACAAGGGAGGCTTGACCAAAGCCAATGTAGCTGGCGCAACTGTAATTTGCCAGCTCCCAGACTCCTTCAGCGTGCTCTGGGTGTCATGCTAATGGCGGCCACTATGTTCGGCAGGGCACTGAGGGAGAAGGATCGTCTCGAAGGGCACTTAGGGAATAGCTTTCCGGCAGCGTACGTCCGACAATGGCCTGAGTCTGATGGTTTGGGGGCTCTTGTTCTCGATTTAGCTTCAAGAGGTGATCTTCTCGAAGATACACTTTATTGACTGTTGAAGAGAGCCTTGTGGTGGGAGCCTATGCTATAAACAGCTGCGTCAGAGGTAGGCAATGACGTGTAAGGGATGCGAGCTTATGGCGATATGGTGATGCGCGTACACTTCCAGTATGCCGCTTACTACAGCGACAAAGTAATGTAGTCTCTGTTGGTGCCGCGCTTTGTCGCAAGTAGATGCGATTGTAGTCGGGAAGTGGTGAAGGTGCCGTGCAGAGTAGCGGATCCAATGCACCTGGTCCTCGGAGGTACAGGCGCCAAGCTGTGGGTCCTCAATCAGGCATAGTCCTCCTCTCCGCAGACATACTTAGGCATAGGTCAAGTATAGAACTGAAGAATAACTCAGTTCTTTAGGTTTACTATACTGTTAGACTACCCTCTTATGAATACGGGAGCGATAATTGCTATATACCTAGAAGTCTCTAAACATTCACAGGCTTTAGAGAAGTGGTGACTTCTTCCTAATTACATTTCTTACAGCGACGTGCCAAGATTTCCTGGACCCTGGCCGCTCTTAAAACTTTTTTTTTATTTTGTTGCCTCCACAACTTCACCCATTCTCATTTCTCCTACTACCAAAACGATCCTCGAAGAAAGATGGCCAAGCCTCCGAAGACCACCGCTGAGAAGAAACTCAACTCCAAACAAAGGAGAATCATACGGGAGAAGGCTATCGAAGAGGACCGGGCTCGCAAACCTTGCGCGCAGCCAGTCCACCTCGATGTCGTCAACAAGTTCTTCCTCGAATACAACTACGCGAAGAATTCCAAGACTCTACTCAGAGAGCATAATAAGCGTGCAAGAGCTAAAGGACTACCTGAAATGGACCGCATATATGGCCGCGCTAAAGGAATTCCTAGCTTGACTAAGCTTGTGGACGATTGGCTCGCGAACAACGAAGTAGAGTCTTCAGCAGCAAGCTCGTCCGAAGACGAGGATGGGGACGACGAGGCGAGCGAAGATGAGAGCGAAAGCAATGCTGTTGGGGCAGGCTCAGACAACGAGAGCTCTAGCTCAGACAACGAGAGCTCTAGCTCATCAGCTTCAGAAGACAGGGCAACACCAACGAGCTCGGACGACGCCATGTCCATTGATGAGAAAGAGGAGGATACTACGGCCAAAGAATCGAGCAAGCGCAAAATGGAGACTGAAACAAGCAGTTCAGTGTCTGAGGGGACCTCCAGCTCGTCAAGTTCAGAATCCGCAAAAGAGAAGCCTAAATTGAAGAAGCAGAGGAAAGAGAACCCTAAATTGAAGAAGGAGAAGAAAGAGAAGACGGCGAACAAGAAGGAGAGACGAGACTCATCTTCGTCCTCTTCCTCCTCTTCTTCTTCCTCGTCATCATCCTCCTCTTCGTCATCAGCGGCGTCGGCCTCATCTGTGTCGAAGAAGAGCTCCAAAAAGTCCAGCCGTTCCGGTTCTTCTTCAGGTTCTCCAAGCTCCTCCTCAGAGTCCGAATCCAATGCCCCTAAAAAGCCTGGCTCCAGCTCTGGCTCGTCCTCCAGCTCAAGCTCCGCCTCAGAATCTGACGATCCTGCTAAGAAACCGCTCCCAGAGTCGGATTCCTCCAGCGCATCCTCGGATTCAGACTCAGAGTCCTCGTCTGCCTCTTCAGCAAAGAAGCCCATCAAGTCCACCAAACAGATAAAGAAGGAAAAAGCAGGCAGCACGGATTCACTATCCTCCGCAACTCTACGAGATGCCTCTGATGAGCCGTCGACGAAAAGCAGCAAGAAGCGTGCAGCTGAAGATGCCGTCGAGGACGTCGCAGCAGAAAACATCGCCAAGCGAAAAAAAATCAATGAGCCCTTCAGTCGTATTCCAAAAGACCAGTACGTTGACCCGAAATTCGCGTCGAACAAATATGTCTCGTACGACTATGCAGACAAGGCGCACGCCGATTTGATTGTGACCAAGGGTAAAGGCTTCACCAAGGAAAAGAACAAGAAGAAGAGAGGCAGCTACCGCGGTGGTATGATTGACACCCACGGAGTGAACAGTATCAAGTTCGATGATTAGAATTGAACGAGTGTTTGCAAGCGCAGGCGTTGTATGGTTTTGCAAAATTGGGCACAAGGAATAGTTTGGGTGCAAGTTTGAAGCGATCTGGTAGCATGGAAATATAAATACCAGCTTCTATTACCATCTGAGGACTACTCCTACTCATCACAGCAACGGGCCCACAGCTCCCTCTCCCACACCTCCGAAGAGGTCGATAAAGTCCACCTCTAGTCCTTTAACCCCTAAAACTGCCTTACTTAGGGTACCCACGGCCAGAGAAAAGCCAGTCAGCACACGGGTAGCGAACCGTAAACCATTCCACATGAGTAAGTGAGCAATGACCAGTTCTCGCACGATATGACCGCATCAGGACACTCGACGTTATACAACAGTTAGTGTTTCCATCCAATAACAATTGATAGAAGCCGAGCTGTGCGTGCTGAGAAGTACGCATCATCAGTCCGGTCCCCTACCTCAAAGCCCGATTTGCCGACTATGACATCGTTGACTTTGCAGCTCCCATCAAAAAACATCAACACCATCACCGCATCCTATTTGTGTCTTCGCAAAGGATCGCACTAGCTATAAGCCTATCCACTACGGGATCCGGCGGGTGGACCAACTTCAAAAGCCGTCGCAGCGTCCGTGGGCTATATCAACTACTCACTGTCTGCTCTTTCGGACATCAACGCACCGCCATCCTAAGGCTTCAACATCTCACTCTCCTACAATGACGCTTCTCCAAACCTTCCTACGGGCTACAGCCTTCCGCTCCCCCCTTCTTCGTACCCTCCTCCCCGCTGTCGGCCTCGCGTACGGCATACAATCGCTCGTCGCCATGCCCTCCATCGCTGTCCAGTCTGAGCGCTTCTACGACCTCTCTGGCTCTCTGACATACCTCTCCTGCACCGCCCTCTCACTCTACCTCCCTGTCCTCCGTGCCCGCGCCGCGTCTTCAACCGGCAAGCTGATCGAGCCCCTGATCGGCAAAATTACCGGCGAAAGCCTGCTCAATTGGAGACAAGTAGCCATGAGCGCCGCAATCGGGCTTTGGGCAACGCGGCTAGGGAGTTACCTCTTCCAGCGCATCATGGCGGACGGCGAGGATAGCAGGTTCGAGAAGATCCGCGGACAGCCGCCAAAGTTCTTTGGTGCTTTCATGGCGCAGGCGACGTGGGTGTCGTTGTGTGCGCTGCCTGTTATCGCGTTGAATGCCCTGCCCCGCACGGCGTTTGCGGCCATGCCACACGTGCTCCTCACAGACGTCATCGGTGTGAGTCTGTTTCTGTTCGGGTTCTTGTTCGAGATCGCAGCGGATAGGCAGAAGAATGCGTGGGTGCAGGAGAAGAAGCAGAAGAAGCACAGCGAGGAGTTTCTGACGAGGGGGCTGTGGAGTAAGAGCCGGCATCCAAACTACTTTGGCGAGATCTGCTTATGGACGGGCATTGCGACTGTTGCAGGTGGGACATTGGTGAGAGATGCTGCACAGCGTGGGCTAGGCTTTGCAGGTGGACCGGCAGGGAGGATTGGGGTGTTGGCCATGGCCGCCGTGAGCCCTGCATTCGTGACGTTTCTGTTGACTAAGGTAAGTGCATACACATGTCCCAATCATCAAACTCACTCTGGTCCCGACACTGACACGGCCTCAGGTGTCCGGCATCCCGCTCAGCGAGAACAAGTATGACAAACGCTACGGCGACCGCAAGGACTACCAGGAGTGGAAGAAGAACACCCCAATGCTCATTCCCAAATTCTAGATCTGTCTTGACGTCAATCAGACGTGGAATGTAATGATGCAGCATGCATAAGATGACATACAATACTCACGACGTAACGAATAAAAACTTCAATATTGGTCTTCTGTTAACAGCTTATCAATATCAAACCCAATCACAAACCGCCACCCTCCCTTTCGCTCCACTCACTCCATCTCACCACACTACACCAACACCTCCAGCCATGTCCCAGCTCTCGTCTCCCCTGCCCACCCAAACTCACCCCCCAAAGAAAGCAAAACCAAACCAATCAAACCCACCCAACCGCCCTCAAAAACAGCAACTCTAGCTCACCCCGTCCATCGTCGAACTTCGTACCTCTCCGCCCGTCGTACTCCGACAGCCATGATAACGCCAGGACACCTCCTCAGGATCCACTCTCCACCCAAAATACACCCTTCATATCCACTCTCCCCACCGAAAACCCACCTCGCCAAGCCCCCTCTTCCTAACAATCTCACACAATTTCACACAGTAATGTAAGAACCTCACAAATAAATCTCACACCATAATCTCATATATCATGCACTGCCCAAATCAGGCACGGAGTATCCGCCCTCCGTGCCGGATATGTACTAGCTCAAGTACAGTCATAATTATAGTTGTAGCTTTTTTTTTGGCTTCCCCCCGGATGTAGTTAATTTAATACTAGCTGTACATAGTATCTATTTCCGGACCGGACCTATGGTTCTAGAAGCCGGGATGTGTGTGCTACTGTTACGGGTATTTGCGCCGATTAGATTGCGGCGGCGGGGATTTAGGGAGGGGGGACCCGGGGCGACGCGTGGGCTGTGTATGATGATAATGAAGGTGAAGTTGGTGGGCGAGTTTGGTGCGTGGGCGTGCTGGTGAGTTGAGTAGATTGGATTGATTAGATAGATGGGGTCTTTTGTGGGGTTGTGTATGTGTATGTTTGTCGGTGTGAGGTGTGAAGGTTGGGATTGATGGGTCATGGATGGAATGGGTGGATGCATGCATGCATCGCCGGAGTACTCCGGATTTAGACGCGGGAAGGATTGCGGCGCGGCGGTGGTGCGGTCTGGCGTGCGGTGTGGGGTTTGGGGAGGCATGGTTTAGGTTGTTTTTCGGGATGGGATGGGTTGTGCGTGTGTGTTACAGTATGTGTTTGGGGAGGATTATATGCTGTACTGTTGCTATCGTGCTTTGTGGATTTATTTAATCGCAGAGGGAAGGGAGATAGTGGACGGGAGAAGTTGAGGCATGTAAGACTGGAAGATGGATCGATGGATTGATGGAAGGCGTGAGACAGAGTGTGTATCCGCTATCAGGCATGGAAGAGGTGGCTATAAGTTTGGTATGGAGAGGGGCGTTAGTGCCATGTGCGACGACGACGACCGGGTTGTGAAGACGGGATGTGTCTGGGTCCGGGTCCCGGACTTGAAAAAGCAGAGATTGTGTTTTGGCGCTCTCATGAGATGGACATGGATGAGCAAAGCGAAAGTATATTGTATGCGCTATCATATATGAGGTAAGGACTGTGGTTGCTATTGTTGTTGCTATCGTCGTCAAATGTCCCCCTGTCGCCCGCCAACTCACTATCTCCTATTCACCATACCACACGCCTGCTCACCCATTCCCGCCATCATCCAATGACTACTATCGGCGCCCTCCACTTCAACTTACTACCCCCTAATGACTACATGCCTTCTCAATCGTCTCCGTTGGCGAAAATGTCATCGTCCTCTCCAGCCCAGCCCTGGCCTCTGCATCCGCCTCCGTCAACACCTCATTCCGGCCACTTGCAATGCCAAAACGTCTCTTCACCGCCTTCCAGCTCTCTACAAGCGCAACATACACAACAAGGCAGGCGACCACGACGCCCCATTCCCACGTCAGTCCGCTATGCTTAAACACCTCACGATTGACCACGGGTAAGTAGACTACGGGAAACGAGATCGCAAATCCCGCCATGACGGCCCAGAACAGGAATCTATTATGCCAGATCGTCGGGAAGATGCTGAACGGCCCAGCGTGCAGTTTGGGATTGAGGTTGAACAGTGACCGCGAGAAATGCTTGACTTCCCAGGCCGTGACCAGCAGTAGCCATGTCAGCGTCGCATATGTGGTTGATCGAGCGCGGAACACGATGTCGCAGGTCGCGTTGTAGCCATCATTACAGTCATGTCCTAGATCGCCTCCGCCGGCGCCGTATGCGACGGAAACGAAGGATACAAGACAAAGCGAACCCATGAAGAAGCCGTAGATGAATTTATCCGTGATGAGCTCGCGGGTAAATACGCCAATGCGGAGGTCCTGTGGAGCGCGGTACATCACATCGAGTTGCGCTTCCTCGAGCCCAAGACCAATTGCCAGGAACGAGGACGTTACAAGATTGACCCACAGAATCTCAAGCGGGGACAGCGGGAATGTAGAGTTCCCTTGAGAGTCCTTAAACGCGAGGCCAATAAGCAGAAGAAGCACCTGTGCGATATTCGAGATGAGCAGATGCATAAGGAATTTCTGGATGTTGTCGAATAGTCGCCGGCCTTCCTCGACGGCTTTGACTATAGACGCAAAGTTGTCGTCGGTGAGAACCATATCAGCAGCATCTTTGGCGACGTCGCTACCTGCGAGGCCCATGGCGATGCCAACGTCCGAGCGTTTGAGAGCGGGCGAGTCGTTGACACCGTCGCCGGTCATTACGCAGTATGCGCCGCGGCGATGCATGGCCTCAACCACCCGGGCCTTTGTTGTAGGGCTACATCTGGCGATTACGAGCGGAAGGGAGGGCATGGCGTCTATCTCCTGCTCAGTGAGCTTGTCGAAATGGGCGGCCGGCATAATGGCGGTGCCGCTGGAAGAGCTGGGCATGTGCGGGCCTAGGATGCCAACATCATATGCGATTGCAGTGGCGGTCTTGATGTGATCCCCTGTGAGCATGTGTACGCTAATTCCTGCCATCTGACATTTTCTCACAGCACCAGCTGTCTCGAGACGCGGGGGATCGTAAATTCCAATCAGGCCGGCGAAGGATAACTGTGTCTCCACGTCTTCACGCTGATAGCTTTGAGTGGTCGAGCTGTGAAGGGGTAGATCGCGATGCGCAATACAAAGGACTCGGAGACCTTCTTCGGCCATCTTCTCCGCCATTGACATTATCTCGGCTTTCATGTCCTCTGTAGCGTCCAGAAGAGGTAGGATGACTTCGGCCGCTCCCTTAGTGTGAACCTTGATGACTCCGGTCTTGCTGCCATATACCACGGACATTCTCTTTAGCGTCGAGTCAAAAGAGAATTCGGAATACCATTTCAAGTCTTGTTTCTCTAGTAGAGGAGCCTTTCCATAACCAAGACGGAGCGCCAGCACGTGTAATGCGATCTCTGTGGGTTCTCCGATTGCTTTCCACTCTTCGGTAGGACCTATGGACGATGAGATGGAATCTTCACTCATGCAATACACCTGTGATAGATTGCAAAGAGATATTGTAGTCATGATGCCAGTCAGTTCCGAGAGCTCGGGTGTCTTCTCGGTTCCCAGGTTAGTGTCATTCAATTTGACGTGTCCGTCGGAAGGATTGAATGGGTCTGTTGTATCATGCACAGTGAGAATGCCGGCTCTAGGAATCCAAGCTTTGCGAGCAATCATCTTGCCCTGTGTCAAAGTCCCTGCGTAGTGTCAGTACACGGAACAGTTAGTTACACATGTTCTCTTACCCGTCTTGTCAGAACAAATATTAGTGACTCCTCCCACGGCTTCTAGAGCCGAAAGTTTACGAACGATAACATTGCCCTTGGCCATAGCCTTCGTGCCAACCGCCATGGTAATAGTCAACACGGCAATAAGAGACTCGGGGATGACAGCGACAGCGACGCATATACCATAGAGCAATACTTCACCACTGACATCCCAGACGTTCGCAGAGAACACTATGATCGCTAGAAGAATGGCCAATCCGAAGAGCAGTAACGCAAACTTGCTGAGTTTAATTTGGAGTGGAGTTCCCACAAGACCTAAGATGGTTTTCAAACCGTCCTTAAAGGATCTAAATGCATCATCGATGGCGCTCGAGTCGTCCTCGCGGACTTTCTCATCGCGGAGCAGATCCGCTATCTTGCCTACTTCAGTCCTCATACCGGTGGAGACAACTATACCAGTTGCGCGTCCAGCTGTCATATTGCTCGCAGAGTATGCCATGTTGGTACGATCACCTAGCGGGAGTTCTTCCTCGGTCAGGGTGAGGTTCGGATTCTTCTGAACTGGTAGTGACTCTCCTGTGAGCAGCGATTCGTCCGTAGAGACGTTCAAGCCACTTGTAAGGCGAAGATCGGCAGGCACAATGTCTCCAACGTTCAGTTGAACGATATCACCGATGACGAGGAGCTCTGCCTTTACCTCTATGGTCTGACCATCGCGAATAACTTTGGATATGGGTGCAGACATGTCTCTTAGGCTCATGATCTGTTTTTCGGCTTTATAATCTTGAACGAATCTAACAACGCGATCAGTCTGGTTCACACAACTGTTACGCATAGCTCAACTTACCCAACGACAATGTTCAGAGAGATCACTGCGGCGATGACGCCACCCTCAATGTAATCATTGATAGCGAAGCTCAGAGCCATAGTAATCACAAGAACAAGCGTTAGACTGTTTGATACTTGTCTTAACAGAATTTTCCACAGGGAAAGCCCGCCAGCTCCCTCCACCTTATTAGGGCCATCTCGTGCAAGGCGAGATGCAGCTTCGGCACTGCTAAGTCCATTTCTGATAAGCAGTCAGTCTTTTGCAAATACCTGTATATGTGGGCGAATAACATACTCGATATCGACTACGAGGGCTTCAGCGACTCTCTTGCTGTCGTATATGTGAGCGAGCTTATAGTGCTCAGTCCAATCTCCGATGATTGATTCAGACTGATAGTCACGTTTCTTTGGAGGGAGATCTGCCCCTTTGCTAGTCTCTTGTTGAAGATGAGAATTCTTGTTTCGGTCTGATTTATCTGCGGCTGGGTGTAGGCCACATATAGGAGGTTCAGTCGACTCCTCGACGTTAAGTTGACCAGCTTCTTCCATTCAATATCGAACGGCGCTGAGAAAAGACCAGGGGAACCAGGTACCAATGATTGAAGCAAAGCGTGGGTAAACTGTGTGAAAACGGTCGAAGAACAACCGGAGAGGTGTTGCCGAAGCCAAAGCCTACCTGGGGATGCAGGAAGGAGCCTGATATACCCGTGACCTGGGCCCCAGAGGACGAGGTTTGCCGTCTACTGGTGTTTGTCATTGCATGCATGCCGCCTTGGAGAATCACACGTGCCCTTGGCTTCATGCTCAGCAAACCCCACCTTGTACGACGTCCTGCCAGTGAATGAGCTCGCTGCTCGCAAACCTAGTCTGGATCGTTACGCAATCAAGATTCTCGAATCCTTCACTATGCCAATTTTGGTATTCTCCAAGAGGTTCGTCCCATCAAGTGAAGAGGATTCGTGGGGCTTGCCATTCCACCATTACTTGGCTGCTTGGCGTCTGTTTTCTAGTCCTTTTGCCGTTCGCCACGATGCAAGCCGGGAGTAAGTGGAAGTGTACGTCAGTGCCAATGTTACATCACTACTTTTGGTGAGTCGTTGGGCAGCGGACATATCATGGTTCTAGCGGAGTGGAATTGAGGCCTTGGATTCGGCCAAGAGAACGTCCGCTGGTGGAGGGAAAGCCAAGAGAAGTGGTGGAATGTCGGGTGGTACTGGTGGTGGATCCGATGACTGCGTAGTTTTGATACTGCCTTTTGCAGGTAGTAGTAGTAGCAGTAATTAGTAGTGTGTGACTGTGTGTACTAATCCATGAATATCAGCCACAGGTAGTCAATCACGGCAATAATGACCAGGCTGAGGGTGAGCTGTGGTTATGATTATTTTCTATGGTCTATCCCGCTGAGCCTTGCCTTGAACGCCGTTAGCCCACATGCTGCAACTCGCAAAACTCCAATTCGCTTCCGTTCGACGTTACTCCGACCGGTCCAGCCGGAGTCTGGTATAAGTAGGAAAACTGTTTGCATGCTCGCTCCTATAATTAATGCGCATAGCTCAAACTCTAGAACCGCCTCACCCTGATTTAATCCTCTGTCGTCCCCTCCCTGCTTCCTCGTGCTTCTTTTGGTTCCATTGCCACTCGAGTAACACAGGCAGAAAGTACCACAAATCGAATTCGGGCCATAGACAACTCAGAAAGACAATTGTCGTGTTCTCGTGGCACTGCCAGAGCATGAAATCGCTTAGACGTTCCACGCCTGACGTGCGTACCAGTAGGTCTAGCGGTGGGTTGTCCGCAGTGAACATGTGCGAATCAAGTATTGAGACATCAATGGACTCTGGGTCTGGGAGAGAGTCGCGGTGCTTATGTGTCGCGCTGGGATTAGTGGAGGTCGTAGACACATTGAGTGTGCTGGATGAAGCAATCGAGTCGTGCTCGTTGTCCTTGTCACTTTCCTCGAGTGGCGATTGTGTGCGAGACACATCTTGAGGTTCTGGACTTGGCGACTCTTCCACCACAGTAGACAGCTGCGCGGCACGAATGTTGCGCGTGATATGTGTTTCTGAAAAGGGGCGTTTCAAGGTCGGGCGGGTGGGCTTGTTATAGCTGACCACGGTATCGCGGATTGCTGTGGTGATCTCGTTGCGCGAAGTGTAAGGGAAGCAGACATTTAAGACGGCTTTGGTATTGTGAGAGGTCATGGCAACGGCTCTGTCGATAGCTTCGAGGACATCAGGCTTGACGAGGTCACGCTGACCAAGAACGCGCACACAGGCACCGTAGCGATCTAGAAGATCGCCGTGTTGCGCAAGCTGCACGAGCTTGACTCTGGCCATCTCCATGAGCGCATCCACTTCGTATTTGGAACGGTTGAAGTTCTCGATCGAGAATGCGTAAATGGTGACCACCTTGACACCGGATTTGTAGCATACTTCGAGGACCTGCAGGTTGAGTAGGGTTAGTCTTGATATATGGCTACAGGTCTGTATATGAGAGCCGCTACCTTTGCCAAAGCTTCAAAGCCCAAATTATGCCCTTCGACAGTCTCTATATGATGTGTTTTGGCAAACCGCCTATTTCCGTCCATGACAAAAGCGACATGCTGAGGTATAGGTCCTTGTCTTAAAGCTCCTATAAGTAGCTCGCGTATGCGGTGCAAGGCCCATTCTGCTGGAGGTGATTGTAGAAACCAGTTGCGGATATGCGACAGGTGCAGGGACATTCTGAGGTGAAATTCCAGTGGGCACCCAGGAGATAAGTATATGTGTTTTCAAGGTAGGAGCTCGATCATTGTCGTGCGCGAGTAGGCTTATGGAATATATATCAAGCGAATGAGGCTCAGTCCGTGTTATTACGCAAAAGACAGGACGGGCCCAAGGAAGTTGTCGTCAATTAGGTGAGGCTGTGAAGAGTGGCCAAGGTACCGACAGGCCATGCTTGCCAAAATGTTGGCCCAGTGGCCCCAGCCTGCAGCCCCGGTAACAACGACTGAGAGGGTTTAGCTGCAGAGACGTTTACGCGGCGTGACGAATTAGCCTCAATGCACCGCCACAACTTCCATAGATCCGAAGCGCCTTATATTGACGTAATATCTGCTTGATAAGTTTCTCTACAAGTGAAGTCTGCCCTTCACAGCAGAGTGCAAGTCTACTTAGACCGACTTGCTCAATTGATCGCTCTCACTGCCCTGACAGCCTATATTTTATCCCGGTAAGGCCTCGGTATCCTAATCCCTTCTGCGCCATGTGTCATGTTAGCTTTCGTCACCCCAACGAATCATATCGATCTCTCGATATTATGTTTCATTCAGATGTCTATTGCTAGATCTAATATGCATGCACACAGCATTGGAATTCTCTGGCCTACGCCGACCCACCTGATGCAGCACGAACCACTGTCCAGACCCTTGCACAAGTGCACAGATAGAGGCCTTGAAAATCATTCTTACGCCTGCGGAGTTATCTAAAACAGACGAACGCCGAAACATGACTCAAAAAGGACAAGGTCAGAGGCCAGACTGAGAGAGAGAGAGACGACGCCGGAAAATGCTGGGGGTATGTTCGATAAAGACGAGTGGTATTCAACAGTCGTAAGGGTATTGAAGAGACTATGGTTCTGCGCCGTCAGGTCTTATCGCCAAGGAGTGGCCTGGGACGGTCCATCTGTGTTCATATGTTAGACTATGATCAAGAGAGTGTTGTTCGGTCAATCACATACATCTTGACTTTGCCATCATCGCCTGCAGACGCAAAGACGAGTGGATCTATAGGATGCCAAGACACGGCATTGACGCAACCCCTATGAGCCTCGATGATCTCAACTAGGCCCAGCCCTGACGTTCGCCAAACGTATATTCGGTTGTCTACTGGTGTCAGCCAAAGAGCTATTGATTACGAATATACTTACCTTCACTTCCGCTGACCACGAAAGTTTCTGAGGCACCACCAAAATTACTCCGTATAACAAAGTTCTCTTGTGTGTGGCCTATGAAGTTTCTAACAGTATCCCCGGTGTCCAGATCGATCAGCTTCGTTTTGTTGTTGTTTACGCTCACGAGGAGAGTCTTGGAGTCACGACTGATGTTCACTGAAGTGATTCTGACACCATCAAACACCCAGTCTCGCACTTTCCCTCGTGTGACGTAGTCATAGACAAATATTCGGCCAGCCGTACCGTTTGTGGCTACCACAAGTCGTTCCCCATCAGGGGATATAGCGAGATCATCAACGCGGAGGTGCTCCTCTTTCCATTGATGTATTTTGACTCCCTTCTTAGTATCCCACATAATCAGTGCATTCTCCGCGTCCTGTGAGCCAGTCACGAAGGACTCGCCGTTAGGTGCCCATGCTGCACTCATTACTGGATATGTGAAGTCTGTCATTTCAAGTAGGACCATTTGAGTCTGTACCTTGTCAGCACATATCCGGTGATCAGAACGTCTTGAGCTTACTCCCACGTCCCACATACGTGCAGTCGTGTCTGATCCCTGCTCCTGGGTGCACGTTATCAGTTTTGTGTCGTCGGGACTCCATGCGAGATAGCAAACGCCACCCTCGTGCTCGAGCTCCATGAGCACGGATTGTGAACATGTATCATATATGATAACTTTACCATCTTTGCCGGCTGTAGCCAGTCTGGAACCGTTGTGAGAATATTGTAGATACCATACTTCATCCATGTGATCAGAGAGTGTCACATCAAGCTTTCGCGGAAAGTCGCCATGGTCGCATACATGGTCGACATAGAGGGACGGCGACGCAGATGTATTGTGGTACAGACAACTTGAAACCCAGCTGCTTTTGACAGTATCCAAGAGTATCGCAAGCCTATGCTCCGGAATCATGACACTTGGAGAGATGCGTTTGGACAGCTCTGACAACAAGTGCTTTCGAGACTGCCCTGCGGCGCCGTCCCATTGCGCGTATTGTCTCAAATCTTCAGCAGATCCACACATCATGAGACTTGAGAGGCTGTGGAGCCGCGATACATCTTGGTGCAAAGGTGTGAGTTCTTGTCGAAGTACCATTAGCGCTGCGCCGATATCCCGCTGCTCAAGGAGCTCCAGATACTTCTGCTGCCTCATCCAGAATCTCATTTCGTTCTTATCTGCGCTCTCTGCTAGAGTAAGACCTTTCGTATAGTTCTTGGAGTACCAGGATGATTTAGCCGCCTTGCCATTAGATTTGCCAAGTGGAGGACCGTCTTCATAAAGGCTCACCCCATCACTATGCAGTCCAAATAGTAGGGCCTCTGCCTCAGCCCATTCGCCACCGAGCACAGCGCTACGAAATGCTGCAACAGTTGGACCCTCAAGCTCATAGCCACTTTCGCTTATCAGAGACTCTGCCGCATTATGATATCCAAGGTCTGACAAACTCTGGATTAGTATTCGAGTCACTTCTTCTCGATCGTGTCCAAAGAATGTCTCTGTTCTGCGGAGTCTCGCTGAGGCGCCATTTGTATGCGAGATGGACCCGTTACTTTCCTCTTTGGTGGAACTACCGTTAGCGATCTTCCCAAGCCTAACGGTGCGATCTGGAGACCGCATACCTGATCCATTCGAGTACGATTGTGAGGGAGATTGTAAACTTCTTGAAGCATCGATTTCAGGACGCATCGTCTCTTCCTCGGCTCGCCTCCGCTTTGGCTGCTTGTTTGAGGACCCGCCCCTACGGGAAGTGCGGATACTCCGCTCAGACCCAGACGTGGAGCTGTCAGAGAGACTGCGTGGGCGTTTATTGGACGGCCGCAATCCAAGGGATTCCGGCGGTAAGTTCTGGGAGGAGATGCGAGAGGTTTGGGAAGGGTTTGATTGGTTGGTTGGTGCTGAGAATTCTTGGGAAGTAGAAGATCGGGAGGTCGTGAGGGCTGGGTGGTCGGAGGTGGATGGGGCAGGAAGGCGGGAATGAATCTCGTCGGCCAGGACGAAGCTTGAGGGATCGTTTGCGATATCGCAGAACGGATTGCTTAAAGATAATGGTTGTGGAGGAGCCGTAGCTTCACAGGATAACAGCTACATGCGAAGCTATTAACCTGGCCGATCTGTAGGCGTCGGAGGGGGAAGCCTGATTCGTAGGTACGGTTTCTGTTCGAGTATCAGCGTAGGTACGACAACGAGTGGTTTCGTATCCCGGATCGTTACCAGGCACCTAAGTAGCAAACTGATCTATGGGTGGACGTCTCGGCGTCTAGAGCACAGGGCGATGTCAACGGACTACGACACTGGAGACGACAGGGTGCTGGAACGAATAATGGAGAACTGAGGTGTCTGGTAGCAAAGGCGACTGTTCGAATGTCAAAAGAGCTCATAGGTGCCTTCAGTCAAGGCTCATGAGTGTGTAGTTGAGGTGGTCGATGAGGTCCAGAGTTAAAGGTTCTGGGAGCTGGCTGCAGCTAGCCTGATATGAGAGTCCCACGGCCGAATCGTTCCGCCGATGTCAGATGGCCAAGTATAGTCAGTCGCTCTCCGGGTGACAGTGTTCACCGCTGTCCTGTCAAGTGTTATGCCTCCCAAATTTGGACTACAGTGAATCACCGAGACAAAGATAGAGCTAGAAAGATAAAGAAGACTATGAGCTCATTTACATTCCGTTGCTGTCAAGGTCGCCGTAACGGGCCCAGCAAGACCAATTTAGTGGGGTATTTGGCTAACGTGCCACGGAGAGGTCCACTATAGGTAGAAGCAGTCTTTCGCTTTGTTTGTATACCGACTCTAGATGAAGAGAATATGATAGGTATTACTTCTACTGGTCCTTCGGTCGAAATGGATGGTACACAGTGACATGTTGTAGTATCAGACACTTATTCCCAGCTTGCATCTGATAGATCCATGCACGTACATCTTGGACCGGCCCCTCTTACCCACATCAACCCTGGAAGTCGTAGACGGCTAAAGAAGAATTCCCGCTTGCAATTCCGTGATAGTGATGCCTAAGCATATGCTGTTTATATTGTTAAAGTTTCTGGAATCACATATACAGCTGCCAAGTTGATCATTACCTGCAGTGTGAGGAGGAAGTATGGAAGATATTAGCTAGACCAAGGATCCTGCAGTAAGACCGAGTCGTGATAACCTGTGCGCATGTACATGCCTAGAAGTCCGCAATCGTCAAGAACGTCCGCTCGCTCTTACATACGACTGAGGGTTGTGAAGACAATTCACAGTGCTATCCTTTTCTATACTTCAGTGACGAGATCAATCTGACGTACTCTTGGTCATCGAATCTCGAGGTCTATAATGTGCTAATTTGCAGGTTCCCGGCCGAGCGATCGCACGATCATGGCCACCACAATCATAGATGGAAGCCTGCCTATATCAAAGCTCTCGCCATCGCTACCGGATTGCGACAGCAACACGATCAGAGCCATTGTGACACTCATATGGCCATACAGCTCGTCAACTCGGAGCTGCGCCCTTCTCCTCGCCGAGCGGGACTTTAGACTGCGTCGACACAAAGGCCAGGTCAGAGTCCAGCTATCGGGAACCTGTGCCCGTCGAGTCGCTGAGTCTGGAGTCGGAATCGGAGATGAAGTCGTACTGAGCCTAAGAGGTGCCAAATGGCTAAAGAATGATGGCGTCATTCAGACGCCTGGCAAGAGTGTAGACTGGGAGTTGAGATACGAGCAAAAGCTGGACCTGGAGGTATGGCGTATGACATATTAGGAAAAACAAATCCACTAACAAGAGGAGAAGATTCGAAAAGACTCACAAACACATACCATCCTCAAGGTTGATCGCAGCTCATCCCCTGGAGACTGTCCGTCGGCTGGTTTAGGTAGCATAAAAAGGACTTTAGGGCGGGTTCAGAGATCCTCCGATCAGTGGGCCTCACCAGCGTTTGCAAAGCAGCGTCTTCCTAGCGGGACATATGAGCAAGTCTTTGACCTATTTCACGACCGCGAACGAAAGAGAAGGAGGGTATCATGGCGTGGTTCCAGTGAATGGAGGCTCGTTGATGGCGAGATCAGTCCCGCAAAGGGCGATACTTTATTGGCAGATGATGAGGAAATTCTAACAGATGCCTGTGAAAGACCTTCAATGTCGCCTCTCCAACATCTTTCGACAACTAGAGGAGGAACTTCTCCTTCCCAGTCGAATGCTCTCAATAGCAATATGGCAGTGTTGGCTGGATCCGAAACTGGTTCACTCCTAAGGCCCATACATTTTGACCTGTTCAAGGTAGCCGGTCCAGAATCTCCTCCACCGGAGATTGGAGAACTTATAGATGCGCCGCATCCAGCATTCCAGTCGCCTGACACAGCTCACAATTTTGTGGAATCCTCTGCACCAGGAAATCTAGTGACTAAAGATGCTACTGAAAGCCTACCTCGACCGACCGACCATGCGCGTACTGAGGAACATGTGTCCAGCACACTTTCCAAGACCGAGTCAGGAACTACAGAGGCTAGAAAAGTCAATGCTGGCGTCGACGGAGTAGATCAGGGAACTCAAGTTTTGGACACTGCAAAGCTTCACGAAATTATTCGGGGAGAGCCGTTCTCGCATACACGGCATTTTACACGGCATAGTCCGGACACTGTGGACTATGCAGACTTTGAGGACGATGAAGATGAAAGTGACGACGACAGATTTGCAGCCGCGTATGATAGTACAGACGTGGATGAGACCGAGGACGGAGACGAGGACGAAGATAAAGACGAAATATACGACGACAAAGAACAGGATTCGATGATCGGAATAGAGAAAGACATGGATGACCGGGGTGATAGTGAACACGCTTCTCTGCGATCTGATTCTGATGAGGCCTCAGAAGAGGTTGACACCAGTGGTGAAGATGGAATAGACAGCGAGGACGAGCAGTCACAGAATATGGGACGATCAACACAACACGATAGGAACTCTCAAGCTACTCTTGTCATTGTCGACCTTGCAAACGATAGCGATGATCAGACTGAAGAAGTCGTTCCAAGACCTGCGCGGACAAAACACGTAATCGACCCTTCGATCGGCCACAATGGGGTGGGCGACAGCGATCAAGGTCAGCTTCGAACTCTGTCGCTGCCCGAACAGCATCTCGCTCCAAAAGTCGACACTGCAATGAAGCCCACATACTTATCACCGAATACGTCCGTTCCTCTAAGCAATACCGCTCCCCACACTCCTATATTGGATCCACTGAAGTCCCCAGTGCTGCCTCTCGTGTCACCATTTCCGCATGATTTCGCACCTTCACTGGTTGAGACTTTACTTGGGCCTGACAGCCAACACATGACCGCGGGGCTCTCACAGACTGCTATCATTGCGAACCGGCCAGAAAGTATTTTCAGCCTGCAGTCCCACGTGCAGATACTGCAAGACAATACATCAACGGCTCCAGAGAAAGATCAGGAAGGTTCCGAATATGTTGGGGCACAAGCACTAGCTTTATATCGTCAAGACTTTCAGGATTCGATAGGGACGCTTGTTCATGAACCTCAGCACGACCCGCATAAGACTAATATACGTATCAGTGATCTGAGCAGAACTGCAGAAAACTTACTACAAGACAATACAGATGTCGCAGCTCCAAATATTAATGACGAAATCTCGATCCAGGGGTCCATTGTAAGCATCGTAAACCATTCAAAGCAGCATAGTGTGGATTCTATTCATCAAGCATCTGAAGATTCTCGAGCTGTCACTCGATCGGCAGAAAATGGGACAGAAGAGATAGAAGCTCAATCTCGCGAGGATTACCAAGCTTGCCGTTTGTCTGTTTCCGCAGCGGACGAGTCACAACTTGATCGAGGAAGGGTAATATATGAAGCCGCTAATGGAAAGATGCACCCGCCTAGTAGCAGCTTCATATCGCCCCAGTCGAGCACCAATCCAGACATATATGGAATTCCACCTTCTACAGAGACAACAATTATCGATCTTGGCAGCGACGACGAAGATAGTGAAGTTGATCATAACAGATCTATCTCTAAAGACCAACCCCCGGACACTGAAACTTCGGAGGATCATCTTTCGATGCGAACCTCGCAGGATCAGGCGGAGGATACTGACATATGCGATAACGGTACGAACGAGGGCCGCGATGAGGAATATACTAGCCTACACACTGGTGGAGATGCTAGAGATGGCTATGATTATGGCGAAGACGTCGACAATGCTTTGTCATCGCCATCATCATCGCTGTCTAGTTTGCCAGAACTTTCTGTGTTGTTAACACAGACAGCGTCTCAGCACAAAGCCCCCCAACATCGAGTGAAAGGCAAAGTAGAGCCGCCGAAGTCGTCTCTGAAAGGTAGCAGAAGATCTACAGAACATGTCTTATTTGTCAAAGACTCGGAGGAGCCCAGTCTGCTCTCAGATGCAACAATCTCTACGCAAGTTACCTCTGATGCCGATACGGATTTCCCCGGCGACTTACGTGATCATGAAACTGGCACAGGTTCTATGGCAGTGGTCAATGCTGTCGATGATGTTCCCATTACTGATACGATACGAAACTGGAAGGATCTAGACTCGGATATGCTTCCCGATAGAAACCCCGTGGAACCACCGCAAGAGCCTCAAATCACACAAGCAATATCTCAGGTAGTCTCCGATACTTATGTTTCGCGACCAGGAGATCTTAATCTCGACTCACCCCTTTCGTCTGGGGCTAATGAGACGGAAGCCCCAGTTGACCTGCCAGACACAAAAGGATTCGAGAACATCACAGGGCATGACCTCGACCTTGACCTAGCAGACTATTCACAGGACCATACACCAAGTAGTTTTCACGGGCAAGAGGTTGTTTCAACTCCATCAGCTAAAATTATTGCATATGCTTTAAATAAAAGACCATCTGAGCGGAATGCCGTTGGCTATGGCGCTAGTCAAGACGAAGTAGTCGACGGGACTACGAGCTATTCTCCGTCGCAGATGGAGGACCTTGATAACCACAGTGTCTCCTCTTACACCACTGCCCACATACCCAAAGTTGTCTCGTGTCCTCCTCCTCTGGTTATCGAGGAGACAAATGTGGACACACAGCCTGACACCCAGGAGGAGTCATATGTCCAAAACGCAGTGCAATTGCTTATAAGCTCCCCACCGAACAGTACCAAGGAGCCAATGATTACCACTGCTCTTTCGCCTCCGAACATGCAAATAGCCCACCTCATCTCGTCTCCTCCTGCGACCATCCAGGAAACATATGATGCTCGGACACAAGAGGATTCCGCAGGAGCTTCCCAAAGGCTCCCGGCGAACAGGGTTCACCATCAAAGTGATAACGAGCCGTACTCCCCACTCAACGACTCTCGTCTCGTGGAAGTGAACACCCAAGTGAATGGAGAAGTGAACTTTGAACCTGACTTGCCTGGCCCAGAGAGGAATTATGTGCCGGACTCCGTGGTTACCTACTCGAACCTAAAGCTTCCCTCGCAAGTGTCCACTCCTCAGTTTATCATAAGTAATGACTATTCTGCGACGAGGTTCGAAACTCTCCCATATACACCAGACCCGAGTCAGCTGGAGACTAATGGTCTAAGAGAGTACTCCCAATTAGCTCAAGTTGACAGTATCATGCCAATAACACCTCAATTAACGCAACAAACCAATTCGGATTTTTCGATGAGATCCCACGACTCAGATGTCGGCCAAGAGCTGGAGATGATGCAAGAAGGCGAAGGTCAACTACGCACTGGGGCTCCATATCGTCCCGGTTTGCAGAATGAGCAAGTCACACCGGCCGTAACTAAAGATAACACAACGAAGGACGTCGAAACAGATCAGAGTCCCAAGGGTTCCAGGCCCAAAAGGAAAAGTGATGTTCCTAGGATTCTATCGCCATGGTTCGCCCCGAGTAGCGGAAATCAACCCAAAAGCCTACGGGCGAACGAAATCAAGGAAGTATCTCAGGGTATAGGAACCCCAAGCCCACAATTGAGTGATTCGCCTTCACGTCATCTGCGCTCCCACTCAAAGAAAGTTTTGAAGGAGAATGTCAACATTTCGCCCAACAAGACCAACGACGATGCTTTGACGTCTCCATCAAAGCCAGTAGCCGGACATACACAGGGCTTGCGGACCTCGATGTCTTACTATAGTCCCCTTCTATCCATTCAAGGACACCTCAACGGCCATACGGCTTCACTCGATGTACTTGCCCTCTGTTTGACGATCAACAAGCGATCTATGCGCACACCTAAAGGTGCGCGTGACTATTACACCTCTTTCTTCATCACAGACACAAGTATATACCCCCAGCGCCGTAATGTGCAGTGTTTCAGGCCGTGGAAAGCCGCTCTCCCTGAGACTGCGCCCGGTGACGTCGTCTTGTTGCGCGAGATGAAAGTTCGAGGTTACAAGACCAAAAAAGGCGACAGTGCTACTGGACTTTACAGCGGCGAGGGAAGCGCGTGGTGCGTCTGGAGATTTGACGAAAGTGCTCAAGACAATAAGCCAATCTGGGCTGTCAAGCATGATGCCGGGACAAGGCTTGGCAAGGAGGAGATCAAAGGCCCACCAGTAGAGATAGGCGACGACGAAAGGAAGGAGGCGAGGAGACTAAGGCAGTGGTGGCTCGAAGAGGTTCGAGAGGACGTCGACGAGAGCACCTTCGCTCTAGGCATTCCCGAGAGTGAAGACAATGCGTTCTTGCAAGCACAGAACTGAGTTATATCAGAGGCTAGACCAGGTCTGAGCTTCTTATCAAGAACAGTGGTGCATTCTATCTTGATCAACAGGTATCCACCGTGCCAACACGTACATGTTTTATATAGTTACCTACATTCGACAGCTAATTGTCAACATTCTCATGGTCATGGAAACGCGGCTATTGAACCGCATAGAGGCGGGCGTATCTCGAACTAGCCAGAAAATCAACAGATCTTCAAACCGCTTGTGTATCTACGTTGAGGCACTTCATTTGGAATGCTAGCAGCGTACATGTAACCACACTTGCTAAGATCCCATGCTCCATATCGCATCGCTAACTGCTTTGTCCCTCGCAGACCTGGAAAATATGTACAATGAAGTCAAAAAGGTCCAGTTCGCTCACTCGTTTGCCTACTCATCACTGAACAGATAGTATCAGCCCCTAGGAGAAAACCTCCGCACATGGCTATGCGCATGCCCGTGACCATGCCCGTGCCCGTGCCCGTATCCTTGATGCTGGCATCCGACCCTCGTCGGCGTAGCTCCAGGAGTTGAGCCGGGCAGACCGAGTGTAGGCGTCAAAAGTGTCGAGTTCGACGGCTTCAAAGCACCAGAAGAAACTGGGCCCGGCGTCGGAAGCACACCCACCACCGACGACGCCAAGCCTCCCGCCGAAGACAGGGGCTGCGACGACGATAACGCTCCGACACTCACACTCACACTCACACTCATGCTAAACGCCGACGAAACCGCTGACGACGACACGACCTCCTTCCCAACATCACCACCAGTCTCCACACTTGCTCCTACGAGCGGTCGCAGCGGCGTGACGCCTGGATAGAAACTCGTTGGAATCGTGGGCACGGGGATACTCAGCGACGTGCCAAACCCGTTCTGCAGGTTCGCCTCCATGCTCGGTACCACATATCCGGACGGCGCAGCCGTCAGCGTAGACGTCACGGCATCGTACGCATCACTGACGCCAGCGCCGTCACCAGCCAGACACGCACCTGCACCATAGGCACTGCGACATACGTGTGTCGCCGCGTCGCCGATCTCAGTCCACATGGCAAAGTCCGAGACGGCGACATCGACACACGGGGCCCCGTCGGCGCAGACGATTTTGACCGGGCCGCGCTGTAGTGCGTTTGCGGCGGTGCCGCGCCAGGCGGATACGGAGAGGTTGGAGACGGCTACGCCGGCGCCGGAGGCGGCGCTGATAGAGGCCCAGTACTGGTCGATGTCGAGCGAATATGCGTTTGCGTGGCCGATGAAGGCCTCGAGGGCGATGTTTGAGACGGAGCCGGAGCCGCCGTGGGATTTGAGCATGAACATCTGGTTTGAGGCCCAGGTGTAGATGTTGCGGTAGTGGATATTGGAGATGTTTGTGTCGGCCCCGAGGGAGCCCATGGCGCAGCCGCCGGAGCGGTTGCAGTAGATGCTCTCGATGAGGATGTTGTGTGCCGGGGATTTCACGGTTACGCATTCGTCTTTGTTTGTGACTTCGATCTGGGGGAGGGATTAGTTGGGTTTATGAGGTTGGGGGGACAGGGGGACGGACGTCGTGGATGTGGATGTTCTCGCTCCAGACGTCGATACCGTCGAGGCCGCCGGCATCGCCGCCGCGGATGGCCATGTTGTAGACCTCGCCATTGGTGCATGTGTCTAGAGAGAAGTGGAACGAAGGCGCGTCCGTTAAGGCGATATCGTGGACGGAGAAGTCCGAGACTTTGAATAATCTAAGAATACGAGCGCCGCTCATGCTGCCCTGGGCATGGATCTCGTAGCCGTTTCCTTGCACGGCGCCTTTCGAGGTGCTGCTGAACATCTCAAAATCGCTGGTGTGTTGGATGAAGATCATATTGCCGCCGTCAGTACCAGTTCGGTGTATGGTACCGTCAAGCTGAAGGGCCCATTTCGATCCCCCTGACAGACTTGCCCACGTTTCCAGCGCATAGTCTCCGGCAGGAATGATGACGACACCACCAGTTTTGCAATCTGCGAAGGCGGATACAAGAGGAGGCCCCAAGTCAATGGTCTTGTCGGCTTTGGCGCCGTAGTCAAGGACATTGCAGGTTTTGGTAGCTGACTTTGTGGCAATTGAGGTCAATGGACCAACGGTGCCCGAAAGTTGGCCTGCAACAATCCCTGCCGTGGCTACAACGTACCAGAATGAATGAACTAACATACTTGAATAAAGCACCGTGAACGAGCGACTGAGAGAAAAGAATACAAGCAGATAAAGGAGTGTAATTTTGGTCGTGTTCAAAGAACAATGGAGGGAATAACCAAAGATTAAAGAAAGTACCAAATATGGCCTTGCACGCCACGAGTACGTCTCGTTTCCCATCGACATGGTTCATTGTTGGGTTTAAGATATTCTGTTCGCATAATACTACATTCTCGCATCTAAAAAAGATACGCGATTGGTGCATTATTTCACAACGGGTCCTTCATCTACCATTCAGACAGCCGGGACGTGGGCTCATCGTCGAATAGATGGATAGCCGCGTGGGTTGGCAGGGATACTGAAACGGTAGTCCCCGTCCCTTACAGCCACATCGCGGTCGAAGCTCAAGAGTGTATAAGCAAAGCAAACACAAAACCAACATATCCACTCATACTCAAAGACATTAAGTGAACCGACACTATGTTGCAGTCTCTAGAACGCCACTGTTAGCTAGAATCATACAAGATCCATATATCGAAGTCTCGTAGGCATTATGTGATTCGAACTTCCAGCGCGACGATCCACATCATGTCTCATTTTTCTTTGGTAGTTCTCCACAAACCTGAGTCATCGAGTGAGAGTCTCCTAACGCCGAGTCATGCACAATACCAGTCCAACTCCGTGCTGCAATAGCTGTTCGTGTCTCGAAATGTCCCCATAATGTCCTCAATTCTTTGTACGCTTGGATTTTCGTTCACCCGTAGGGGCCTCTCCACTGGTCTTCGCCGCCTTGCTCTCCTTGGACTTGGTAGCATTTCTTTGGAAAGCCTCCTCAGGAGGCTCATCCGTGCAGGGTGTAGCTCTCTTCTTACTCCCTTTTGGTTTCGGCGCGTATCGGGCTTCTAGGTCCGCAAGAAAATTCCCAGCCCGAGACTTTTGCCGTTGCTGAATGAGAGCTGCCAAAGCGTCTTCACTTCCCTTCCCACCAGGTTTCTTACTGCCAGAACCAAACAGCTTATCCGCAACGCCCAGTTCCTTCGCATATTCCATGGCTTCTTTCCCTTCGCTTTTTGCCTGGTTCATCCGTTGCTTTCGACTTTTTGCTGTCTCTTTGGTGTATTTAGGGTGATCCGGCAACTGACCTGACTTAATCGCCTCGTCCAGCCACTTCTTGAATCTTGGCTCGTCCTCTAGCGGATCGCTGAGCATTATGACTGAGTATATCTGGTTTAAGTCGCCCTCATATTCTTCATATGCGTTGAACAGCGCCTGCCTCTCCTCGTCACTTCCTTTGTACTCCTTCTTGAACTTTTCAATTGCGTCCCCGGTGACCACATCCTCAAATTCAGCCTTGTAGAAGTCCATCCAGTTGAAGCCGTCATCGTCGAGGTCCAAAGACTCTTCCGTTCGACCAGTGATATCATAGCGCTTGCGACGTCGCTCATCAGAGAGGATAGCGTATGCGAAGGCGATTTCTTGAAACTTCTTGTGTGCAGCTTCTTTGTTCTCTGGTTGCGCCTTGTCTGTATCATATTAGATAGTACTTCGCTCTTGAAAAGCAATCGGAATCATGTACCTGGATGGTGGATCAGCGCAGATTTGCGATATGCTGATTTGATTTGGTCGGCTGTTGCAGCCTTCTCGATGCCAAGAACCTCGTAAGGATTGATAGAGTTAGGAGGGTCTTCGAGCAACTCTTCGTCATCAAATCTTGCAGGCATGATTAAGTGTTTGCTGTTTTGTGGAGTTAGTATAAAGGGCAAGCCAAAGATGGTTAATAGATGATGAGCCACCACGCGACGCGTCTGATTCACTAGCACAGCACTAGCGCGAACATTCTAACCAAGAGCGCTCCCGAGGCCACCACTTCACTTCATGTATTTGCGGCACATCTTACGACTCGGTCTCAGACGCATGCAGTATGTCTCGCGAAATAATTGCGCCCTTGGACCATACTGCATACCTTCGTCTTGCTCTTACAGAAGCACGGAAATCACCCCCAAAGGCTACAAACTTCTGCGTTGGTGCCGTGCTCGTCGATGAAGAACGCAATGAGGTTTTGGCAACAGGCTACACGCTCGAGCTTCCAGGAAACACACATGCTGAGCAATGTTGTTTGATGAAATTTGCACAAACTAGAGGGGTTTCCGAGGACTCAGTTGGAGATATACTGCCGAAATCGACGGTCATCTACACTACCATGGAACCTTGCGTGTTCCGGCTCAGTGGGAATGCACCTTGCGTTGATCGTATCATACAGACGCAGCTTGGTGGCCATGAAGGTATCAGGATAGTCTATCTCGGCGTAAAGGAACCGGAGAAGTTTGTCGGAGAGAATGAGGGCCGTTCCAAGCTCCAAGCAGCGGGCGTCAAGAGCATACACGTTCCCGGATTGGAGGACGAAATACTTCAAGTAGCAACGGCTGGTCATGCGAAAGACTAGCAAATGCGATGAAGAGCGTTGTTATAGGTAAGAAATGGTTTTCTGTCGTATTACCACAATCCGATATTAGAATCCCATTCCCCTGTATCGCATTTAAGGGATCTGCGTCTTGGGTTACACGTGGGGAGCCTTTTTAGCGTGTTTATGTCGTCATGACTTTTCTACATACGGCGAAGCGTGTCGGTGTGTATGTATGTTGATATATGACGTGCTATCGCTCGTATTATCTTACACCTTTGTATTCCCATTCCAATGCGTTCTCTCATCAACCCTACTTTCACCTGTAAATCTCTGCGTTCGTTCCAATCGTCTAGATTCACCACATTGAAAGTATCGACTGCTCGCACTCAAACCACAAATATGTCTTCTCGTATGTTTATTCTTAGCTATTCGTCGACCTAGCCTGAACTAATTCAACCCTTCAAGTGAGCATCGATGTCCAGACCAAAGACCTCAAGTCTAAGCCAGGTGTCGAGCTTGATTCCGAGCAGAAGACTATCATAGGCAGCGTACTAGATCTTTTCAAAGGCCTTCCATCAAAAGAGAAATTGTCTCTGTGGAAGGACGATGCTGTTTTCGAAGATCCATTGACTGACGCACGCGGTCGCTCGCAATTTGAGGCTCAATGGGTATATATTATTCCTTCCAATCTTGCTCGGCCCGCTAAACATGCAACCAGTATGGTCTGGCTGCGGCTTTTTCGAAGATCGAATTACAGTCACATGAGGTTATCTCCGCCGGGAACCCAATAGTATTAGATGTGAAGAACCTTTACACTGTCAAAGGAATCAACAAGGAACAACTCATCCAATCCAAGATAGAGATCTATGTTGGCCCAACGGGAAAGATTGAGAAGGTTCTCGATAAGTGGGATGGCAGTATTCCTGATGGACCCTTTGCAAGTGTGAGTAGCCCCTGGCAACTATTCAGTCCCTTTTGGTGGATCAAATATACCGAAGCCTGGGTTTTCTGGCTTTGGAGTTTAGTCTGGGGGACCAGGTTGTGGTGGGTGCGTGGTGCAATTCACCTGCATGTCATAAATTGCTCATCTATGGAAATAACACTGGTGAATAGACCTATACTGACTATTACATTCAGGCATTCCGCCGTCTCAACGCAAAGGTCGTTCCAGGATTTGTGTCTGTTCCAAAGGATGCTGCGGAGGAGGCCAAGAAGAGCTCTTAGTTCACTAAATGGATTTTCATGTATCATGACCATAGGGCATCAAATATAACGAAGTTATCATATAAATCTTACACAGATCATTTAGAATGTTGCCGTGCTGTGCGGATGTTTCGATGTTCAATTAAGTCACGTGCACACGTGGAAGCGCGTCTGGCCCGACACGTCACCCTGCCCAGAGGAATCTCTACTTCTCAGGTTCACACCATATCAATAAGCAACATTATGACATGACGACGCGAAGAAGTCAGCAGGCTCAGAATAACGATATATACCCGGCGCGTTACTTCAAGGCTTCACGGACGTATGATGCTTGGGTACATTTGACTTGCAGCGATGTGCACGCTCTCCGTGCGGTGCGAGGCTTTGAGGGTACGTCTGTCGAGCATCGTGCATCAGATGGCTCAATTCGATGATGGGACACTATCATATTCTGCTCTCAGAGTGACAACTGACAATTGCGCAGGTCAGCAACTGCTCTTTCACCGAAACCATCCGATCCGATTCGTACGAATAACCGGGCCGATCAACAGTATAACCGATCTCTCTGCCAGATTTACTCTATTTACGATCGATGATAGCAGTGGCAGCACCCTCGAGATTAAGGTCCCTCGATTGCCTGCGGAAATTGCCGACTCTCCCGAGTGCCCTTCCAATACTGCGATCGATAATTTGAACGTTCATACAGCACTTGGGATTTTCGACGTAGTCGTTGACGACATCGTTCTTGATATTGGCACTGTTGTGAGCACGAAAGGCATCGTTTGCGAGTTCCGGGGCATCAGACAATTGGACCTGAAGAGGATCAAAGTTCTGAAGACTACGTTGGAGGAAGCGCGCTTATGGGCTAATATGTCCAAATTCAAGAACGATGTGCTGAATCAATCGTGGGTCCTGACTCCCGAAGAACGAGCAAAGCTAGATCTTCGGGCCGCAGCGGAAGAAGAGAAGGATAGAAGGAAGCAGAAGGAGTGGGCCGTGTATCGGAATAAGAAAGCTGAGAGAAAGAGATTGGCAGAGGAGAAGCGCAGAGAGAAAGCCGAAAAATACGAACGGCGGAGGTTAAGAGAAGAAGAGAAGATGAATCAAGGAGCATTGATTTGAAGGGCTTTGCATTGTTACGCCAAAGGTCAGAACGTGCGGTTGGGTCACTATTTATAGGACCTGCACAGTGTCCCTTGGTTACACGACCTGTGGACCGTCTCGGGGAGACTTGTTGTTCACTACATCAGATCAGCTGCGGGTGGATCCGTCAGCACATGGCTGGTGTGCTCTTGTTGGCCTCATGACTTAACAAGGAAATTTTGTGTCAAGTCGTTGAAGCTACAGGCCAAAATCTCGAATTTAACTGCCAATCAAATCACGAGCGCATTCCAGCCCTACCACGGCCACGTTCAACAAAACAGATCGACGAGCGGCCCGCAACCTTGACTGCCGTCCCTTCCATAGCGTACGTCGCGGCCCCTGTTCAGTCAACACTGTTTCTTCACCTGTGGCCCGCCTGGCCGGTGCTCCATATGGTCGCCCGGTGGGACTTCCTAACGACCTACCACCAGACACGGACACACTGAAGCCCGGCACAAATGTTACGACCATCGAGCGAGAGCCCTTTGGTAGGCGTTCTCGTTCATGCCAAATATGGGTTTATGTGATGTGATTCGCGCTTGAGTTCCCTTACAGATTTTCGGAAGCAGTTCCCTTCAAGTTCGAGGCGCATCATTAAGAAGGCGGTGCAGTCGAACTACGGATGAATTAGTATTCCGTCGCCCAAGATCAAGAACAACCATTCCAAGATTGTCCACATACCGTCAGCCGCCACCTCCAATCCTAGCAAGAATGACACCGGTTAGCGATTCGGTTCATGCTGTTGGGCAGAAGTACTCAGTTACTCAGTTCTCCAGCAAGGGTTTTACCATATAATCTCGTCATTCAAAAAAGCGTGCACTTGATTACTTCTTGGAAAGCCGGTAGTCTACTTTGTGAAATTTGATCTAGAAGTAAGTATGTAGAGAGGGGTCAGAACGTGTAAACAAAACACGTAATGCGGCCACATTTGAAACCATTTTGTTGCTATTATTTATTTCGCGAACGGAGACCATACCACTCATTGTCACGCTGTGAGTTACCAAGTCTTTCCCAAGCAGTATTTTCGAAGTGCATTGTACGAATTGGGATAGTAGACATGCAGGTGATGGTCTTGGAAATATGTACAAGTCAAAATAAGAACTGACTGAGGTAGTCGTATGTAGCTATCGACCTACTCCTCCGATGAGCAAGCCGGAACCGGACACGCTGACGAAAGCGTGTCCTGTTCCGGGACTGCATCACCAACAGCTAAGATATAGTAATGCGCATTCAATCTTATGGCAATATTACGCCACTCTCGGGAACCGATTCCTCTCTTGATGGCCGACGAGCTCTCTAAGCATGCAAAAGACCTCGAATCGACTGACAGCATCTCAATTAACCTAACCGCACGCGCAGCACGATGCAAGTAGTTACGCCCTCCAGAATAGGAGAAGAACTATCTCCAAACGCCAACTCATGGCCCCACAAGCCGATGAAATACCTAGATTTAGACGCCCTGGCTCAGCACAAGCGTATCAACAAGCTCTACACCAACCTCACATTCTGCTTTCCGCTGTCAGACACCAGTGTTCACACGCAGCTCTCCATTCAAGAAGCATTACGTCGCGCCCTCACTCGTCGTCTCTGTCCTGCCTTTCCATGGCTCGCTGGATATGTTTGTGACGCAGGAGAACGTCCAGGGGAGGGTCAGGGTAGATTTGCGATCAAGTACGATTCGTACGTCCCTGATCAACCACTCGGCAGCCATCTTGTCGATCCGCATCCCCGGTTCATCTCGTTTCCAGACTGGAAGGAATTGAAGAGGGTGCAATTCTGCCTTCCAACCGCCGGTCTTGATGAGAGACGTTTTGCTAGGTTCGAGACATTTGATGAAAGTGCAGGAAATGTGCTTGGCTTCGCGGTAGTATTTGTGCATGGAGGGCTGCTATTGACGGTAAGTGCCCACCACGGGAGCATGGATATGGCAGGGCTAGCATGGGCCATGCGGATGCTGGGGAAGGCGCTGAGGAATGAGAAGTACAGCGAAGAGGACCTGCGGGTCGGGAACATGTCTCGAAAGGGGCTGTTAGAGGGCTTTAAAGAGAATGACGAGTCCATTGAGGACAGCAACGTCAAGGACGAAGGCGTGACAGAGCGAACAAGACCTACAGAAACAAAGACCAAAGTAAACGACGAGACCAAGCAAACCCGCCTATGCTGGGCGTCCTTCTCGTTCTCCGCCAGCTCACTGTGCATGCTAAAGGAGTCAGCTTCACACGACGGCGTCCCATCAGACAGATTCATCTCCACAGACGACGTTCTCAGCGCATTCATCTGGCAAGCCATCACACGCGCACGCACGACTCGATTCACGGCTCACCCATCATCACTCACCACGATGCTCTCTCGAAATATCGACATGCGCCGCTCCTTTGGCGTCCCGCTCGCATATCCAGGCCTACTCGTCACCTCCACAACCACCCTACTCACGTTCGACAAACTCTTCTCTGCGCCCCTAGGCGCCATCGCGTATATACTTCGCGAGGCACTCGATCCTGAGACTCTGCGACGCGAAACACGGGCGCAGGTTGACTATATCAAGGCGCATAACGCACCTGCTAGAAAAGTGGGGGAGATTACGGGACTCGATGTGCGGCTGAGTAGTTGGGCGAAGGAAGATTGCTGTGAGGTCGACTTTGGGCCGGAGATTGGGAGGCCGGTGGCAGTGAGGAAATTGTTGTTAGAAGCTGGGGCGAGAGAGGGATTGGTTTATTTCTTGCCGCGGGGTCGGGATGGGGAGATTGTTGTGGATGTTTGTTTGACGGTGGGTGATATGGAGAGGATGAGGATGGATCGTGAGGTTGAGAGGATTGCTGTTATGGTGGGTGGTATGGGTGTTTGTGGTGATACCTAGTATGGAGATTAGTAGGCTGAGATTTGTAGTTTTGAAACAGGTGAATTTAGAGTGCAAGGAGAGGAATATACGCGGACAAAGCATTCCAGAGCAGCTAGTGTGGCTTGTCAACTTGCCGAAGTCAACACAAATATGTTGGGATATGAATAATAGAGGCGTACACAACGATAGGAGCACTGCGGTCTTAAAAGTTTGGATTTGGATATTCTGGATCGTAGTATAGCTCAAAGTGTCTGATGATCGACGTTAAGTCTAGAAAGCTGACAAGAGAGTAACGGTGATGTAGTAGGTTTCTTAGTCTTTTGATAAAGTTCAGAACAGTATTGCGCTAGCTGCTCGTATTAATTTGACCGAAAGTTTTACTATACACTCACACGGTACAACAGTGATATGACATGTTGGAGGTGAAATTGAAGTTGGAATTTTAAGTCTACTCAGGGGCTTAACGACCAACTGTGTGAGAGAATGCTGTGTAATAATATGTAATCTATACTGTGCAAAGTTACGACGTCACCATGGCAATACAACGTCATATACCGTTCGTTAATGGATAAGCAAAGACAATAACGATAATGATAATGAAAATTAACACGGCAACGCTTTACATAGCAACGCTTTACATAGCAACGACTTACATAGCAACGCTTTACATAGCAACGACTTAACACAGTAACGATTAACATAGTAACGATAACACAGCAACGATTAACACAGCAACGATTAACACAGCAACGACGTATAAAGCAGCGACTTATATAGTAACGACTAACATAGCAACGATAACAACGATAATACCAACATAGCAGCGACTTAACATATTAGCGACTTAACATAGTAACCATTAACATAGCAACGATTAATATAGTAACGATTAACATAGCAACGACTTACACAGCAACAGACGACCACACAAGCAACAGACGACCACACAAGCAACAGACGACCACACAAGCAACAGACGACCACACAAGCAACAGACGACCACACAAGCAACCTACCAATCCTAGCCACACAATCACACACCTCGACACCAAAACCTAGCCACACACCCATACTCCCCAGCACCTACCCCCTAAACCTACCACAACTCCCTATCAACACTTCCATGCCCACCACCTCCCTCATCCCCTCCCATCCCCTCCCCAACCCCAGCCTCACAATCCCACAAATCCTCCTGCCCGCCATACTCCATTCTCCATTTTTCATTCTCCATCCAGCATCAACCTTCTAGGCAGCCATAAAACCACTACCAACCACGCACTCACCGCCTCCTCGCATCACAAGACTCAATGCGGCATTTTCTCGCTCTGCCTTGCCACGTAACACCAGAAGGAAGAGAGGGGTGTGGTTGTTCAGTTGGAAATTTGGTTGTTCAGTTGGATATCTGGTTGGTTGGTTGGTTGGTCAGACTGAGTAAGCAGATGGATGGGTGCGTGCGTGAGTGAGTGAGTAAGTGAGTGACCGGACCGGACCGGACAGGGACAGGGCAGGGTAGGGTAGAGTACGATAAAGCAAGGCCGATCTGCACATCATCGAATTGAATCGCATTACATTGAGACGAAGAAGGATGGAATACCTGCGTGTGCTGTGCTGTACAAGTCAGTGTAGAGCGTGTGTGTGGTTGTGATTGTGGCTATGCTTTACGCGCAGATGCGCGGCTACCACAGGGGTGGTGATCAACCCCCAGTAACATCGTAGAACCAGGGCATGAAGTCAAGAACATTGCATACGCCAACAGTACGCTGCGGAATCGTGAGGGTATGATAAAGCTGCCATGGTCACCGGAATGACGCCTACCGGGGGCTACATAGATGTAATGTACAGTTAGGTTGTTATGAGGCGGACTCGGGATTCTGGGGAATGTGGCTGAGGCTGGGGCTGAGGCCGATGATGGCTCAAGGCTTGGCGCTGAGTGTTAATATGGTAGCTAGGGTTTGGAACTAGAATGGAAAGAACTAATTAGTTGACGGACTAGTTAGTTGAACTATGATAATCGTGGTGAACGTGCATGTATATCGATAGTAGATACTAGATGAATACTAGCTAACTCAACACCACAACAATCTCATACACAGCAGCCACCACGCGTAGAACACTCTCCCGTCTGCACCACCACCACCACGCAACGCCATGCAGCAGCGCAACGCAGCGCCATGCCATGCCCTCCATGCACGTGGCAGCCGCCCTGCAATGCCGGGAATTAACCCGTTACTAGCCCACTAACCTCCCCTCCCCTCCCTCCCCCATCCCCTAACCCTCTTAGTCACCACACGATCGCACCGCATCATTCCTTACCACACCATTAATTCCCTATCCCTATTAATTACCCAACCATCCATCGAATACATCCCTTCCCATTCTTTCGCTTCCTCCTATCCTCCTTCCATGCCTCTATACTTCTTTCCTTTCTGCCGTTGTTATATTAGATTACATTGTAGTTGTCTCCTTGCTCGTACGTCGTATCTTACGCTGTTGTATCGTGTCCTATCGTGTCCTATCGTGTCCATCGTATCATCTCCTGTGTTCCGCCCGTGAGATAGACGGTGGGTGGGTGTCATTTCCGGGCTTCTTCGTTCGCGGGTGCGGTCGGATCTAGGGACGGAGAGGTGGTGGAGGGGTGTTTCGAGATGCGTGCGTGCGATGGTGATGGTGGTGGTGGTGGTGGTGGTGGTGATGGTAATGCTATACTGTGTTTCGTGGTAGTAGGCTGGTTGGCTGGCTGTATACCGACACCTCGACACCTCGACACCTCACTTCATAGATCACGTATACCAATAATTAAATCCACACAGCAGAATCGTGTGTAATATCTAACCAAACACCATCCTCGCGTACCGTTTTGGTAGAGACCAGGTCGCAATTTCAACTCTGCAGATACAGATAGTTCTAGCTAGATAATTACACCCGGACATGATCGCGCGGCCGTACGCGAACTGTATCTATTATCCAATATCCATTCTCCATTCTCCATTCTTCAATCCACTATTGCCCGTTCTCCATTATCCATTATCAATTATCATCCACCCCTCCAACTATCCGTCCATCCGTCCACCCGTAGATACGCACCCACCCCCCTCCCCCTCTTAACCCTCCAAACAACCCTCCGCTACAAGCCCTCTCACCCATCCACTCCCCTCCCTAACCCGCAACCCCTCAAACCACAAACCATAAACCCAATACACACCCATCCCAACCCCCTGCCTTCACCCGTAAACAACCCTCCCGCCTCCCGCATCTGAAACACGCTAAACCACATGGTGCGGGCGGCATTTCTTAGTGGCCCGGGCAACTAGTGCCTGATGCCCGCCTCTCAAATTGGTTCTATTTTCGAAAACTTCTTTAAAAAAATGCCTCATTCAATTGAGACATTATTTTGCTCCCATATTAACATCTGCCGCGAATGATAGAAACAGAGAATGAAACTAGGAATTTCGCGACGAGCGCACGCTCCTTCTAGGTAGGAAACATATATAAATCATCTTCGAGTTCATAGCCAACAAATTATTCATGATATCTATCGGCATTACTCTACAATGCATTTCTTAAACACACTTATTACTATAGTGGCTGCTACCAGACTTATAAACGCCTATCCACAAGTTAACTCTCTAATAACCGACCGGGACGAAATACGAAAGAATATTACCCTCCCAGCCGTAGAGAAGATTATTACTGCACTCGAAGACCCAGATCGTAAAATTCCAGATCTATGGGAGCAAGTATACTCTCAGGTCGGATCGTATAATGTCTGGAACGAGATTTGGACCGAAGTTATCCATGGGTTCCACCGTATCAAACTACCGAAGTATTTGGAGACCAAAAAAGTTAGTTGTAACGACGACAAGCCGGAGAGCAAGGAGGATTATGAGCGTTCTTTGATATTGCTATTCGAATCTATTCGACAGTCTCATATCTCCAACCTTCACGGCGATCAACGGTACTCTCATGATTTAGTCCTTACATCTGGCACTGTCATGGCCTATGGATGTGACTATGGCTGTGGGCAGACTATACATCTCAGCGATCTCATAGCCATACATGCTGCGATCATGAATTCGTGTCCTGACAATGGCGGGTCCCTTGGTATAGATGAATGGCGCGCACTCTATGGTGTTAGAAGCACATTGTCCGACGCTTGGAGTACATGTGTCCGCCGAACGGAAGATAGACCAAAGTGTAAGCATTGAACATAATAAGAGACGGAGAAAAGCGTTTGTCTGTTGGGTACTATGTCTATCTACATACTCTGTCTACTCACATACTCTGTCTATTCACATACTCTGTCTATTCACATACCCTGTCTATTCACATACCATGTCTACTTAGATACCATGCCGGCCAAGAAACTACATACTCGGGGTCGACGAAGTAAATACTCTCATCCAGGATAGGCACGATACTGTAGTAACGACATTAGCTTGACTCCCATGAGACTTTAATCCACTCTCTCGGTATAACTACGATTGGGTTCGCCCGCCGACAGCCTACAATAGTCTAGCCACGGCTAGCGAACCATGAACTTCGATCATTCGCTGTCTGTTGGTCGTAGCAAGATGAACCTGAATGATGCTACAATACGAATGGCTGATCGGCAGATGAGTTTGGCAGGTAATGGTACGTGTGATGTGATGCAGGCTACGCGGGGCTGGGATGTGTGGTACGTGAGTGCGTGCGTGCGGCGCGTGCACGGGAGTGGAGTGGAAGGGATGACATACTATGGCATACTGGATGGATGGATGGATGGAGGGATATATTTAGTCCGTATACTATACTATGCTATAGTATAACGCATGAACGGATGGGGATTGGATCTAGGATGGAGAGAATGGGATGGAATAATAACACTCAGAAATCGAACTGAGACTGGGACTGAGACTGAGAGTTCGAGAGATTAGTGATCGATTACCACCTAGGCTCTAGATGTGTATCATAATCCATAGTTCATCATCCATCCATAGTTCACAATTCACAGTTCCAGCAGCGATCGATCGCAGCCAGAAAAACACCATGCGCCACGCCACGCCAGGAACCCAACCAGAACCAACACCAAACCAGAACCAAGTATCCAGTCATTCAGGAACCAGGAACACACCTCAGGAACACAGAAACTTGGTATACCTAGCTAGGATTACAACATCTAGACTATATGGTTAGTAGCTGTACAATCCAGACCAGATCCGACCAGCGAAAGGTTAAACTCCGCACTACATAGTTACCTACTTCCTTACCTACTCCCTTCCGTACTTACGATGAACCACGAACCACGAACCACGACCCCAAAAACCCACAAAACACAACGAACCACGAACCACAACCACGAAACCACAACGAAAGGTAAAACTCCGCAGCTCTTACGAACCACAACCTCCGAACAACGAACCACCAAAACCCCCCATCATCTCAGGGGAAGGAAGCGCACCACCACCAGCACCATCACCACAGCTACACACAGCAAAACAAGCAGCAGCAGCAGCAGCAGCGTATCGATCAAGTCAGTTCTTCCAATCGACACTTCATAATTAGTGTATGTGTGCGGTATGCGTACAGTATGATACAAATACAAAAAGTCCCGCAAACGCACGTGTCGTCCCCTCCTCCTCCTCTAACCCACCCCAGCAAGCCCAGAATAGCAATACTTAGTTCTGCCCACTCATCCCCGGTAATCAAGTGAAGTGACTGCATCCCAGCTCCAGCTCGAGCTCGGGCCCTCTGTTGAGAATGTTTCGACGGTTTCGAGGGTATGCATGTATGTCTTGGCTGTGCTGTGCTGTGCTGTGCTGTGCTGTGCTGTGCTGTGCTGTGCTGTGCGGTGCGGGGAGATAGGGGGGAATGGGCAGGCAGGCAGGCAGGTATGCAGGATGCGAAACGCGATTTGAGCGTGACTTATGGGTGCCTGACCTGTATGTATGTGTGTGTATGTATGTGTGTGTATGTATGTGTGTGTATGTATGTGTGTGTATGTATGTATGTATGTGCATGTAATGCGTGTGTATTGTGAGACGAGACAAGAGGAGGGAGGGAGGAGGAGGAGGGGTAATTAGTGGCAGTAGCAGCCAGCGCACGAGGGCACGAGCACGCGCACGCACAACAATCAGGCACGCACACACACACACATGATGGATATGCAAAACCCACCGAACAAAACACCAACATCCACCGGTCAAAAAAAAATAGCAGTAAAAACGGGCCAGATCATATGATTTGAATTATTATTAGATTCTTCGGAAACTCGTCTTTCCCCTTCTTCCCCTTCCCCTCTTCCTCCGCCGGGACCAGGTCAAGACAAGACAAGTCAAGACTAGACTATCTACTATCTGCCATCTGCTATCCATTTCCCCACCACCAAGATAGGAACGCGTCCCATCCATCCGTAGATGCATCGCATCATACCTATGCCAAAACTCTCTGGAAAACAACTTCGACAACAACATCAACTACTACTACTAGAAAAACCAAGGAAAAACAAAACAAACAAGAGACTTTCGTATGCGCCGGTTCAAATGCTATGCTTTCGCTTTCCATGGTACCCGCTGAAAATTTGGAGTTTTGTCAAAAAAGTACGCCGTTTCCATGCCTTGTGTCGGACGGAATGATGCAATGTGATTTGATTGTGTGCCGTGTCCACCGGGGACAGTGCTGGCAAAAGGAGATAGAGAGAGAGACTTCGTCCGTGGCACTCGTGTTCAATCCGTCTGTGCATCTATCGTGATCCCGTGACTATAGTGACAAAGAAAACTTTTTAATGGTCGGAGAGAGGAGATGAAGGTGGTGGTGCTTTAGTAGGCTGCGTGCCGGTGTGCGTTGGAGCTGAGGAAGCGTGTAAAGATGTTGCCGCTGGACTTAGCCTTCTTGGCCGGCTTCTCGTCGTAAATGTTGAGCGTGTGCTGGATCTTTTGGTACGAGGTCGCTGGCTGCACGTGCACGAGGGTAGCACCACTGTCCATATCGTAGTGCGGGATGCACGTGGCGTTTTGAGCGACATCATCGTAGGATCCAGTGAAGCTGGCAGGCGAGCCGCTCGAGACCGAGTCCGCGGAAGAGGAGCGTGTTGGAGGTGAAAGCGACGGTGTTCGAGAAGCAGCGCGAGAGGAAGGATAGGATGGGTATGCGTGGTAGGACAGGTCTTGGTACGATCGGTTGTAGCGCGACCTCGACTCAGCATGGCTCGCAGCCAGAGCGTATTGCTGTTGCTCTCGCAGACGAGCAGCGCGCATCTTTTCAGCCTGGGCTGCTGCTTCGCGGGCCTGATGGTCACGGATAGGCGCCAAGAACGGCTCGAGGTGTATGTAAAGATCTTCAGGATTGATCCGGAGGTCCCATTCCAGAAGGTGGAGGAGCTGCCTCTCCATCAGGTTGACTTCGGTGATTGAGAAGCCAAAGTTTTCGTATCCACGCACTGAAGTGTAGCGGGCCCAGTGCTTGTTCTTGGGGGAAGAGTCGTTGAGATTTTTGGCGGCCAGGATCAAAGAGGCGAGGAATATCCGGTGAACGGTACATTGCATGCCCTTTGCAACCGAAGGAAGACGGGCTTGTAGTCTGCTCAGGTAGACCAGCGAGGTCATCAGAGTTGGTACCTGTACATGTGACCGCTCAACCAGTGATGTGATGAATGCCTCGACGGAAGGTAATATCGAATCCTGTACATGTGACGAACGCTGGGGTGGACTGGAGGGAGGAGTAGGAGGTAGTTGCTTGCGGGTCTCTGGACGAGCCTCGCATCGAATAACTTGGGAGGCCTTTCGAGCAAGATATGCAATCATGTCCCTAGAGACTGGCATCTGCACGAAGCAGTCCAGAGCAGCCTTGTTCTGGTCTTGGGAGGGAATTGCGTAAGCCATGGCGTATGGAAGGCGTGTGAATGGCGTGAAGATTGGTGGTGGTGATGAGTAAAGCGAGAATTGGCGTGGTTCGGTAGAGGATATATGTATATCAGACTTGACACCCAACTAGCAGTGATATGTTGCGTGGTGGTCCGTGTGAGGATGATGGTGTGCAGGGGGGTTCCGAAGGGGGTAAGAGAGCTAAGACGAAGGATCCCTGTCGATGCACGGCAGAGGGGCCCACTCAGAAGCAGGCGCAAGGATGATGGAGTCTGGTGAGGCAGCTGGCGTCCTGGGGGGGGGCTGTCCGGTGCTGGTCCTTGATGTCGGAAGAAAGGGTATTTTTTGGGAAAGTTGCTGTCAGCTGAGCCGTGTGTCTGTTGCTTGAAGTCGGGACTGCGGGCGTTCGAGAATGTAGCGATGACAACTGCCAAGATCCGACCAGCGGAGAGAGAGAGAACCGTGCGAATAAAAAAAGGGTTGAGTAGGAGCGAAAGAATGCCCAAGGCGTTCCAGATGAAGCACTGCCGTCACTGGTCTCGTTGGTAGTGGGAAGTGGTGTTGCGAGGTTGAATTCGCCGAGGACTGCGCCTTGACGAAGGAAGACTGGCTGGTCGGTTGAGAGAGGCTGGCTGTTCTACGGGCGCACCGGGCTGGCCGAGAACAAGAGGGTAATGGTGGCTGAATAGAAGACGAAGAAGACGAAAAGAAGAAGAAGAAATAGAATAAGATGGGAGAAGAAAAGGTGAAGTGGAGAGAGAGGTTTGAATGTGAAGATGTCGGAATAATGCTCCAGCAGCAGCGGAGAGCAACGATACTTATTATTGTTCACAGCCGTTGTTTTCGGTTGCTTGCTTAAGTTGCTTGGCCTGGCGGTTGCAGGTAGCAGTGGGCGGTAACAAGAGGAACTGCAGCGCTCTCTCTCTCTCTCTCTTGTCGCTTGTAGAGGCGGTACGAGAGGGCGAAGGTGGGGGGGCGTCTTTGGTTGGTGGTGGTGTGTGGGTAACTTGCCAGGTTTTGAGCCAATGACGACTGCTGATCAAGCTGTTTTGTCTGGCGCGCGAGAGCCTCGTCGTCGTTTATAGGCTGAGAGACCGTCAACCACACTTGATGGTCGTCAAGAGGCGTGTTTCAAGCTCTCGGTGGCCTGCTGCCAACTGCACTCGCTGTTCGTGCTTCGTAGGCCGTCGTCGTCTGTCTGTCTGCTCCGCTTGACCACTCTCGAGCCTGGTGCAATGATCCACAGGCACTACGTTTCCTCGTGCGAGGGGGTCGGTGTTTCGTCTGTTTGTGGCTTATCTGTTTGAGAGCCAATACTGCAGGCGACGCTGTCCTGCGATGAGGGCTAGTTGCGCAGTGAGAAACGTTTGAGTCACAGGATTCTGTGTAAGGATGCCGATGTTGGATGTTGGATGCTGGATGCTGGATTCTGGATTCTGGATGCCAAATGCTGGGCAATGATTCAAGTCTGCTTGCTATATACTGGCTGTCGTGACAGAATCGAGTGGCGGGACCGCTGGGTTGGGTGCAAAAATGCGTAATTATGGAGTTGGGTACCACTAATTTACTTGCTGAACAGTATCAGAATGAGGCTGGGACATTATTCTTTGTATGCGTTGGCAGCGCTGTGATGCTGGCTGTCGTAAACAATAGGATAATAGGACAATAAGCGTTGCTTGCTTGCTGAATAGCAGCAACTCACCACCTAACCACGCCTAGATAGCCCCAGGTAAGCCCAGGTGTCTGAATAGCCCCGCCCAATCAATGGCTTGCGACATTCACTATAATGTCGGAGTCATTCATGCGGAACTTCGACTTGACGAGTTCGTAAGCCCTCGATAGTTTAGGTACAGAGAGGTTTGGTGATTGATTGCCACGAGCCCCCAGCCACGGGGGTTGCGTGTTCGCCTTCAACAGCCCCGGATTTCGTGCAGAAGGTGGATTACCACCCAGTGCCGGCGAAGATTGCGTTGGCGAGACCCAGACCGATGCATGACCTCGACTCCAGACATTAGTATCAGGATCCGGCATGATTGCAAGTCTGGAACAGGTAAAGGATAAGCAAGATTTGGACTGGTTGACGCGTCGTGCCAGGAAGTTGATAGCTGGAAGCTTCGTGCAATTCCAACCATCTACACGCGCCACTCGTGGCTGAAAGATCTGCCGAGTGCCGAGCGCCAATCATATAGCCAGGAGCACAACCAGTGCCGAACTTTTTCCCCACCAGCCACGCGAACGGAAGGCGCAGGGCAGTCGTGTGAATGGCGAACCGCTATTCTTTTTGCTCCACTTGACTTTGCGCCCCCCCGCCTTCATTCTCACCATCATCCCGACTCACCATCAACCCATACCATCACCACTGATACAATACTACCTTATTATCATCATCATCATCATCATCATCCCTTGCTATTCGTCACGCGCACTTCACGCCATCTATGATCTACGATGCCCACCGCAGCAAGCATCTGCACTGTCTGCATCAGCAATCATGCATCAAATGATCATGCTCTCAGCTGCCCCAACCACGAGCACCACATTTTCGCATCTGGTTTCTCCACCCAAGCAACTTGGTTGGCGATCTGGCCCATCACTCATCATGGAATCAATCAATAGTGTCGAAACTTATCGACTGCCTCTCGACTGTCTGGCCTTCTGCAAACCTTACACACAATGCCATCTTCAAGCGCTGCACAGCCACCATCTATCTCCTTTGCATCTCGTCAGACTATTGATGAACGACTGTTCGAGACACGCCAAGATGTCGTGACTACGCGTCTATGCATCCTCCTTATTTGCACACAAGAGCCGAAACCTATCTTGCATCGCTCTCACCTTCACACTACGCCTCAGGTTATTTTGAGAGACTCGAGAGGGCGCTCAATGTCGCACTGTGCCACGCGCCTCGCGAGCGCTTAGCCGTCCGCCGTTCGGGCGGCTGCACGCCCTACTAGAGGCCAGTCGAGTGGCCTCTACCCAAGTAAGAGCCAACAGAGCCTCAACTTTCTGACAGGCGTCTCGCTGCACTGCTTATTTTAGCCCTGTCTAGTGTTTGGTCTTCCAGAATCCAGTTATGCTAATCTTCTTTGACTACAGATCGCCTGCAACGATCCTAATTCCTTACCTCTCCTCAGACACTTTTCGCTTGTTGCTTCCCGAAAAAGCCCTGAGATCGATCAAGTAGCCCAAAACAGCTATTACCGTTGGCTCCAAACACCCATTTCTGGCATTCCTGAGGCCTCGAGATGCCATTCTACATGACACCTTGCAAGCCGCAAGGACACGGGGCTTTGTCGCAACTCTGTAAAAGAGAGCTGCTGAAGGATCTCCTTCGGTCCGTGTGACTATCTGTAGCCATGCACTCCGTGATGTGATCCATATCCTCTCTTTTGCGTTTAGCTCAATTGCTAAGTCGTCCGTCCAAGAGGCATTATTTTGTTTGCCGCGTCTTGTCTCTGATCGGTGTCGCTAAGACCGAGCGAGCATCAGCAGCCTCGCGCGGGTCAGGCCGCTGTAAGACCAGCCCTACGGAAGCGCCCGAGCGATCCTTCGCCCCTCCTCCAACAAGACCAGGATTCATCTATGCGACTGGCGATTTTCAGATCGAGAACTCTTCTTTCAGCATTATCGATTCTGTAGACTTTGCAAATCAACACGTTCAGCAGTTTGATCCCACGCCTCATATGCACTACTACAAAGCCAATACTGCAACACAAGGCAGTGGACATATATTTGCAACTACCGTCGGCAAGCGGCCAGAACTAGAAGAATAAAATCCTAGCATCACCAGTGACCTACGTTCTATATGGAGTAACACGGAGTTGTGCTAGGATCATGGATCTGAGACGAAGATCTACTTTTGTAGAAAGCCAAGACGCGTTCCAGCGACCAGTATACAGGTAGTTGTCATACCCCAAATGACGTCTATGCCGCAATCGGTCCCGCTTCCAGACCCGCATGCAGGTCCCGCGTCCGTGTTTTCTGTATGTGCTCTCTGGTTCCTATTTGAGACTCTTGAAAGTCGTGCGATAGGTCGCCAGAAGGATTGCAAGACCACATACCACAGGCCATCTGCTGTACAAGAATTCGCTCAACTAAAAATTATTAGTGAGGTGTCGCGCATCGATTGCGCCAATTGAGCCGGACTTGTCCCTACAGAGACCACTAGCTGCTTCACGCAATCCTTCAGGCCCGGCAAACGTCAACTGGTGACAACACCACCCAATATTATTTCGTTGAATGTGGCCTTTCGGATCTCGACATGATCTTTTTTTCCCTCTTTGCATTCGACTGCTCAGCATGTAGGAAGGGAGGAGGTTCTTGCTGCATTGCCCAGCCGCAGATACTCGGACGACCTGTACTGTACCTCATCAATTAACGAAAGGGCGGTCCTTGGCTACCCAGCGCATGAATATTGGCTCGCATAGATCCCATCCACAGGGCGTCATCAATATCGCCTGCCTGACACACACACACACACCTCGTGCCTACCACTTTGGGATAATACACACTACCTACATACCGAGGTAACTAGGCATCTTACATGCTGTTTGTATGAGGTGAGCCGGTGGCTTTAATTTTCTTCTTTCTAATGTCGCCGTGGCGGTGCCAGGCAAGCAGGCAGGTAGGCAGGCCTCTCTCTATTTGTCATTCATTCATCCATTCAGGATTTCGTTCACCAAGGCTGCTAACTAACATAGCATGTACCTGCATGAACCAATACTATTATTATTATTAGTCTGCATGGGTTTAATTGGGTGAATCTCTGGATGGTCAGGCCATCATTTTTCGCATCCCGCCCTCTCCATCCATCCATGGCACCCGTGACAACCATGCATGCGCACGCACGCAAGCACGCAAGCAAAGCGATGGAATAGTTATTTCATCATGTTCTCCGTCCGTGAATGCGGCGCGCAATCATGATAGTGATAATGATAATGATAACGATAATGACGTGACGATATCATCTATTTCTAGAACGCTATTAGACCATAGGGGGTATCGAGCTACAACGACAACAACGACAACAACAACAACAACAACAACTACAACAACTAATCCCTGCAGAACAAACAAACACCACACCCGCCATCACCGCCACCACAACTACCCTCATGTCTTCTAAGGCAACAACTTCGACGCCAACCCCTCCCGGCCTCTATACGGACCCAACGCAATCGGGATCCTCCCCGAATACCCAAAATCGCCCTGCGCATCCTGCAACGCAGCCGCGACTTTGCCCGTCATGCGCGCGATCCAGCGATCGTTAACAAGACCGCCAACGAGCGCCTTCTTCATCCCGTCCTTTGTGCTCTGGTGAAGGTCGCGCGCAAATTCCTTCATTTGCGCCTTTGTCGTGCCGTCAGAGAGGTTTTGCCGGATGTGCTTGGCGAAGACCTTGAAGCCGGCGGCGTCGCGGACGCGCATGCGTTCTGAAGGGGTGATGGAGGATATGCTCTCTGTGTCGCTCGTGGTGGTGTCTATGGGGAGGGATGATGATGGCGGGGAGATGACGGGCGAGGAGGAGTTGTTATCATCGTTGTCGGCCGTCGCCTCGTCCAAGTCCTTTTCGAACTCGATGATCTTGGTCGACTTGACGAGTGCGGCAGTGAAGTTGAGCAGGCTCTGGTCGAAGCTGGCTGGCAGGCTGCCGTGCACGCTCATGACGATTTCCGTCTCGTCTCTTTGCAACTTGGCCAGGGCGGCCTCGTGCTGTTTCGCCTTGGGCGTTGTGCCCTCTTCGTGCTGGATTGCGGACTCGAGGGCTTCTTCGTCGGCGGGGGTGGGTGCGGGGGGGATGATGTGTTCGTGGTGCGGGAGGAGGAAGGACGGAATGGTGAAGGAAGCGTCTGCGCCGCCGAGACGGACGACTTGGGAGATGGTACTGGAGTGCGGGATGATGCGGTAGGCGATGACTTCGTCGAATTTGAGGAAGGCGGTGATGGTGGAGAGGGTGCTTAGGGGGACGGTGGCGACGCCTTTGATGTCGAGGAGTTGCACGCAGAAGTTTGCGTCGGCGGTCCAGGAGGCGACTTTGCGTTGGAGACGGCGTAGCTCGGCGTTGTTTTCGGTGTAGCGTTTGAAGACTTGCTTTTGGAGCATTGAGGAGAGCCATTTCCCGGAGCCGGCGGCGTTGATGCTGCTGATGCGAATGGGGTGGAAGTAGCTTAGAGGGGCGAGGAGGAGCCGGAGCAGGAATGGCAGGCGGTGCATGAACTCTCGCGTGCGTGGTGAGGAGAGGTTCTGGAGAGTGGTGACGCGGACGGATCTAGATGGAGGGTGAGGAACTGAAGGCAAGTCGTGCAACTCAGCGCTGGCAGCGGCGCGCATCTCATTCTCGTCGTCGATCCGGACACCGCGCTCCTGTTTCGCTTTGTGCCTGGCCTGCTGTCGTGATTGGTATATAGCACTCGTCGTCCGGATCTCCGTCAAGCGTTCCTGATACTGCGTGTCGGCGACCTGGTCGTCTGGACTCAGAGTCGTCACCATGTCCAGTCCAGCCTGCCAACCGTCACGATCCACCCCAGAAGAGTCTGACAGTCTACGTACCTGCGCTGACGAATCCGCCAACCAGCTAACCCCCGTGAGCGTCTCGCGCAGTTTGGGTCTGTCCGTGTACTTTTTGCCGCCGATATTGGCGGCGCGAAGCAGCGGTGTGTTGTCGAGGAACACGCTGATCTCGGATGCCGCATCGTCTTGTACATCGTCCATCTCGGCGAAGGTCATCTCGAATTTGCCGCCCTTGATGTTGGCGTATACATCGCCGATCTCGATGGCTCGGAAGAAGCGCACTACGACTTCGTCGACGTATATTGCCAGCTCGATGTCGTCCGTCAGCTTGAGTCCTGCGACGTGATATCAGTAGCTTGTTCCGATAATCTAGTGTCTAATTACCAAGTTCAATGCCATGAGCAACAAGCGTAAGGCCAGAGCAGGAGAACGTCGCGCCCCTGATGACCATCAACCCATCCACATCCGTATCAATCTCGAGCGCAGGAAGATTAAACAGCGCAAGCTGATCCCTCACAAACGACGGATGCTGGCCCAGCGTCTTCCGCAGAACCCTCCTTGCCAGCCGTGCCGCTATCCGGAATTGAAACAGGCACGTGAGCAGGATGGACGGATAGCACGCGAGTGCAAACCCGGCGTACAGCAGCCACGACGTCGAGCAGATGGCATACACCAAGTTGAACGTGGCGAGGAACGTCCACAGCGGTATCGAGGGCAACACGCGGTTATCGCGGCCGTGTCCGTACACGACGATCAGGCTCTCGATTGCGGCTCCGGAGAGTGCCCATCGCCGTGCCCAGGATAGGGTTGCGACGAGGAGGACGAGGATCGAGGTCGCGAGGTATGGCCATGTTAATCCGGGTTTCGACGATGCATCGCGTGGTGGGTGTGAAGTGCAGTCTTGGTGTGGCGGCACGGGCTTCCTTGGTATCTTTGTTGCGTTGGATGCCATGATCGAACATTAAGACCAGATTTGAAATAAATGGTGTTTGTTTGTTTTGGCTGCGCTTTCATGATCATAAGACAGGCATGATTCTTGTGATGGTAGTAGAGGTGAATAAGTAAGGATCCGGGGGTTTTCAGATTGGGCGGAGGTACAGAGTTGCTGTGCCTGGCTTTGGTGTTGCACAAGGCTTGAGAGGCAGGTTCAGGGTAAATGGATGGATGGATGGAAGTGAAAGCGTGGCATGCGGTGTCTAATTATGATGTCAGTGGTCGTCGCCTGCAGCCAGGGAGGCGTTTGGTGGGGTGAAACCGTGAAAGCGACCACCGACGCGCGCCGTTTTCTGCATGGAGGGAGAGAACGAGTGGAGATATTGACTCGCGAGTAGGTGGCCTCCATCTACAATTCACATGGTTCTTTGGTGATGGATAGCCTGAAGTCCTGGATATTCACGAAGATCTGCTGCGTGGATAGTCAAGAAGAATAGCTGACACACGGGGCTCAGTCGCTTAGTGAGATTATCAAGAGACGCGATCAACCTTTTAATTGTTGGATGTGACAGTGAACTGATGCGAAATATCGACACTTGGTTTCGAAGGTCGAATCTTGACATGAGCTTGGTCTGGCCGAGTATTCTATACATTACGCGCGAATGCAGTGATGGACTACATGAACAGAACATGGCCATTTGGCATCTCGTTCATTGAAGTGTCAGAACGAGAGTCCCGAATTTCCTTGATGCGGACAATGAAATCAATATGTAATTCCTGAAAGAGGGTGCTTGTTACTGTTGATAATCTGTTCACTTTTTATATTATGCCATTAGTAGGTGCAAAACACTAGACCTAGGTTGTATGTTGATGACGGACATGGCTCTTTCTCATTTACCAAACAGAATCGCACAGTCATTTCCACGAATTACGAACAAGATGGCTGTCAGTGGCCCAATCTGTTTACTTCTGCTACATTCTTCCCCAAACCTTTGGAAGGCGTGGAGTGGGTAAGAAGGGGCTGATCGAAGATGAAATAGGCAATGACTTATCCAGACTGATTGATTATTATCTGTCCTTGCATAGCTTAGCTCTTGGGCTTCCTCCTTGATCATCTTACACGATCAAATTAGTATCTCTACATATCCATAGTCAACGGTTACCTTCGTTATTTCTCCCTCCGCTTTGAGCGCCCACACCCTCGTTCCATTATGAGACGTCCAACCACATTGGCATCTGTGTAAGCCAAACCCGGTTCGAGGACAGAATATGCGCTGACTAAGTACTATAACAGCAGAAGTCTGTATATACTACCTTTGTGCCAATCTCCGACCACTCTAGACAAACGTTTTGTCTTATAGCTATTCGCATTACACGCCATCGACCGATTCAATCAACATCTACAATCCATGTTCCATCAACGTAACTAACAATATCACCTTCTAGACCGCTACAAGCTCTCGCATGAGTTCACCACGGCAGTGTATGAGGTTCAGAGCGACTGCGATCCAGACAGCATTGGAGATGATCTCCGGAGATGGAGCAGTGATATGGTTCTCTATGTTCGGCCGCACACGGGCATTGATCCCCTAAATGGTCGATTAAAATGCTCCGTTGGCTTCCTGGATGAAGCGGATGCCATTGAAGCAAACGGACAGACTGACGTAGGTATCATGAAACACTTCATCATCACGTCAAAGACCACCGAACAGCTTCACGAATTCTTGCAGCGCACGAAAATAGTAGGCATGAAGCCTTGGCGGAACCAAGGAAGCCTTGCCTTCATCAGGATGCCTGATTCGGATGCCTCTCCTCCAGGAAGCCCACGCTGTATCGGTCTACCCTCGAGGAAGATGACAAGGATGTCACTAGAGCTCAGCGTAATTTTGGAAAAGTTTCCACCACAATGGCCTCCGTGCCGGTTCTATAAACCAGAGCCCCTGCAGCCCCTGCTCGTGTTCCATTCTTTTCATGTGCTTCGCCAACTGAACGAAAGGTTTTCGGATCTAGGGTCCCGCCTTCAGAGACTAGGTGTAAGAGAGCGAAGATATATCAAGGAAACAGACTCTCACCGGGTCTGCGAAATTGGTTTCCGTCACTTTAGCGAAGCCAGCACTGCCTATCGATGCATCTATGGCGAGAAACCGCCGGAAGGTGCCATTGTACGCCACAATATCACAGTGGAGGATCGAACCGTGACACTCCACGATCTTCCACTTTGGGCAAATCCTTTCATTATTGCAAGACTTATTGTACTGCACGGGTATGAGATTCCTTCCATAACCGCCTACAACGTAGCCTGGGGTCGGTGTGATGTCGTAATGGCCGATCACGCAAGCGCTATTCATGCTATTAATTCGCTAAGATTGCGATTGATGGGCAAAGATGTAGAGGTTACGGCCTTTTGTCCCGGAACTGGGAATACTCCAGTGACGAACCTCGAGCCAGGGGCGGAAGAGGAACCCTCATCATCTGACTTCGATGATGACTCTATTCTGTCGACACATTCTCAGTCAACGATAAGCGAGCAATCATCAGAAGATGTATACAGCGACAAAGATACTGCCACCGCAAAGTCTGAGCTATCACAAGATCGACTCGTGGCGTGGCAAAGTCGAGTAAAGATTGCAGAGGCCATGCGGAGAAAGACCGAGTGTGAGCTCAAGGAAGCGAGGGCTGCACATTCCGACGCACAAGCAGCATGGGAAGCGCAACGCCAAAGCCTGAATTGTGACATCAATAAGCTCAAAAAAATGGAGGAAGTACGCGTTCAGCTTGCGTTGAATCTGGAGAAGAGGATGGAAGAGGAGATTAGTGATAGAGGGGCCGAAAGGGCGGACTTTGAGTCAAAACTCATAACATTAAAGCATGAAAATGACGATTTGGCCGTCGAGAAAGACAAGGCCGTATATTCCTTGGCCGAACGGAAGAAGGAGTTTGCCAGATCTATGCACGACATGAATCTTGAGAAAGGAAGACGTCGAGAGCAGGAGAAGAAGCTACGGGAGGATGTCGACCGGCTTGAAAAGGCGCTTCTCGAGGCTGAGTCTGGACAAAGGAAACTCCAATCAGAACGGAATGGCCTGACAAAACAGAATCAGTCCTTGACGAGCAAGAACAAGTCGTTGGAAAAGGCACAAAAGAATTCCCGTACCGAGAAAGATTCGCTGGTTTCCAAGGTGAAAGGCATGCAGGCGACCATCGAGAAGATGCAAAAAGCTGCAAATGAGGCGAAGAGAACTTCTGACGTCGAGCAAAAGAAGAGTTTAGACGCTCTTGAGGAACTTCGCAAGATTGCAGACAAAGCAACACAGCCTTCCGAAATCGATCAAAAGAACCTGGATACCATTGAGGAGTTACGCAAAGAGCTACACCAAGCGAAGACATTCTCAGACCATATCAATCAGGAAAACCTTCGAGTCAACAAGGATATTTGGAAGGAACTACAACAGAAGAGGGAGTCCTATAAAGACGACCAAGCGACTATCATGCAGCTTACCATAGACTTGAGCCAAGCGAAATATTCTCTTGATGCTCAGAACAAAGCATGGGAGGAAAAACATAAACGAGATGAGGAGGATATCAGGCGCCTTGTGCGAGAGCACCAAGATTATCGGGACATGCATGCCGCGGAGAAGCTTGCCATGTCATTGGAACTCGAGACTGCACAACGTACCATTAAAGACAACCACACTCGATATCAATCACAAAGTAGCGTGTGGCAAGCAAACGAACGGCAGCATATCAAGGAAATCGCCGATGCCGTAGCTGCAAAGAAGCACATAGCTGAAGAAGTCACTGAGCTGAAAAGCGAGATACATCGACTACAGCGGGACAGGAAAAGTCGTGCCAATACCACCCGTGATGAGAGTGAGCAGATCAATGATCAAGTCACCGAATTGCAAAACGACTACGACAAGTCTCTTGCTGAGCAACTCAAGAGGGAGAAAGAGACCACGAAACATCTCTCTGCGACGTGCGAGACTCAGCAGGCAGAACTACTAAGACTCCGGGAGCAGCTACCGCGACAGCCACTGTCTGAGTCAGAACGAGATGTAAATCTTCTGCAATCACCAATAAGCTCGCTGCCAAAGCCACTTGGTAGTTACTTGAGCTCTGATAATGTATATGGTATCCAGCGCGGACTCGAATCTGGTGACAGACGTGCATCCTCAATCGGAGAAACATCGAACCAGCTTCACTCCAACGATATCGATGAGCTATACGTCAACTTGGAAATCATCGCAGAGCCGATCATCCGAGCGCGCGAAAACCTCGACGCAGCTCTGGCCAAATACCCCCTGGAAACCTTCCAAACCTGCACGGTGTCTCTGGAAAAGAGGCTGGAAGATCTGGAACGCAAACACGAACACGACATGTCCGTTCATCACACGAGGTCCAAGCGTATCCAAGAACACATTCGAGACGGAAGAGAATTCATAATCGCCGCGCTCCGACGTCAAGTCACCGAGCGCGACGCAAGGCTTGCGACACGCACCGGGCAGCAAGAAACACCCGTCATCGAATACGCTCCGTCGGCCTCAGCCTCAGGCCCAGCTCCAGCCTCGAACGCAATCCCCGAGCTCCGCATTGATCTCCATCGTCCTGAGCACGGCGCGAGGGTGGTGGGCCCGCATCAGGTCCTCCTAAGCTTCTATCAACCACAGACCGGTGACGCCGTGCGCCCAAGGCCATTTCAACTCGCTATCATTGAGCAGCCTATGTTACCAGTCTTGCCTGCTGATGAGAGAGGTGTTATTCAGGAGTTGCCACCGTCGGAAAATGGGTCTGCAACGCAGCCTAGGACGAATAGTTATCTCTGGCAGCATACGCAGCGTGCGGATGGGGCTTTGGAGTGAGAGCTGGGATGTAGTGGTTGGTAGCTGGGCTAAGGGACAATGGGAAAAGGAGAAAGAAGGGAGAATTTGGGAATAGAGGGGGAAGTCCTTGTCTGTTTGTACAACTGTCTTTTACATCTTGTTTGTCGTGTATTACTCTTGCTTGGATTGAGGTTATCATTCTCTGGTTGTTTACAGTGGTGTATGATGGTGGGTGTTGGGTGTATGTGTAGTTTAGACGAGACTTGGATTTTGTCAAAAGCCAAAGTCATAGTTCATCGCTACTAGTACAGCTTTTTTTGGTCTTGAGTCCATGTTCTAGGTCGTTACTGCGCATGTCCTCGTGTGCCTGTCGTTGTAATGTATAGGTAAGTCTCTTGTGAGATACATATATACATACACACACACGCACAAACACACACATAGCATAGACGTAATCACAGCGGATGCAAAGAAGACATATCCTTCCACGAAATCACCCCAATGACCCCTTATATATCTATCAACGTCCTTGAATCCGACGATATATACAACAGCCCTAATCACCACTAGCCCTCGCACTCGCCGCCGGCCGGCGACGGTCACATGTCAAATGTCACATGGACCATCAAGATATATAATATATATGCAACACATATATACGTATAGATATACTATAGAATACGTACTTGATTATATACGGAGGGGAACTTATCCTAGAGGTAACTTAGCCTTATGCTTTCTCATCGTCTGATTAATCAGTTCACTATTCGGGCATTTGCGCGGGTGGTTATTAGCTTCGATTGGATAAATGAATTGTGCTGTCGTCACGTGTGATATGGCGGGACGCAGGGGTGGAAAGCCTTTTGATGGAGGCGGATGGGTCTGGGAGTATATCCACATGGCATGGCATTGGCAGTGGCAGTGGGATTGACCGAAATCTGGAATGTATGGCATGGCACGCACATAAAACAACGAACAGGATTCGAAAGGGATAAAAAGGTGGGCAAAATATGTATGTTTGCCTAAAATCAAAGTTATACAAAAGACACCAGGTCGAAAGATGGAGAGAAAGCTCCGATACTACGAAAACAAAAGACGCAATGCTCAAGCCTCAACAGCCGCCAAACGTGCCCTCGCACGTGGGAGTGGCAGAGGGAGAGGCAGAGGCATCACTGAGCTGGACCTCGAAGCCCTCGAGGAGACTCCACGGGCCTTTGACGTCGAGCACCTGCGTTGTTTCGTTGTATGTGGACTCCCTGCCGTTTACGGTCCGCTGGGCAGTTTGGCCTGCAAAGACGACGCCTGCGACCTGCACGCCCGGGTTGTAGCCAAAGGAGCCAGTGACCTTGAGGGTAGAGCCGTCGAAAGTAAAGTCGATGTTTGATACGGCCGCTTGCGTCTCGCTCTCGCCGTCGTCGAGGTATAGCGAGCCTGACGCCTTGCCGTCTGCGCCGGGCGCGACGATGATGCGGAAGTCCTGGCGGCGCGTGGCAGTAGTGGTGTTCTGGCCGCGAAGACGCGAGCCGATGATGGTGCCACCGCGGATATGCACGGGGATCTCCGTATACGCAATGTCATTGAGCGTGATGGTCTGGCCAGTGCTTGTGAACTTCTTGTAAGTGAGGAATTCGTACCAGTTGCCAGCTGGGAAGTAGGCATCGACGGAGGTAGAATCCTGGTACAGCACAGGCGAGATGAGGATCGCGTCGCCGTAGAAGTACTGGTGCTCGATGGCGAAAGTATTTGCGTCTTCGGGGTAGAGGAAGTACATTGGCAGAATGAAAGGCGTACCAGTCGTTGATTGGCGATGAAATTGACCGTACATATAGTCGAGGAGACGATAGCGGATATCCATGGAGTATTTTGCGGCTTCCGTAACGGAGGGCCAGAGATAAAGTTCCTGGTGCGCGGCAGAGGTATCGGCGTGTGTGCGATAGAAGGGAGAGAAAGCACCCAGTGTGGTCCAACGTGCGCACATTTGCTCTGATGCATTGTCGTTGAAGCCGCAGATGTCGCTGCCGACCATTGGGACTTGATAGATCGAGGCAAACTGGAGAAGGCCGGTAATAGAGAAGCGGTAATGTTCCCAGCGGGACGCGTTATCACCCAGCCAGTGACCGACGTCTTTGCCCGTGCCAGCCCAGGTACTGCGGGATATGATCAAGGTTCGCTTTCCTGGTCGTCGAGACTCCATAGCCGATTTGGTGCGTTGAGACATCATTCTGCCGTAGAGGTTATGCATGTCGTACTCCTTTTGTCCACTTGCATGCGTGATGTCAAGGTCGATTGAGTAGTTGTTGACCTCGCCATTATCATTTCGAATTTTGTATGCTGGAAAGGTGAGGTTTCTTCCTTCAAGGCCCAGCATGTCTCCGTCGGCCCTCCTTTGCATGCTTGTGCCATGCGCAACACCTCTGGGTACGTTGTACGTGGGCAAAGATAGCCACTCACTACGCCTTTCTGCTTGAGCGGTGTCATTTGGCTGGAAATCTGGACCAAATCCTGGAATAGGTCGAGGGGAGCTGTACCTTACTGGTGGATCTTCAGGCGGTACCTTGTTGTCGATTGCGAACTGGTAAGGATTCGTGCACGGATACGGGCAGAACAAGGCAGCCTCGTTCATATCGATCCAGATGCCATCAATGTCGAAACCGGTATCGGGGTTATAGAACTGTTCGATCTGACCAGTCCAATATGTCTGTGCGTTGGGATGAGTCCAATCCGGAAACACTGCGGCTCCGGGCCACACCACATTCGTGAATGGGCCTGATCCATTGGCATACATCATGAGCACATTTTGGTCAACAGCGGCATCGTATGCAGGCGAACCGACCCCAATTGCAGGATTGTTCATGAAGATAGACTTCTGTTCGTATTGATGAAGATGGTCAATGACCTGTCTGAAGAGATCCTTTGGATATCTCAAGGGATCAGTCGTGAAGATTCTGCGGCGATCCATGTAGTTAATATCACTCCAGAAAGCCTCAAGAGGTATGCCAGCAGTGGAGTAATTGGCAATAACTTCCGCTACTTCGTAAAGATCTCTGTATCCATACTTGCAGTTGTGAAATCCAAACGCCCAGTACGGTGGTAGTTGAGGCATACCGACGATCTCGGCGTACTGCTCGGCAACATTTATAGGTGTTGGACCGGCCATGAAGTATAGGTCCACGATGCCGCCGATCGTGCTATACTCAATGTACTGGCCTTTCTCTGCTGTTTTATCAATAGTAATATCCATGCCATCCGAGTTGAGGAAGAAGACGCCATGGGTTCCCTGACTGCCACGGTGTTCGAAGTATACAGGATGAGAGCCATACAGATTCCGTCCAGGAGGGACGAACGGTGTATCTTTGTCCCAAAGTGTACGATTGTACTGCGTAGTATTTAGACGAAAAGGATCCGTGGATTCTCCCAGACCGTATAGATTTGCATTATCCACAAGGCTGGATCGGAATTGCAAGAATTGTGACTGGAAAACCAATGTCGAGCCAGAAGTATTGAACAGAGCTTGTCCTGTGTCACCTTTGCGAGTGACGACGAAGGAGAAGGGGTTCTCTGTGTAGGAAAAGTCCAATTTTGCATCAGTGCTTGGGAATGTTCCGCCTGGGCGTTCCAGAACCCCCTGTGGGACCTGATACACGTTCTTTGCAGCATCGAATATCTGGACGTGTAGACGATTTTCTGCAATCGTCAGCTAGGTTTACATCCGATTAGTTCGGTAGGCTTACCAGACTCCCAATTGACCTGGAGCTTCAAGGCTTCGATGTCGTAACCATATGTATTGCACGCATCTCCAGCAAGGAAAAGATCTGCTGTCACCGAATCAGAGGTCTTGCTGACGTTTGTTATCCTGTAGCCGGGACATTGATCAAGTTCTAGAGTGCTCTGCTGAATCGATATTCGCGCAGGTGAAGGACCTGGTCCTATATCAGGACCATATCCTAAGATTGGAGTAGCATGGTACAAGCAAGCCAGGAGGAGGGCGTTGAGCAGGGCCATTGTGGGTATTCGGCGAGAAAGGACCAACTCTAGGGAAGATAAATCACGGCGCAGATTGGAAGTTTATATCTCCTTCTCTCCGCAGTGACGAGTCCGACACCAGCCCTGAGCCAGCCCTGGACCATCTGATCAGATATGTGACCCACACAGAAGCCAGCCAATCACAGGGCATGGAGGGAGAGAAACATGCTGTACGTTGCATAGTTCTACTCCGTTAAGTTGCGTTGTGTGCGGACAAACCCATCCAGGACAGAATCTTAGCAAATTATAATTTCCCATGGGTGCCAACCCGGCGGATAGAGGGAGAGGGCAGAGGCGTCTCGTGGTTCGCAACATCACCGTCATGGTTGGTGATTGGGGTTCTTGTGGACACAAGGTACGAGTTGAGCGCAAGACACTGCGGTGATGCGATCACATCTGCGCCGCATTGGCTTCGCAAAGAGTCACATTGCGACTACAGCTGTTCCAGTGTCGAAAGATTGAGCGTTAGTGTGAGAAGTGAACTTTGTAGTGAATACATGGGGGAAAACCTGGGGGAGATGCTCGGTCGGGTAAGGGTGGTGGTGGGGAATGAATGGATGGCTAACAACCTTGACCTAGCAAGGCGCCAAACCGCGAAACACCGGGATCCAGTTGGCCGCCACTCCCGCCCCTGTTTACTGCCACCTTGGCTGCATCGCCGTTGAGTCGCGCGACATACTTGACTCACGCGTGCTTGCAACAACGACATCGACCTGCTTTCTTCGACCTCGCTTCCCTGTCCATCTTCCTGTTCATCATCAGTACCTGCGTCTTGCGCAAGGGCTCCCGAGATTTCAGCATGGGAGTAACATCGTGTCGCCGCATCATCTCCGCTCCGGCCGGTATTGATTGATGCACAGACTGAGGAACGACCAAACGAGACGCGCCTGGAAAGCGTTGCACAGAGCGTTGCAACCACGCTGTTCAGCGTTTGACTGTGTTGCCTTCACGACACGTGTCTCCGGCCCTTCTCTGTGATGAGGTCGCCGGCCTCGAGATGGAGTACGGCTGGGGAGGTAATTAGAGGCATGCTCATCGTGCAGAGTTGACCCCGTGGCACAGCGAAATGTGACCTCACGACAAGGTCGATCGTCAGCAGAGCGATGCCAACCTGGACCGGCCCTCGAAGCTGACCAGGCGCGGCGCCAATCCTGGAAATGTATGTCAAGCTGCGCTATATTGACGAAAGTCCATCTCGTGATGTTGCATCCGTCGGTACCGCTAGGGTTGTTACTGGATCTACATCTGTGTTGCACGGCAGACTGGCGGTGCTCTCGTCTTAATGCAAGCTAACACTACTGCCACTGCATTAGCTATTATGTTTCCTAGTGAATGAAACCGGAACAAGTCATCTCTGTAGTGATGGAGTTGATTTTTGCTCAGCTGCCGTCGTTGTATGCTTGTCCAGATGGTTTTGACCGATACTACAACACGAGACTGGTGTCCGAATGAACGCGTCTTCAGCTTTTGTCAAATGGCACCAGCCGTGGCATTCGAGTTGTCTGCGACTATCTCGATTAGTCAATTATTGCTTGCGTTGGCGGCGACTGTGCAAACAGTGTTGGGTGAAAGAAGTGGCAGTTGCAACAACAATGGACTCACGGTTTCGGGAAGCCACATGGAAGCGTGGAAGCAGTTGGAAACAATGCTCGATACCTTGTTCACTTCTGGCTTTTCATGTCCGACCGCAAGACTTTCTCAGCGCCTCTCTCTAGTCACATTCCAAGTCATCAATCCACACACCATCCATCGTTCTTAAATGCACGGTACTACAAATCTTTGCTTCGCTCTAAGCTACTTGAAAGAAGCATCAGATTCAGAATGACGAAGCTGAACTACTCAAATGTGAGCTACAGATTGTCTACATTACGGTACCAGGGCTAAGATTAATCTTGCAGAGAAAATCCACCGGCGACAAGTTGGGCCACATTGTCGCAAAGGACATTGTAAGCAGCCCATCATTGTTAGGCCATAGTATTCCTGCTAAGAAGCCCATGACAGAGAAAACTGCTTCCCTCCTCCATAAACAAAAGTGGTTCCCATCGAAAGAAAAGCGCTCTCGAGATCATCATACCTGGAAAGGATCTCACTGATACTGGACTGAAGGAAGTGGCGCTAGCCTTGCAAGATGTATTGGAAGAAGTGGCCGGAGGGCCTGCGGCCAGTCTCGAAGAACTCATCATATCTGACAATGTGCTGACGACAAGATCTCTGTCGTATCTTGCTCCTGTGATTGAACTCGCTGCATTCCATCTTCGAGACATAGATCTATCGAACAACAAAATCTCCGTAACTGATGACCAGAGCGCTGCAGAATGGGAATTATTTCTCTCATCGTTCCGCAACTGTTCGGCACTGAGACGACTGGATATGTCTCGTAACGACCTGTCCGGCCCGCTCGCATTCGAGCTGTTCAGCAAAGTTTATGGCTGCCAGAGCCCGGTGAACCCTGCAGACTTGCCTTCCGACGAAGGTCTAAGGTACGACCATGAATCTTCACTCGAGTCGAGATCAAGTGCGCTTAGTATTGCAGAGCCTGTGAATGATGACAGCCGCGAGAGCTTGTTGGCAAAAGCAACAATGTTCAAGAGAAGGCAAGGACTTCGTGCAGTTCCGTACATTATTGTCAACCAAACAAATATGACCGATTCTGGTGCCCTCTTCCTCTCTTATGTTCTGACAGAGCACTACTATCCACTTCATCTGGACATCCAAGGTAAACCTGGACCCTTCGAATCTCAGTTGGAGGAGTATGGCGAAAACAAGTCATGTTCAGGGCTGATGTATCTACCAAATGACTCGCTGTCATCTTCTGGTGAAAGAATACTCTGTCTCGCGGAGGACATTCGACGACAAACGCTTCATAGTGAGGCAGATTCCCTCATACCCGAGGAAACATCTTCGTTCCTACGACGAACATCGGGTCAACCTAAATCCTTTCGACGATCCTCAGATCAGGGGCAATTTGGTGAATTGAGGGGCTCTACCGCTGCTGATCTCGAAAGTATGAGAAGAAAGCTCCAGAGGACTGAGATCGAGCAGAATGGAGTTCACGGAGTACAGCTTTGGAAAGCAGCGATTAGGCTCTTGGTACTTGCCCGAAAGTTCTGTGGTCAATCAAGGAGCAGGTCAAGACTAACAACGAGACCGGGGGCGACGCGCATTGCAGGGAATAGATTGACGGCATTTGGCGCCCGTCTCACACGCCCTGTTCGGGATCGATGGGAGTATTACCCTCAGGTGAAGACTTTAGAATCATGCCCATTTGGGTTACCAGATGATCTATGGGAACCCATAGTAGCAGACGGGGCAGGCGCGTCAGGCAAACTTAGCCAGCACCAAATCAAAACAGTGATGCGGTGGGCAGGTGATAAAAACAATCTAAAATCGGAGGGTCAGATGCTGGGGAAAGATGTCAGCACGCAGATATGGACCGTTCTGCACGATATGGGGTGTCTCGTGTATTCTCAAGTCGTGTGAGTGTGTTAGACATGCATGGGTGCGGGGCTTCGAGCTGTGCACCAGCACTTATGCTCCAACTGGCTTTAGCTAGCAGCTTGGTACTTCCATGATAACGGTCCACATCGGTATCATTGTACCGGTCGTGGTTAGAATAGCTGGACGCCTTGCATTCTCAGACAAGGATATGTCCGGACTTGCGGCGGCGGTTTGCAAGGACCGCGCTGGACTTTCATGCACACCTATGGATATGATAAGACGTATTGCCAAGTTTTTAAACCTATATGCTCGATCTGTGCAATATTCATCATGCCGTAAGCTGCAAAGGGATGGAGTCTAGGTAGAGATTTCTGTTGTGACCAGGAGCCGTGGTTGATATAAGCAAGCACATATAATTAGCGCCACAGGCGTCAATCATGGATGTAGCAGAACGCCAGCCAGCTTGCAGCCCTACAGCCCCGCCATGAAGCCTCTGGCGCACAGTCTGACGACATCATCCTTCGCTATCGCTTTTTTCTATGCTCACTTGGCTCCTCTACTGTTCGCACGATAGAAATTTCATAAACTGTTTTGCTACTATAGAGTGTTCTGCACATTCGTCGTCTTCATTGTCGCCCTTGGGTACCGCTTGTTTACCCCTCACGATGCCCCTCCGCATAGGCGGTGCCAGCAAAACCACAACCAAAACGGATCCCCCCGAGAACGTCCCTGAACCCGAAACCTTCAACGACGGCCTTCCACTCCCCAAGATCCTCATCTTCGACCTTGACTACACATTATGGCCGTTCTGGGTAGACACACACGTCACGCCGCCACTCAAGGGCCAGGAAGGCGGTCTGTCAGTCAAGGACCGGTATGGCGAAGGGTTCGGGTTCTACAGTGAAGTCGGAGGGATCCTAGACGCTGTACGTTTTCCTCAGAGGAACACAAGTCTGCAAGAATTGGGAGGATCACCATACTGACGATGCGCCGCCGCAATCCAGGCTCGTGCAAAGAACATCAAAATCGCCGCTGCGTCGCGCACCTCCTCGCCCGAACTTGCGCGCGAAATGCTCAGACTACTGCGCATTCCACGCGCTGCCGCCGCCGCTGCCGCTGCCGCAGACGGCTCCTCCTCATCTTCCTCCTCCGAACACGCGGGCAAATTCTTCGACTACAAGGAAATATACCCGGGGGACAAGAAGACGCACATGGCGCAGATCAAGAAGAACAGCGGGCTCGAGTACGCGGATATGCTGTTCTTCGACGACGAGAGCAGGAATAAGAATGTGGAGCAGTTGGGTGTGGTGATGAGGCTGGTGCGGGATGGTGTGACGCGGGCGGAGATTGATGAGGGTGTGAGGATGTGGAGGAGGAAGAATCACAGGATGGGCTCGTGAGGATGGGAGTGGCGGTTTGGGATCAGGTCAGGTTGGGACCGGAAGGTCGGGTCGAAGGGAAATGATGAAATGGCTGAGGATCTGAACCGGGTCCTAGAGGTTGGAAGGCTGGATGTATCGACTCTGCGGTGCTTGGGAGTAGGGCCGATAGACTCTCTTGCAAAGATCCATGTACGTATACCAGGAAACACCACACTGCATCAAAATAAGGCGTCTAAATAATTCCTTAACATCGCGTACATAGAATGAGCTCATATTTCATATCAGAGCCCGAGGCAGTAGTGATAAGACCGTCGCATATAAATCGAGGCTACCACATGCAGAGTAAAGCCAGGGATATCCAAGGCTATATATTAACTACATGCTATGCCTAGTAAGTAGTATCTAGATAAGCGAAGACTATAATTATGTTAGATCCTCTTGTAGTCAAATCGATCGCGTTCCGAATGTCATTGGCGGGCACGGTTGCGAGCGCATGGCATATACTGCGCTAGGGACTGTTTGGGATTAGTGTCTCGCGTCCGCCGACAGGAACCATCAAGGTCGTCGCGTCGCGTTACTGTTACTCTTGCGTCGAGTATGTCTTCGCGATCACTTGTGTTCAAGGCTTCAGTGTGTCATTATGGTGATAGTCATGTCGTGGGTCATATACCATCCATTTTCTCTCCTCGCGTGCACGACTAGAATGAGCGAGCGAACGAACGAACCGGCATTTCGAGGTAGCAGAGACGAGATACACTGCTGATACGTGCATAGCGGGTCTGTGAGAGCATAGATAGAAGGAGGACGATTTCGATGGACTATGTTGCTCCTATATCTGAATGAAGTGGCATTCTGAGCGCGAAAACGTTAAATTGTGCCGTTATGAAGGTATGGGAGTGATGCGATGACCGACGTGCAAATCCTAGAGATAAAGCCAACGCATGGATTCAGTCATATCTGATCATGGGTTTCTCGCATACTTTCTTATGCGGTACGCTATTCGATAGCAAAAAGCCACAGCGAGCACAAGGACCAGGAGACGTGTGGTTGATAAAGTCATATGGAGGGAATATCGACTAGGTGAAAGCTTCTAAGCCCATCAAGCCAGAGTAGCAATAGATATTACTCGAGCCGCGGCAAAGCAGACATTACCGTAGCCAAGGACGAGTGCGATTATCAAATAGAAACTGTGATGGGTGCTCAACAATGAGCTAGATTTAAGCCACGCGGCAGAGGCGGCGGCATACATCAAAAGCCCATGGACACCTTGGCATAGATCTGTCTAACCCACTGCAACTCCGCTCATAGCCATCTGTAGAATATTAAGTGAACACAAGTGGTAGAGCTGAGCCCGATGTTGCAATCCTACAATCTCAAGACGATTAGACGCCGTATGATAGCCATCTGTAAGGACCTTCTTTAAACGAGACTAACCCAGGCCTTCTCACTCGCTGAGGTTGCGTGATAGTTTCGGGGTGTAGCTGACCTGGTAAAGATCCATGGATACACTGGAAGCAACCTTGAAGCAGTGGAAACTTCGGAAATTGGCATCGGGACAGGTCTTGGCTTCCAAAGATGCTACATGAAGCTAGGCCAGTATTGGAGCTGTACAAGCCGAGTATGTGGCAGGAACAACCTCTCGAATGGCAGGAACTACTCTTGTTAAGGAAGGCATGTAGTGTGACATTGTTTTAGCTTGTCATCTGCAGAGAACTCGAGCGTCTTTGATACATCAGCTTACACTACGATTTCTACAACAAAGTGGGGAGGTTGGCTGCTGCAGTACCAGCTGGCAATGCACAGCTGATTTCCAGAGAACCAGATCTCAATATCGCTCGCGCCGCACAGCATCGTCATGACCCTGCAACCGACGAGCCGTTCCTCCACTCGTCCCGAAGATACTGACTCAGCTGCATTGACATCATGCGCATTCCTGTTCTACGTCGCTTTGGCCGATGAGGCCTGTTCGCTATAGCGACAAGACAGTGGGCAGTTGATCGGCGACAGAGTAAGAGCTTCCAGCTTCTTTAGGTAGGTCTCCAATTGATCGTCCTGTTATCTCTCAAGTGACTCACGCTAACAGTCGGACTTCTATCAGGATAGCCAAGGGCTACAGTCTGAGTTTATTATAGTACTGGGCCTCGCGTCGTGCGTCTAGGTCAAGAAGTCATATCGGAACATGGCTGATCACTTCAATATTGACGATAGCTGCTTAAGCCATCAGCCACATCCACGCATGGACAGGGCAGCCTTCCAATTTCGGCAAGAATATATTAACGCTGGTGTCGTGTATCAGAACAAAGCAAGACATGAGGCTCCCGCGCTTGGCTCAGGTTGATAAGCATGCCGTGATGATCCCGTCTGCAGGGCCACGGCTACACGAGCCGTGAACTTGCCTGGAACAAGAAAGCAAGAGTCGTGCGAGCAGCCGCATTGCGAGTAGTGCAATACTTTGGTCGGTCGGCGGCAGCGTGGCGGAGACGAGGCGTCGATGATAGCTGAAGACATGATTCGAGAACGTCGCCGAGAGACGTGTAGTGGGCATGCCAAGCATCGCGACAGCAGGCGGACAAGTGACGATGCATCTGGGAGACAGGATCTCGGAGTGTGCTACGAGCGCATGAGGAAGTTCCTTATCGACATAGGCGCCCGATAGCCAAGAGCGATTGCATTACGCACGAAGGAGATGGATGGACCAGGCCGTAGGGCACGCGACGGCGTTGTGTGTGTTGTGAGTAATACAGCAAATGCATCTACCTATGGATCAAACAGCAGGCTGTGAAGTGCGCCAAAGATAATTAAAACTACGCATATCACACGCGCCAAACAGCCAAAAAACCAGTAGCAGGACGCCCAGGGCGCGGTATCGCAATTGGCGGTTGGGACAAGCAACCAGCTAATATGCTTGGCATCGTACTTGGACCAACCAGGGAGGAGGCATAAGCCCGTCGGCCAATCAAAGCAGGGAAAAGGCCTGTAATTATGCGTCGATCGCATCAGATCCACGCCGAGATGGACGAATGGGCCATCAAACAATCCATAACGCCGCACTCTGCCTCGCGATAAGACTCCGCATTCCAAACAAAAAACAAGTCGAGTAACAGAGAGGCAATCACATCGTCACAGTCAGCGCCCTTACCGACACGCCTGCAAAGACTCGACTATGGCATGCCCTTCGAGCCCCCTTTACCCCTTGTCGACCGTCTCTAAAGCCTTCTGCAATAAGCCGTTCATCATTGGTGCTTCGATCCGCTGCCTGGCTTTAACATTTGCGCCACGTCTGCTTGACGCTTGTACTGGCACCTTGTGACTTGTGGGGGATCTTCTGAGCTTCTCACACCTTTCTAGCCTGTCTCTTGGCGGTGCCCTCTCCTACCTCTTTCGGCCATACCACGCATGATATACACTGCACCCACTATCTAGCCGACCTTGTATTTCCATGCCAAAACAATCACTGGTCATCACTCATGCTGCGATGGTATTGCACCATTTCTTCGGCTTTCCATTGTCCGTCCGGGCTCCTGTCCGTTGTGCCGCCTCCCTTGATCGGCACTCACCTGCCATACACACACTGTGCCAACATGGCCTGAGGTCGTGATAGAAGTACAAATAGTCCTGCATGACGGCTCATCTTCCATTCTCCATCCTCTCCAGTACAGGTCTGTGGCCTTTAACCTCTTCTCGAATCCACTCGATAAATCTGCACGACCATCAGCATGAAGGGCCTCTTCTCTCTCGCAGCGCTCGTCGCTGCCGCTTTTGCTGCTCCTATCACCAAGGATGCCCCTAAGAAGTACATTGTTACCTTCAAGGACGGTATCGATGTTGCTGCCCACACCAATTGGGTTGCTCAAACCTTCGAGTCCAATCTTGCCAGGCGTGGCCTTTCGAAGCGCGACTTTGCTGGTATCGAAAAGGTTTATCGTGTCGTCCCAGGTTACTTCGGTACCTTTGACGAAGCTACCCTCGACGCCATCAAGGCCAACCCTGACGTCGTTGATGTTGAGGAGGATGGCGTCATGACCATCCAAATTGAGGAGTCCACTCTCGAGAAGAAGGCTCTGACTACCCAGTCTGGCGCTCCTTACGGTCTCTACACCATCTCCCACAAGGCCGGTGCCAACGCTGGAACTACAGGTTCATACATCTACGACTCAACGGCTGGATCCGACACCTATGCCTACATCGTTGACACAGGTATCAACACCGGACACACCCAGTTCGGTGGTCGTGCTACCTTTGGATACAGCGCAATCTCAGGTGCTACCACTGATGACAACGGACACGGGACACATTGTGCAGGAACCGTTGGCTCAGCAGCTTACGGGGTTGCGAAGAACACCAACCTCATCGCAGTCAAAGTGCTCGATTCTTCCGGATCCGGCTCGTACTCTGGCATTATTGACGGCATCGATTGGGTCATCAGCGATGTGACCAACAAGGGACGCAAGAACCGTTCGGTTATCAGCATGTCTCTCGGAGGTAGCTACTCGGCTGCTGTCAACAATGCTGTTGGCTCTGCCTACAGCAATGGTATAGTCGTTGCTGTTGCTGCCGGAAACTCAAACACGGACGCTTCAAACACGAGTCCTGCCTCGGCCGCAAACGCAATTACTGTAGGCGCCATCCAGAACGGAAACTCACGCGCCTCATACTCCAACTACGGCCCGGTTCTTGATATCTTCGCCGTTGGCACGAACGTCCTCTCTACCTGGATCGGCAGCAACACCGCCACAAACACCATCTCCGGAACCTCCATGGCCACTCCTCACATTGCAGGTCTCTCGGTCTACCTCATCTCACTCGAGGGCCTTGCCAGCCCGGCAGCTGTCGCCAACCGCATCATCGCCCTCTCGGGCAAGGACCTCGTCGGCAATGCTGGCTCTGGCTCGCCTAACCGCCTCGCCTACAACGGCAACGGCGCTTGAATGCTGAATGAATGAAGAATTGCATGTTTTTTAACGAAGGGACGTTGTTTATGACCGGAAGCAAATGAGAAAATTGGGGGCATGGGAGCGTGGCGTGGGTTTTTATAGAATCTGGAAGTTATTGAATATGAACATATGAAATGTCTTTGTGGCCTCTCGCTATCTGCTTTGAATGTCCATGATGAGATGTTTTGGTGGTCGTGTTGCTGCCTTTTACCCCTGAGTATGATGGCGGCCGTATGTGTGCTTGTTTGCCCTGTATTGTCCTCCTCCTCCTCGCTGATTTCCTGCATACTTCATCTCTTCTCATCTGCATATATCGTCAAATTATGCATATACATACTTATACACACATATCTATAGATATGCGCAATGGACAAACCTCAAGTAAGTACAAGTCCACGACGTTGTATAAAAAAGCAGAAAACCCCCCCCCCCCCCACCCCCCCCCCGGCTGAAACCTTGACATTAACCATTTTTTAAAAAAAAAGAAAGGAGGAGAAAAGGGGAAAATGCAAGAAGGGGGAAAAGAATAGATGAGAGTGGTCTGTTTGGGGATATTGGATATTCGATGTAATGAATCATAATATCTGTCTTCTTCATCTGTATACGTATACATACTTGTTAGGTGGTATCCTTTTTATCTTCTGTTTTTTTATATATATAGTGGTGGGATATTACTACCCGGATAGTCTGATGGCATTCGTGCATGGGTAGGTAGTTAGTTAGGTAGTTGCTTACTTACTACTGGTGGATTTGCATGTACCTCGTCGTCGGCGTGGGTAGAAAGAAGTGGAGATGGTACAGGGAGTAGGCAAAAGGGACGATACCAGGGAATGTACGATGGACGGACGACTGGACGCACGTACGAGTCTTGACGACGGCACGCAAGTATATATATAATATGCATATATGTATATGTACGCTATGACAACAAGACAGAAGAGTTCAGAAAACGTGGATATGACGAAAATCCCGCTTACAAAATGCCCCCACGATTTTTTTGAGCACAGGAAAGAAACCTAAAAAAAGGTGGGGAAGAAAAAGGTGAGCAAAAAAAAAAAGATACAAGTACAAGATCCCGCAATATCCTTCCTTCCTTCCTTCATTACGCTTTGGGGGGTATAGGGAGGTAACAAGAGCCCCCATTTAGCACACTGCCTACAGAACGCCTTGTTACAAAGATGATTGAAATCCGGGGGGAATCAAGAAGAAAAAGGCGAATGAGATGAGGAAAGACAATCTTTTGGGTTCCCAATGGGGTCTCATCCACTCAGCCAATCCGCACACCCACCCAACCACCCTACGCTCCATAACTCCGGTAAACATATAGAGACCTCTTACTACCATCATCGTCTCTTCCGTGATGCTTGCTCCCTTAAAGATATGGCATCCATAACGGATCGGCCATGCTCAGTTTCTTCGGATCCACTGCCTGCGCTACAAGATCCACAACCGTCTGGTTTGCCGGCAGGTTGCGCGCTTCTGGATGATTGCGTAATAACATCGCGCGCTTGTGCACCTGATTTGTGTTCAACGCCACTCCGTCGCGCATACTGACCTCTGACAATTGCCTCTTCTGGATGACGCTCCAGTTATGCATTTCGTCACGGATGAAGATAGACAGGATCATCTCTAGCTCGCCTTCGGGCTCCGTCAAGCAGCGTGCAATGGTCATGATTGCTGGCGCAAAAATGCCTTCTGTAGGTAGCGGGCCCATGAAAGTCTGTATGTTGGGCGTCAGACGGAACGGCACAGGCTCCGGGTTGTGGAAGAGCGGCTTTGAGACGGCTAGCGCAGGAACGAGTTCGTTGCCCCAGATCTTGCCGGTGCTGCGCGATATGGTGACCTTTGAAGGATAGCGCATGTTCATGAACATCACGTAGGTCATGAATGTGAGTGCGGCGAGCTGGTAGCTAAAGGTTCGGCGGAACAGCCAATAGTCGTCAAAGTTGGGGTATGTAGCGCGGAAGTAGTCCATGAGGAGCGTGTTCGGGACATACTTGTCTTGAATAGCAACAAATGTCTCATGGCGGATGGTTGCGGCGCGCTCGGCATTTTGTTGTCGAATAGCATCGACATTAGAGTGGTTAGGCGGCGGGTTTTGGATGAGATTGGATCCAAGGGCGCGGAGCTTCTCAATGTTGAACAGAACGGGATCGTCGCGGTTGATATTGTTGCGGCGGCAGTAATCTTCGAATACTACCTGCAAGTTGACATACGAAGAGTCATCTTGTATGAGGCGCGTCGTGACCGTGATGGGTACAATGAGTGGTAGATGGAACTGGAGGTTGCGCCTCCTACTTTCCTTGCGTTTGGACAGCACGACATTGAAGATTCGGAACAACTGCAGGATACGTTCCTCTCTTCGACTTGTCCGCGCAGCAGGGCATTGAACAGCAAAAGGGTGTATGCTTCCGTCGTGACCACGTATTTTGATTCTACGATAGCAGAGACCAGTGCCTCGGACTTGGTCCACGTCGGGGAGAAATCGTTCAATACGAATGAAATCCTGGTTCTTGTCGCGATGCTGAAGATATTGACCGGGTACCTCTACCTCATCAAACTTTACGAATTTGAAATCACTCAATTGCTGGGAGTAAGACTCGAGCTCTTTCACCGCGGGCCGTCGGTCTAACTTCTCCTCAAATCTATTGCGCCATTTGCGAAGCCTGTGGATATACTCGTACATGGTTGGCTTGATCGTGACAAACTCAGCCTCGAAAGCTTTGCGGATGTGCACTGGTAGCATCGATTGTACGAATCGCGTGATGTTGGCTTCTGTGGACCCTGGCAACTTCTGCTCTTGAGCGTAATAACCTGGGGATCGCCCAACATAAGTCAAACCGTCATTCAATAACGCAACAATGAGTCGGTAAGCATCCTCGTCTGGAGGGCATTTGAAGAACTTCTGAATCTGATCCAGCATTGTCTCCAGGGAGAGTGCAAGCAATGGGAACGCAGTCTTCAATATAGAGGAGACTTCTTCGACATGGTCCCATGACTTCTTCGGGGTGTCTGTCTGATCTGTAGTTTTCGTTGCCAAAGCTTTCTTTTCGCCGTTTTGTGTCGCAGTGCCGTTGGCATTAGATGTGGCACCGTTCTCTTTCGCATCGCCGTTCGCAGTGCTTGGCCGACCCGTGCCACTGCCGGAAGTTTGAGGACGTTCTGGGGAGCTCTGCTTCACAGCTGGAGAGTTCTGAGCTCCCGCAGCTTGAGCCTGTTTCGCCTTCCTCTCCTTTTCTTCTTCGAGCTTTTTGGCAGTTTGGTATTCTTCTCTACTTACACGGAGATGACTGAAAAGTGCCTGGGGGTAAGTCTTCGCCAGTCTACCGAGGATATTCCTGCAGACTTTCGCCTCTGGTCTGGAAAGGCCCAGAAGGAGTTGTGGGATGTAGGTGATCCAATACCACACCGGCGTCTCGCCCTTAAACTCCTCGAATGTATTGACGAGCTTGTGATCGCTGTTATCCAAGCTCAGAAGCCATAGGATGCGCCCGAGGAGTTTCCGCGACTTGGCATTCTTGAATTGACCTGCAGCCTCGAGATAACAGCTGATGGCTGAGGCTGCCTTGTCGAGGTCGGTCGGGTCACTCTTGAATAAGTTATCATTGTAACGTCCCCACTCGGCCCACGCTTTGGGTAATTTGATATCAAAGTAGAGGGCGCTTCCAAATGCATCATTCGCCTCAGGCTTTTGATCTAATTCGGCGAGGAACATTCCTTTCAACGTATAAAACTCTGCCTTCTGTTGTTGGGTGAAGTAATTGAGATTCGTATTGTTGATGACGTCAAGCCCACTAGATAGCTCGGAGCGGTTCTGATAGTGGCATTTGGCCTGTTCTCGCAGCTTGAGGAAAGCTTCTTGGATCTCGATGTTGGGGAGCGTATAGATCTTGCTAAGTTGGCTGATGCAGACATCAGGAAGATTGTGCTTCCTGGCAACATGGGCAAATCGATTGATAATCCAGGCAGTCTCGTGGAAACCTCGATACGCAAAGGAGTTTCCTGTCGCATTGTTTCCCTGTTGAGGACCAAGTAGTGGAAGATAGACGTTGTTGATGAGCTGGAAGATATGTTGTCGCCAGGTAACTAGGTCTTGCCACGCATTGATATCGTCCCAGAAGTTGGGTAGTCGGTCTCGCCATGTTCCTAAGAGCAACTTCAACTCCGTCGACTTTGTGTCTAAATTAGCTTGCGTTGTCAGCGACAAGCTTGTCGAAATGAGACTTGCGTCATGAAGCTCAACAAGTTGCTGGAAATTCTGCAAGATTGGAATGTGAGCGTTGGTGATTCGTTTGGGAAGTTGATGCCATTTTCGTATGGACAATTGAATCGCCTCGTCACAGACACGATTGAAGTCTTGAGGATTCTCGGTTTTATTGTGGAATTTCAACAATGACATGAAAGCTTGGAAGAATGCTCGTCGAGGGGTGGGTGCGTCCGTGAGACCCCTGATGGTAGTATCAAGCTGTTCTCTGTTCTCGGCATTTGTCCAGCCGTCCAGATGTCGATACATGGATTCAAGATATAAATCGCTGAAGTTCTCATGCTTCGCGAACTCACCCAATATCTCCCATTGTTGCAGTTTCTGCGCACATACAACCCAGTGGTCCTCCCATAGCATGTACTCGCCGGCAGAATAAGGCATTGCGCCAGTGCGTGCCTTAATCTGAGCAGCTTCGTATAAGGTCTGAGCTTTGTCCCACACACCACTTTGTTCGTATGAAACTGCAGCGGTAGTCTCAATGTATTGGCTCCTTCTACGCCACGTCCCGTAGAAAAGGTCGTCTTCTTGTAGTGATGCGTATATTTCGAGGAGCGCATCAAGGTTACTCTCTCTGACTGTCATATTATCGATGAGAGGTGTGATGGCGCACTCTTCCATATACACGGCTGATGGATACCATGCGTTGTACTGTTTTGCCAGGTACTTCATAATGTGAGGGGGAAACTTTACGCGAGGCTTCGTTCGAACAATAGCCTCTAACATTGTTTGGATGCAATTCGGTCTTTTATCGACTTGCCGGCCGTGGTATTCTTTAGTCATTAATTGCAGCATGCCTTTCTCAAGATCCGTCTGGTCATCTTTATTGAGTGCTGACCAGAAAAGAGGAAAGAGGGCAACCCAGACATCATGGGCAAGCTTCGAATCCGTATGTTGCAGGTTCGCTAATGGCTCGAAAATATCTCTGACTTTGACGTCGCTGATCTGGGTCAAGAATCGCCTCTGAGAGGCTACCAAAGATTCCAGTTGGTCATCAACCATAACATCATCTAGTCTAGAGTCTTTGCTGTAATCTTTGACTAGCCATGATGCTGGTGTACCTCGGAAGTCCTCGGCATGGAGCTGCGCAGGTGTATTCATCTCTAAGGATCCCACAATGAGATGAATTACCTGACTGAGCCAATAGCTCTCGGCCAGCGTATCCCAATGCTGTGACGTCAAGACATAGCTGATTCGGCTGCTAGCAGTACGACTAAGGCTGCGGTCGAAAATAGATAAAAATCGGTTACGCATCTCTACGTCTTGTGCCCTGGTTCCTATGAGGAATGCATGCTCCATACGGACAGTCAGTTCAGACCGAGTGATCTTCGGGTCTTCGTAGATGCGAATAACGAGGTTCAGATATCTAGCCAAGAGAGTTTGGTCGGGTCTTTGCTCGAAGGTCTGCATCTTCGTTAGAACTGCAGTCTTTTCCTTCAGTGTTGGCACCGGGTCGGAGGATTTGAAGACCCAGGTCTCCACGAGGTCAAGAATTTTCATGCAAACTGCATGACTCTGTGATCTCTCTACGAGTGAGGCCAGTACGCTCAGATAGGGACGACGTTGTTCGCTCAGCTGATTCATTCGTGCAGCAAGCAGGTCGATAACCTTGAGAACAACACCAGTCAAAATCTCTACCTCATGAGGCTCCATTTGAGGTTGGGCGCTATCCGGACGTTGTGGTAAAGGAGGCTGTCCGGCGGTCGGTATCTGCGAGCTCAAATGGTCTTTGGCAAGCTTGCCTTGCAGAGCCTTCATGACCATTTGGATGTGTGGGTCTATCTCGTCTGGCTTCTTTTGACACAAAGTCCAGAGGATATTGATCGCAGAGACATAATTACCATTATTTAGACCTTCCGCAGCAACATTACTGAGGAAACTGACGAACTCCGTTGACGGAGTCTCCTCACTGGCACCCTCGTCATCGACGGTGGACTCTGGCATGACCTCGAGTATCCTTCCAAGAAGACTTTTCAGGTTGATTGTTCCATCTTCATTCTCTTCCGAGCAGTGCAACGCGGCTTGGCTATCGGCATGCTCTGTTCGGATTGAACGCTCGAGGATCCTTTGCAGCTGAGCTATTCTCTGCAAGACCCAGCCGTCGTCTTTGACATTGACGATTATCTTGAGCATCTGTAGAGTGTTGATGATTCGCGTAGAATATGCCTCGGCCTTCTCTTTGGGGTTGCGGTCTGTCGTCAGAATCTCTTCGATCTTCTTGGTCAGTATCGGATCCAAGTCCAGGTCTTTCCATGTTCGTAGAAGATCGCGTAAGAGCTGCGAGCCCTTCTTACAGACGTCAGCAGAACTGCTTGCGCTGTGCAATAACGATGTTGACACTTCTTTCTTGTCCTTTTCTTTCACTGCTAGAGAGGGTATGGGATACCTCTCCGGAAGGTACGCTATGAATGAGACCAAATACTTAATCAAGACCATGCGCAGTTGTGTGTTCGCAACATACGTCTTTGCCGGGGTCTCAGATACGGTCCCGTCTGCCTTTCGCTTCACACCCTGGGGCGAGTTTGACATATGCTCCGAGGAAGCTGATGAGTTCGTCCAGGTCATCTCTTCCCATTGGTATACTAAATTGATAAGATTCAGAGCCATCTTCTTGTTATCATTTGAAGGGTTCGGCGGTGCTGCGACTTTGTTCAGAGCTGGGACGATGATTTGAGCCAATGGCTCTCTAGCTTCATAGAACAAGTCTGCATGTCGTACGAGAAAATGGAAGATACTCATCAGCTGTTGGAGGTTCGACGTCTCATCGGCGAGAGTCTTGCGTGCGATTCGAGCCCACATGGGCATCTTATGGTTATCTGTGCTCATCATGCGTTTCTTCAATACAGGAGCAAGAAGTTCCAAAGACTGCATGACCAGTGTCCGGCCTTCATTCTGATGTGCCTTAAGAGAGTCTCTATAAGTTTGCACGACAATTCTCATAGGACAGTCCCAAATGGCGATAAAAAACGAGACTAGAACAAAAGCAGCATGTTTCGTAATAACGTCTTCAAGTCGTTGCGTGTACGCCCAAGCGAATTTGATCACGACCTTGCGAGTGTCGTTTACGATGCTGGAATGATATTTGACGAGAAGAGTGCTGAGCTGGAGAAGTTCCATTCTCGAATGGTCTACTCCTAATTGCGATGTTTCGTCTGCCGGGTCAGTGATTGCATGGTGGCCCCACAACTTGTGGGTGATGAGATCGTTCATCCCCTTGTCCATCAACTTGGTACCTTTGGACGAACCAAACAATGTGTCCCAATTGCGCATGATGTCCATAGCAAAGATGGGGTTGACTAGATACTTGAACGTAAAGGTCTTGGTACGCTGTGAGGTATTCCTAGAGGTGTAAAGGTCGATACATCGAGTGACAATTTGTCTCCAATACTCGATGGAAGTACTTGATATCATCTGAGTGTATATGAAGCTGAAAAGCGAAGGGGTGCTCTTGAGTTTCTCGGATGTTACTGCGTCAATGAGTTCGAAGAAGATATCAAGATTGTTCGGCTCGTGTGAGAGGTACGTGATGAAAATCTCAATGACATATTCGCCTGCCTGTTCAACGGCCAGACGAAGATCGGCATCAATTTCATTCTGTCGCAAGTTCGTTTCGAGTAATTTCGCTGCTTCCAACAACGCTTTGCGTAGGTTCGCATTGTCGACAAGCCAAGTACTGGATGCTTCGTGTCCACAGATGGAGTGAACGACATGAATTGCATTCACATAAGCCACGTACTTCTCTTTCTGGCTTCCTTCGACGCTCATGGCTTTGATGAAGGCTTCTGTATCGCTCATAACCTCTTCCCTTATACCCGAACTACCAGGGTCCTGTAGGAGCTGCGCAAAGAACCGACCCTGGTCCACGTCCTTTAATAAAGGACAGAAATACTCTCTTGACTCCTTTGGGTATTGGTTCAGGTACTTCAACAGCGGTTCGCGGAAAGGACTATAATGTGTACGTCGAAGGGCGGTCTCCAGCTCCACAACCTTTTTTACAAGCAGCGGAAGAAATGTGATTGCAGCTGGAGGAAGCAGATGGAAGACATTGAAAATGGCGGTCACAATCCTCATCGACCGGTTCTGGTCAATGAGTGTAAATGACGTCTTTTGCAAAGTGGTGGTATCCGCTATTGTCTTCATGTGTTCCAGTAGTCGGGACCCTATCTCAACCTTGAAATAAGTCGTGAGCAGCTTCAGAAGGCGCGCTAGACCGTCTAAGCCCTCAACGCTCAATTTTCGCGGATCCTGTAAGTTGACCAGTATAGGTCGCAGCCCGCTTTGAAGAACATCTTTTGGTAACTTGTTTGTGGTTGCTAAGACTCCCTTGAGGCCTTCATTCGCAGCTTCTATAAGTTCCATGTTTTTTGAGTACAAGGCTTTGAAGAACACGGATATGATCCGAAGAAAGCTCTGATTTGGGGGTGTAATACTGAATTCTTTTTGGCTCTGTGCTGTCGAAAGCATTCGAATACAAGCGACACGAAGATTGATAATTGATTCAGCATTTCTTTGTTCCTGAGGCTTATTCGGCGAGAGGTTCTCGTCTTCAGCATCGGCGAGCGCGAGAGACTCCATGAGGAGCCTTGTGAGCTGATCGTTGAATTCCAGTATTCCATTTTCAAGCTTGAGACAGTAGGTAATTGCGTCGATATAAGCAATCTGCACAGCGAAAGGCAGTGCACGGAGGGGTTTCGCAAATATCGGCAACAGCACTTGGTTCTTTACCGGAGCCACAAGTTCATGCGTCGGGATCCCGGTGACTTCGGATAATGTGCTTAGTGAAGTACGTGTACCATATCGAACGTGCTTGTTCGTGTGAGATAAGTCATGGACAAGCGTGTATGTAAGCTGATATAAGACTGATTTAGGTTCGTTCAAGTCTTCCTTGGAAGCACCCTCATTACATTGGCGTAGAAGTCGCTCGAGTAGATCCTGGGCTTTGATCCTGGTCTTCGCTGTGAGGTCTTGTGGCATGTCTTTCATAACGAACGTCAGGGCTCTAACGAGATCTAACTGGCGCTCGACAAGCCAGGCTTTGCTCAAGCCCAACCTGTTTATGAGTATCTCAATTCCAATTGTGCCACCGGCTTTCATGAACCACTCTTGAGCGTGACAGTTGTGACAGAAGCGGGTGGCGAGATGAGAGAAGAACGGGAAAGATTCGACTTTATCTGGTGATCCAAATATGATCGCAGCAGCTTCCTTGAAATACATTACACATTCTTCCGCCGTTTCCCTGACCAGCTTCGAATCAGAGGCAAGGGATTCACCGATGGCTTCGATGATAGCCTGGTTGTCAATGTATATCGGGCCTTCACCACAGGTAGGGTCAAAAGGCTTGTGATCATGGTTCGCACCAGCGAGCGCCCATCCATTCTCTAGAAGTGCAAAATGTCGACAAAGACTCTGTAGAAACGACGATGCTTCGGCCCTGATTTCTGGGAGAGTATTTGCGAATATGCACGCTTTCAGAAGTCGCTTCAAAGTGTCCTGCTGGACGGCCTTCTTGGCGAGGGAAGTATCCCGATGAGAAGTGCCGAGCAGGTCATGTTCTCGGTCCCATTTCTTCTCATACACATCGTTTGCCTGGAGGCGGATACGTTGGGCGAAATCGTCAGGCAGTGAATCAAGGCCAAGTAGCATCTTCGTTTGCGCCACTATCAAGCGATAGGCTTGCTTCTTATGAAAAGTATCGGATTTCTTCGCCGCGGGCAATTTTGGCTGTTCCATTAGTTTGCTAATGGCTAGGTTCGTCCCAGTCGCCGCAGGAAAGGCACGATCTTTTGTCGAGCCAATAAGACGCACGTCGAAACTCGCTTCGTCATCGGTGTACGGTTGGAATGATAGCGTTGGTGGTTCTGTCAAAAACTTCCTGTTACGACCACCCAGCTTCCCAAGTATGCGCATTGTGGTATGAGCGTGAAAATGGCTGTATGGATTTGGTTTAAGGTGTTCCCAGAGTGCTGCCATCAACTCGTCAATGACTGGTGCCATGATAGGGTCAAGATAATCAGCTGTGAGGTTATCCACGCATAGCTCAAGCGTCCGAAGCCCTTGACCCACTAGTTCAGAGCCGGCACCAAGAGCTACAACAAGCGGTCTCATGAGATAGCTTAAGTGTGGAAGTAAGTTGCTTAGCCTTGCGGGCACGGTGAGGGACAGTTCCACGAAGAGATCTCTCTCAGAAGGTTTCGAAGCAGCCATCAACAGGTTGTTCAAGACTTCCAGAAGCATTTCAAGGAGGGGAAGGATTTCTTTGTAGAGGTGTTCAAACCTCCCTCCACCAATGCTTCTGAATAGAGATCTCAGTAGAAGAAAATAGTTGGTAGGCTCTTCCGCGGTAGTCGACAGTTGGATCGACTTTGTGATGATCTTACTAACGTGCGGCAGAAGTACAGGCTCATTCACCTGATGAAACAACGTTACCGCCATGAAGGATAGCTTGAAAAGACGTAGAAGGATCGAAGCTTTCTTCACGTCCAGGGTGCCCACTTCATCGATTCTCTCAATGAGAAATTGTAACAGCATGCCAGCAAAGCTTGAGGACGTAGCTTCGCTAGCTAGGAGAAATTGAGGAATGTGCATTAACGCGGAATGCTCAAACATCATCTCATACATGTGAGGGATTTCCGAATGAAAGATCTCGTGGAATGTTGCTGGGTCGACGTAATGAAAGACGGCACCTAAAGTCTCTAACAGTTCCTTCTCCTCCTTTTCCGCAGCCATCATGTGTTGATTTCCGAGTAATTCGCTTGGTGAGAGTTGTTGGAACTCGGAACTGTCACGATCAATACCATAGTATCTGAACACGAGAGCTCCTTCATGAAATAGCTTGATGAGAACTTTGACCTCCTCACCATTGTAGCCATAAGAGACCTCATTCCAATTCGCTGGAAGGTTCTGCATCTCCATTTCCTCTTTGACGCGCGGGTGGTTACATGCTCGAAGCTGGTAGAATAAATTCTTGAGTCCGTGTAGAAGATTTTTGAACAAGAACTTGTTGTCGGCGATTGGATCTGTACTTCGCTCTCGAGGATTCGATGTCTTGATGGGCGTAGCACTAAAGATATCGATCTCATCCCAGTCCGGAGGGTGGTCTTTCTCAGCCATGTGATCTTCGGGCATAGCATCAATGGACGGTTGTGAATACTGTGCAGAGAGCTTTACCGCGTTCTTAAACTGTCTATTCATGGCCGCGAATTTGTCTCCTATCGCATTGAGGATCATGATGAGAAAATAACGGGCATCCTCTTTAGGCTCAAGCTTCGCGATGCATTCCGCCATGTTCAGCAAAAGCTTAGCGCTCATTGTCTGAAAGCTGGTCCCGGGGAACGAATCATGAAGATTCTTGGTGTAGACTTCTACTGTCCTTCTGATTTGCTCTTTAGACAATGATTCGCGCAGATGATGAATAAGATCCGCAAGCATACTATATGCGAGGGGTCGCATAGTTTCATAAACTGTCAATCCATCACCGATCAAGGTTCTCTCGTCCAAAAGCTCATCGATCTTATGTAAGAAGATTGTCCTGAAGTTGAAATTGATAATGTGTCGAATGGCCACAAGCAATTCTTTCCGAGTCCCAGATTTCTCCCTTGGGCAATCTTTCAGGAGGCGCACCACGATGTCCGGTAGCGTAGGGAGGAAGTCTGACAGTTGTTTGCTATACACCCTGAGCAGATAAGCCAAGAAGCTCATGGTCTTCACTTGTGCTGTGATGAACTCCCCGAAAGCAGTTCGATTCATGATGTCTTTGCTGACACCGGTGAAAGTCTTGCCTTGCGTCTTGGCCTCCGCATGTGCCTTCTCTTGAGGTTTCGCTTGCAGCATCAACACCTGCTTGATCAGCGGTACAAACAACTGTACGTTTTTGTTCACGCAAGACCTATATGCTTGAAAGAGCGAGACAACAATGATCGGACACTCGGCGAGTACTTTGAAGGACTGCATTCCTTTCAAAAGCGGTCGAGCCTGCTGCTGTTCTCCAGGAAGTTCGGAAGCCAAGGATGCTATCGACGCTGCTGGCGAGCCCGGTCGGGGTGATTGTGAATACTGGTGATTCCCTGGAGTTGATGGTACAGCTGGCGCCGGACTTGGATTGTCAAACGTTTCATTGACAACTGACTCCATGGTCTTGAACATCTCCTGGATCAAGTCTAAGAACGGTTGAACTCGATCTGCAAGCGCTTTCGTTTGATGTCGTTGGAATTCCATGATCGATTTCATGCATAGAACAGCGTTCTCTTCGTTTTCCACCTTTACCAGAGTCATAAGCTTGTCAACTATCGGGGCTGCATAGGGCTCTATTATGTCCGACGGAGTCATGGGTAGTCGGCGCAGGATCTCGAGAACGCAGTTCCGCAGTCGCTGCTCTGGGGAAGTGCTTACGAACACCGGCGAGCTGTCCAATATCTTGAAAAACACGGGTATGAATGTATCGAGGAATTCTTTGTACTGGGGAGACTGACACCAGACCTCGACATTGTCACGCAATTCCACAGCAACGTTGCCTTTCTGTTTGACATCTGTCGAGCCATTTAGTACTTTTAGACCTCCCTTGGATATTTTCAGACATACCTAGACTGCTGTCTTCTAGTTTGGCTGCAAGAGCCGCAATGTTTCTCTCCCCTGCCATCTCGAAGTGGCAGATCAGCCAGTTATGGTGTTGGTGAAGCACCTCCCGCTAGGGAGTGCAAAGAGGTAGGAAGGCGGATGCGAGGTGTTGACTTGACTGTAGATGCGTTTGGTCATTGGCAAGAAAGCTGATGTATTCTGAGTGGAAGATGGCGAAGTGCGCGCTTAATTGGAAGGTTTACTAATTATTCTTGAAATAGGCCGTCGTCAAGAAATTAATATTCAGTCGTATGGAAAAGGCTGGAAGGAAAGTCGTGAAGTTCGAAGGTTGATGGGCCTAGCAACAGCGCGCATGTATGCCTTGAGCCTCAAGTCGCGAGGCAGCGCAGCGTCACGAAAGAAAGCTGGGGGCATGGCTTGATACTGAAAGCCAGCGGTCACGTGTGGGTAAAATGATTGGCTGCAATTTGCTATGTGCGAATTGGGTACGAACACTGTCCCGAAGCACAAACGTGAAAGATCAAAATTGCGACCACTTCTGTGGTGATTCCAGCTACATATGGATGCTATATACGAACATATGCCTTATACACTCGTTCTTTCCAAGATTGCCTAGTCATAGAGCTCTTTCGAGCTGGGGCTATACATACTTTTCAACAGCTGCCTCGCTGTACTAACGTATCTATATATCTAATAGCACATCATAGGCAGGATTTCTCTGTTCCGGCTTTGAGTACTACATTATCAAAATGATACGCTACGAACAAGTAAGGACAAAATATGTATTAGAGGATGTGGGTGGCTTGTTGTTGTTCTCTCAGTCCATGAATGAGAGACTAAGACTGGTTAATGATGGACGGAACCAATCGGGGCACGACTTCGCCGAACTGACTTCCGCGCTTGGCCGCATGCCAGGAGCCTTGAAATACGCCAGGCAGGGCATGGCCAGTTACCTACCATAGTAAACCTCAGCGCGATTCTGGTGACAAACAAGAGCGAATCTTTCCCAAACAGATTACTTCACATTGCCTTACTGTACCCTCCCACTTTCAAGCACGATTTTAGTACTCCCCTCACGCCAAAGTCTATCTCGAGAACACCGGCTTCATACTCTTTCGCACGGCTGCCCCGCGTCATCGTAATACAACGCCTTCCAAGATTGTCCATCATGACTTCAGAGCAGAACGACGCTCTCATCTCTCAGTTTATCGCTGTTGCCGGTCCGTCCGTACAACCTGAGCAGGTTGGTGATTGTAGGGACCTTCCTTTGCCCTCAGTATACTTATAATCATTCTAGGCGCAGGGCTATCTCGCTGCAGCGAGCTGGAACGTCGAGGAAGCCCTTCAAACATTCTTCGCGGCGAATGATGGGGAAGAGCAAGATACATCCGAAGAGCAAGAAGCAGCATATACTGGTCCCCGCACACTTGATGGCAGGCCAGCACCAGGATATGCTGGCGAGGCTACATCAATGCCTTCGTCGTCAGCCCGTGGCAAACAACCGCAGAAGGGCGGCTTGAGAACACTGAAGGATATCCAGGGAGACAGTGGCCATAGCCATGATGACGAGGATGACGAAGATGATGATAAAGACCAAGACATGTTTGCCGGAGGTGAGAAATCAGGTCTTGCGGTCCAAAACCCGGGGCAATCGAGCGATCCTCAAGCTCAGATTAGGGACATGCTCAAAAAGGCACAGAGGTATGCGGTGCGACTCGTACTGTTAGTTAGGTATTGACAGCTCGACAGGAATGATCCACGACCTGGGGGCGAAGATACAGATCGGCCACGCCCACGTTTCACCGGCACAGGTCAAACTCTTGGTGGCGATGACACCCCAAGTCGAGTCGTTACACAAGCATCGCCTCAACGACCAGTAGTTGCGGCACCTGAACGACGTGACCTTCACATCTGGAGAAACGGCTTCTCGGTGGATGACGGTCCACTCTATCGCTACGATGACCCAGCAAACGCCGGCTATCTAGAGATGATCAATCGAGGACAAGCCCCTGTCCAATTAATGAACGCTCAACACGGACAAGAGTTGGACGTTCACCTCTCGATGCATAAAGAAGACGACTATGTGAAACCCAAGGCCAAATACAAGCCCTTTGGAGGATCTGGACAGAGACTGGGAAGCCCCACGCCTGGTGCTTCAGGCCCAGCGGCGGCCACGAGCAGCGCTCCTCCACCGACTCAATCGACTACCGCCACACCGCCTGGTAGCTCTGCGCCCATCATAGATGTTGACGAGGCACAACCAACGCTTGCTTTACAAATCCGGCTAGGTGATGGTACTCGCTTGCGATCGCGGTTCAACGCGAGTCACACCATTGGAGATGTCTATACGTTTGTTAACAGCGCAAGCCCAACCAGCGCTCAGCGTCCATGGGCTTTGATGACCACCTTCCCTAGCAAAGAGCTTTCAGACAAGACTCTCAAATTAGGTGACGTGGAGGATCTTAAGCGTGGTGGTGTTGTCGTCCAGAAGTGGACATAGAGTATCGTTGTGGTTGGAACATCAAAATCCTGGGTGGCGCGCTGGACAACGCATTGTGGTATCTGGCCAGTTGCGAAGAAGCACTACCACCAACACCTTGTAAGAGTATTTCCTCCAGCTGTATGGCTTGGGAATACACATAACAAGAGGCATATTAAAGCATATATAGACACATGGGACCAGTGATTCAGCAGATCCAATCTTAGACTGGAGCGATCAACAGTTCATGGCTTGAGCCCTCGGACCCATAACAATCGGTAAAATAAAGAATGTACTTCTGAACAATTGTGCTTTGACAACGCGCAGTGATGGCAGTCTTGTTAGTCCAGTACAACGAATACTCTGACGGGCTGTCTCCTCGCGACGAATGCGCGTGATTATGTCAGTAGAGAGTGCCTAGTGTAGTAGTAGTAACAGATCCTTTGAATGGTTGACCAGTTCATAGCGCAACGTCAACACATGCGCTAGACAAGGATTGAGATAGGACTAAGATAGTTCGCTGGACAGCTCAGTCTGATCATTAATTATTAGTGGCTTCCATTCCAGATCGTGTTTCGCCTTTGCATAATGTCTGTACAACGGATAGCAAGAGCTGGAGGCAGGCTTGATAGCAGATTCACCTGGGACTTTGTAAGATCTTGTGCAACAAATACTGCAGGCATCGCAATCGACGGAAACAATTTGAAACTTGAGCTTATCACAGGCTAGAATGAACCGTTCTCACTCTCGCACAACCGATGGCAGCACGAAGCAGTTCGCGTCCAAGAAGGACCCCACACTGGATGGAGCTGAGCAAGCAATCAGGCACAACGCCTATGTGTCCATATCGGTTACATCATGCACCTTAGATGAAATTAGATTCGAGTACCGTGCGAGAGATGAGCACATATGTATGTTACTGTTCAATGTTGCAACTACTAAGCCAGCTCGATTCAGACGGAAGGCAGAGGGAAGGGAAGAATGTTCCTGTGCCGCCTTTGCGAGGTGGTCGACGTATGCCCGCCACTGTGAATGCAGGATGTTGTAATATTATTCATAAATCTTCGATTTAATGCGACTCGATCTGTGCTGGCGAATCGAAGAGCAAGGGTATCGAGGTGAGGCCACACTGCCCCAAAGATGGGAGAGACAAGGCCTCGAGGTTCATTTGTTGGCTGATTGCGCGGCTGTGGGGAATGGCTGGGCTAGCTGACGACAATGTTCGATGTTTAAGTCTTCCACCAGGGGGGCGGAAGAAGGCAGGGCTATACATTATCACAGACCAGTACGCGTTGATCTCTATTCCCCAGCTCAGCACTGCAGCTGTCAACCTCGTCTGTCCAGACAGATGACAATAATTAACGGACAACCTCATGGAGTGTTAAATTGCTATAGAGTGAGTCCATGCATCCATCCATGGGCACGCAGAACTCAGACCACCTGTTCATCCAGGAGCAGCCGGCGTCCCGAGCTGTCCCGTCGGACGATGCAACAGATGGCTTTCTATAGTTCATAAGCTGATAGGACGGCCCCATGGTGGTGACTGCGGATGTATGGCTCGGGCATCCGCACAATCCTTTTCGCGAGCGACGTCTCCTGTTTCTCGCTGCGTGCGTGACGTGCAATGTGTGTGTGCGTGTGCCCCTGACGCAAAAACGCAGTATTCAATGCTTTTAGGGGCTGGGCTGTCTCTAGTAGTCTAGTTGACAGATTTGAATGTTCCCGCTGCTGACTAGGGCGACACTGGTCCACAGTAATATGGCCGACGCCTCTCGCGTTTCACTCACCCGACTTCTTATCCTTCTTCCAGCTAACCACCTCTTTCTTTCTTTGCATTTTCTGTCCTTTCTTCCTTTGTTCCGCTTCATTGATGCTGTTAGGATCGCCTTCACATTGTTTGCCCTCTGCTGCCTTTTATTAGATGCTGGGCATTCCCTGCTGCTCCGTCGTTCTCTACCTACCTTCTACCTCTACTTGGACATGTCCTATCTAGCCTGACTGACTACTATCGTACGTCCGATCTCTGGACCTATCTCGAAGCCCCTTTCGACACCTTCACAACCTCATCACCATGTTGTTACGATTATCGCCGCGAAGAGTTGCACTGCTGGCGTTCCTTGCATGTACTGCGCTGTTCATCCTCCACCAACAGATACCCGGTGGATATCGATACGATCAGCTTCCCACCTTCAAAAGTCCCTTTAACCTACACAATTCAGCGCGTCCGAAAGCCCTCCTGCATCTCGCGTCAACAGAACCAATCCCCCCACGAATTACCAATAAACCTCTGCCCAGAGTCCAGGACCCAAAAGCATACATTCAACAGATTCTAAACTGGAACAGACCACAGCCTGATCCGTCGCACTGGCCCCCATACGAATTGTACAATGATCGTGACTATGACCCGAATCGATGGGAACAGTTCGAAGAAGATCAAGATTACTACAAAGACAATGGTGTGGAATTGGTAAAGGGGGACAATGGTGAAGGAGCACAACCCTACCTTCCATACGTAGACTACAATTCAGATGAATGGCAGAAAAAGTGGAAGGGCGAGTACGTCGCATGTGACGGCCCCAGAGGACTACCACTCAACGAAAGTACCGACGACGTCGTAAAGGCCTATTCCAAGATTCCCGAAAACTTTCCACTCTCCTTCACAGGCTCAAATGAAGCACTCGGACTTGACTTTAATAAATGCTTTGAGCGCTACGATAGATATGGTCCTTATGGATTTGGTGAAGATCATGAGGATGTACCTGGCTGGGATCGGCCGAAAATAGATGTCGACTGGTCTGAGACAAATTGGGGAGCCCTGCAAAATGAGTGTTTGGAGCGGAACAGGGCACGCTTTCCCTCAGATGCTCGAAAGATTTCAAAGCTACAAGAAGAGACCAGTCTTTCAGAGCTCGAGGCGCGGGCACCAAACCCACCATACGTCGTTCCATCTAATACGACATCGAAAGGTCCCGAGTACAAGCCTCGGACGGCGGTACTCATTCGTACTTGGACTGGGTACAAATATACGCCCAATGACATGCATGCAATCCGTTCCATGATTGCAGAACTAAACTTGCTTTCAGGTGGAGAATACCAGGTTTTTCTTTACGTACATGTCAAGAACAAGAAGTTGGACATCTACAACAACAAAGCCCTGCATGATCAGATTCTACGAGAAAATGTTCCCAAAGAGCTGCGTAGTATTGCTATTCTATGGAGCGAGAATGTTGGCAAGGAGTGGTATCCTCGAGTCGGCGACTGGCAGGTGTATTGGCAACAGTTCATGTGCTTGCAGCTCTTCTCGAAACAACATCCGGAATTTGAGTACATCTGGAACTGGGAAACCGATGCTCGATATACGGGCCAACATTATCATTTTCTGGAACAGATGGCTAAGTTCGCAAAAAAGACACCGCGTAAATACCTCTGGGAGCGCAACAAACGGTTCTACATTCCAGCTGTTCACGGCACTTATGACGATTTTCTGAATAGCACCAATACTATCATCGAGACCCAATCGGCCGCGAAGACGATACCACCTCCAGTATGGGGCCCGAGGCCACAACATCCTGATCAAAGGCCTATTGGTCCGCACCCGCCCCACAGCATTGCTGAGGATGATTACGAATGGGGCGTCGGTGAGGAAGCTGATCTTATCACACTACTTCCTATTTTTGACCCGCGACACACCATATGGCCTATGCGGAATCACATCTGGAACTTCGTTCCGGGTATCCGACCCATCTTTACGCCTCAGGACCCAGCCCATAATGGATTCGATCACCCAAAGTTCCAAGAAATTGAGCGCAAAGTCGTCATCAACACAGTCCTCCGTCTTAGTAAACGGCTCATAGAAGCCATGCATCTGGAGAATATGGCAGGGCGAAGCATGCAGGCCGAGATGTGGACGATTTCTACTGCTCTGCACCATGGACTCAAAGCTGTGTACGCCCCACAACCAGTTTGGAGCGATCGCAAATGGATCCATCCTTACAGTGATCTAATTTTCAATGCCGGTAAAGACGGCATCTGGAGTGAAGAGCTGGACTCAGTTTACAACCCGGACCGCGAGTACAACTTCCAGAGCTGGAGTTGGTACTACCGTAGTAATTTCCCGCGTCGCTTGTATAGACGTTGGCTCGGTATGACGACGTTAATACATCCATGGGCAGAACCGGAACGGCAGGTGGACGCCGAAGAGGAGGAAGCCAAGCAAGGGAACGGACGAATGTGTTTGCCCGGGATGTTGTTACACCCGGTGAAACAAATGTGGGAAGACCAACTTCGTTAAGGCTAACCTTGACGCTGCCACGCTGACGTTAAATTCACGCAATGAAACGGTTTCGACTATTGCCGCTCTAAGCTCTTCATTCACCAAAGATCATATGTTTCACAGCCACACAAGCATTAGCCGGAGTTAACTTGAAAACAGGGCATAAGGAGTATTGGGCTGGATATCAGATAGAAGATAGCGCTGAAGCCCTGCAGCACGCAACAGGTCACGCAGCGTGATTCGAAAATTTTGTTTACTTTTAACTCGGAGACGGTCGTTTCCCGGAGATATATTCTTTGTATATAGGCATCAGATCTCATCGTACTACTCATTGGAAACAAATCGGCCCGCATTTTTTTGCGTGTAAATATCATATAGGGCAATCATGCCCGTTATCAATCGGCCAGGGCCATAATTTAACGAACGATTCTAACTAATTTAATCATGGTGTGCTGTGAACCGGCGTGACGACGTTCTGAAAGCCCTTCTTGTATTCTACAATGCAATCGTGCTGTGAGTCTCATGCTAGCATAAGAAGACAACTTACCCAGGCCCTTCAAGCTTGCAGGACAAAGCTCACGATTGCAATAACTCGAAACTTCTCCTGTTGAATCTGACTGGACCTCTAGTAGCTTTCTTTATGCAGCCAACATGACACTGCGGGAAAGAGACATTAGGGCATGCGCCAGTCGATGTGACAAGGCTTTACATCTGTAGTAGCCTGCTGACGACTGGCAGGCCTCATCACGAGCTTCGTCACCGGCCGAGAGCAACAGACAAAGTGTAATACGAGGCATTTTAAAGACAGATCATTGGTCATTTCTGGTGCCCTGCGGCAATAACGGACATTTTGCCGCTCTAATACTGCTCCAAAACTGCTCCTTAGGATCGGCGTCTGAGCTCAACCCAGAACCCTGACCGCAGTGGCTTTGGCCTTTGCTACGTTTGCTTTATCAACCTCGCCTCCTTCTATGGATCTCTCTCTTCCATCCTCCTAATTCTCCACATCAACTTATAACCTGCGCAAGCATCGCCATGCTGCGCATTCCCGTACAGCGCGCCAGCAGCCGCATCCTTTGCGGTAGCTGTGGCGCTCGATCAAACTTCTCCACAGCAGCGAGAGCTTCAGCAACGTCATTGGTGTCGAAGAGACGATGCATAGCCCTGACTTCTCAATTGCAACAAGCTCGCCGCTATGCGATCGCCGCCGAAGACACAAACAAAGGAGTTGTATGTACAACATTCGTGCGCAGCTGTTAGCTCATCTAACTGAACGTCATCAGGATCCGAACGACTCCTTCCTTCAGGGAAATACAGCAAACTATGTCGATGAAATGTATATGCAATGGAAGCAAGATCCTTCGAGCGTCCATATATCGTGGCAAGTATATTTCAGGAACATGGAAAATGGTGACATGCCAGTGTCACAAGCCTTTCAGCCTCCGCCCACCATAATGCCGGCCCTCCATGGAGGTACTGGACCACAGTTCTCTCCAGGCATGGGAATGCAGACTGGACAGGGCGATGATACCATGAACCATCTCAAAGTCCAACTTCTAGTTCGCGCTTATCAAGCCCGAGGTCATCACAAGGCTAATATCGATCCTCTGGGCATTCGTACAGAGGCGGAGCAGTTCGGATACAAACGACCGAAAGAGCTGGAACTGTCTCATTACAACTTCAAAGAATCGGATCTCGACCAGGAATTTGCGCTAGGTCCTGGTATTCTTCCGGCATTTAAGAACGAAAGCCGCGAAAAGATGAAGCTGAGGGATATCATTGCAGCTTGCGAGAGGCTTTACTGTGGTTCGTACGGCATAGAATACATTCACATTCCGGATAGAGAGCATTGCGATTGGTTGCGTGCCCGAGTGGAGATTGAGCAGCCCTACAAATATTCAGTCGACGAGAAGAGACGAATCCTAGATCGTCTAATTTGGGGCACTAGTTTCGAATCCTTTTTGGCCACAAAGTATCCCAACGACAAGCGCTTTGGTCTTGAAGGTGGAGAGAGTTTGATTCCTGGGATGAAAGCTCTTATTGACCGAAGTGTCGACTATGGTGTTAAGGACATCGTCATTGGAATGCCTCATCGTGGTCGATTGAACGTTTTGAGTAATGTCGTTCGTAAGCCCAACGAATCTATCTTCAGCGAGTTCGCTGGCTCTGCCGATCCAGCCGACGAAGGTTCGGGCGATGTCAAGTACCATCTGGGAATGAACTTTGAACGACCCACGCCGTCTGGAAAGCGTGTCCAACTCTCCCTGGTAGCCAACCCATCGCATCTGGAGGCTGAGGACCCAGTGGTTCTTGGCAAGACCCGAGCCATATTGCACTACAACAAGGACGAGAAGGAAGCCAAGACTGCCATGGGAGTACTACTGCACGGTGATGCTGCCTTTGCCGGCCAGGGTATCGTCTACGAGACGATGGGCTTCCACACTCTACCATCGTACCATACTGGCGGTACTATCCATATCATCGTCAACAATCAGATTGGTTTTACTACTGATCCTCGCTTTTCTCGTTCCACTCCATACTGCTCAGACATCGCCAAGGCTATTGACGCACCTGTGTTTCATGTCAATGGCGACGATGTAGAGGCTCTTAACTTCGTTTGCCAGCTAGCTGCAGACTACCGTGCTGAGTTCAAGAAAGATGTTGTTATTGACATGGTCTGCTACCGTAAGCAGGGTCACAACGAGACCGACCAGCCGTTCTTTACTCAACCGCTCATGTATCAACGCATTGCAAAACACAAGCCCGCCCTAGACACTTATGAGAAGAAGCTTCTTGAGGAGAAGACCTTCACTAAGGAAGACATTGATGAGCACAAGGCTTGGGTATGGGGCATGCTGGAAGAAAGTTTTAACAGAAGCAAAGATTACACACCTACTGCGAAAGAGTGGCTTACATCTGCGTGGAACGGCTTCAAGTCACCAAAGGAGCTTGCTACTGAAGTACTGCCTCATCTACCTACTGCCGTCGATGAGAGCGTACTGAAGGAAATTGCTGCGAAGATTGGAGGTGCTCCTGAAGGTTTTGCTGTCCATCGCAATCTCAAGCGTATCTTGGCAGGTCGTGCAAAGACAGTGACTGAAGGCAAAAACATTGATATGCCTACGGCTGAGGCACTCGCATTCGGTTCGCTTGTGCTAGATGGCCATCACGTACGAGTTTCTGGACAGGATGTAGAGCGTGGTACTTTCTCTCAGCGACATGCTGTACTGCACGACCAAGAGACAGAAAATACGCACACCCCACTGCAGAACTTGAGCGACGACCAAGCCACATTCGTCATTTCCAACTCCTCTTTGAGCGAGTTCGGTGTCCTCGGATTCGAGTATGGTTATTCTCTATCGTCACCAAATGCACTTGTCATGTGGGAGGCTCAATTCGGCGACTTTGCTAACAATGCACAATGTATCATCGATCAGTTCGTTGCATCAGGTGAAGTCAAATGGCTTCAGCGCAGCGGTTTGGTCATGAGTTTGCCTCACGGATACGATGGTCAAGGCCCAGAGCATTCTTCAGGTCGTATGGAACGATACCTCCAGCTATGTAACGAGGATCCGCGCATCTTCCCAGCCGAAGACAAAATCGTCCGTCAACACCAAGACTGCAATATGCAGATCGCGTACCTCACCAAGCCATCGAACATGTTCCACATTCTTCGACGACAGATGAATCGCCAATTCCGCAAACGTAAGTTTCATAGTTGTATTGACTTTTCGCTCACCTACTGACTTAACACTAGCTCTCATCCTATTCTTCAGCAAGAATCTACTCCGCCACCCTATGGCCCGCTCGGATATCAGTGAATTCACCGGCGAGTCCGGCTTTCAATGGATCATCCCTGATCCTGCGCATGAGACCGGCGATATCGATGCGCACGACTCCATAAGTCGGGTCATTCTATGCTCTGGCCAAGTATACACTGCGCTTGCCAAACATCGTGAACAAGAGGGCCGCAAGGACATCGCAATTACCCGAATTGAGCAGCTACATCCGTTCCCATGGGAGCAGCTGAAGGAGAACCTTGACAGTTACCCGAACGCGAAGACCATTGTATGGGCCCAAGAGGAGCCGCTAAACGCCGGTGCATGGAGCTTCACTCAGCCAAGAATTGAGACGCTATTAAACCAGACGAAGTACCACAACCGACGCCACGTCATGTATGCTGGAAGAAACCCCAGCGCCAGTGTGGCAACTGGTTTGAAGAGCGTGCATACAAGGGAGGAGAAGGAGCTGCTGGAGCATGCATTTAACGTTACACAAGACAAGCTCAAGGGCGAGTAAAAGTTAATGGAGATCATCATGTGTGTATATGTATTAATTTCTCGTGGGTTATGGTTATCTCATTCTGTGTCAATGGGGATGGGATTTCCGAGTCGTCTTGAAAGCAAGGCGAAGATTTAACTTGAGATAAGTTTGAATGCATGTAGCATCAGTAGCGACGTTTTTCAAAAATGGGTTTGTTCTAAGGCCTATGCGGGATGAAGATCTGATTCTTTGAGCACCCTTTTCATCAGACAATTTTGCGTGGATCTTGTACGTCGGGTATTGTGCATCATTTTAAATTATAGAGTACTAATTTAAACACTCCCCTTCGTCTCGAATATTTAGTACATACTAGTTAATTGAACACGAGCTTACAAGACCAAGAGGGCAGATGCATTGTTCGGCTCGGTACAGGGAGAAGCTGGCCCGTGCTCAAGCTAGGCATTTTCCGGCACAGGTGTCACTTTCGACCTCAGTTCTTGCTGAAGCTCTTCTCACTCGGTTACTTCACACGACGTCCATCTCCACTCTACGCCCCCGAAAAGGCTCCCATCAGCTCCATTGACTGCTACAGTACAGTCAATTGGAGACGCCACACCCTTACCGATACGCATAATACCTCTTCAGAAACTGCTTCGACTCATCCGCGATAATGATGCGCACAGGAGCTTGCCGCGGCTTGATGCGGGCAATCAAGCCCTCCACGTCCCATGCGACTCGATTGGCCTTCTCAGGCCCAGCCAACATGACACAAGCGTCCTCGAAGCTCTGTACAATGGCCTTCAAGCGCCCGCAAGCCCTTGCAAAGCCAACAACGCATGCTCTGGCGCGTTACAAGTCTACGCTGAACGTTCAGGATCAGGAGCTAGAAAAGAGCCTTTTATATGAAGATATTCCATCCAACCCAGCGATCGTGGCCACGGACTCCTCAATCCACCCAGTCCTTGGTGAGGTTGGTGCACAAGAGCCGGAAAAGGACGTTGACATGATGGCCGGTGTGAAGTCTGATCTGGTTTGTGCCCCGCTTACCCAGGATGATATTGGTGAAGCATGCTCATGAGACCTCGCAGACTGTCATCAAAGAGACCTTTTCCCTCGAGGCAGTTCCTAAGGAGGCTATAGCTGTCGGTCTTGCCGGAGTCATTCCCTACCTTGTCACCTCGCTATCGACAGTCTATTGCGCAGCCGAGATCAATGCCAATGCCATTCACGGCTCCGGATACCTTATGTCTGGACAATCTGCAGACCTTCTGTTGCAAATTATTGAGCCGATGCAAATTGGATACGGCGCTGTGGTTCGTAGCTGATTCAACCATGTGTTCCGATAAACATTGACGTCCGACACAGATCATTTCCTTCCTCGGCGCTATTCATTGGGGTCTTGAATGGGCCAAGTACGGCGGCAGCCAGGGCTTTAAACGATATGCCATCGGCATCGTCGCTCCAGCTATTGCCTGGCCTACGATTATGCTCTCGCCCATCTTCGCCCTCTCAACCCAATTTCTTGCCTTTACCTACCTCTACTACGCAGACTCGCGCGCCTCCAAGCGCGGCTGGGCTCCAACATGGTACCCGGTCTACCGTTTCGTCCTGACCTTCATTGTTGGTGCCTCCATCATCATCACGCTGATCGGCAAGGGCCAGATCATCGAGGACCACCACTCCAGGCTACCCAACCCCGTAGATCGTATCCGCGCATTCCGCGACAACTACATTGATGAGGCATCTGCCAACGAGGCCTCCAACAAGGAGGAGACGATCGAGAAGAACAAGGCGATCAAAGAGGAAGAATAGACTTGGCGGCATCGTGCCATTGCCGGGTGGGGGAGTCCGTGAAAGAAAAGGGCTTTATTTTTTTTTACACGATAGATCGTTCGGGATTGCTACGTGCGTGAATGTATCAAGTCGATGAGAGTGTCGGATGTGCCGGGGGCGACTGTATATTGCACCAAACCTGTTCCTATGTCAAAACTTCTTTCTGTGAACCCAATTTCCTCGACGTGCTGTGCTAGCTTTCGCGACTGTCATCACACTAACTGTGGAAAACACCCATGCTTCCCAGGCGGAGAAGACGCAGTTCAATCCTCGTTCACCAAGTCGAGTATGGGCTTGTCAAAGCCCGTATCCTCCGAGTAAGATCTCGGAGTCATGTGTACATGCGAAAAGATCCATATGCGAAAATGATCAAGGTCCGGTATGGAATCCGATCGACACCCTTGGCGCAGAAATCCCATCATATCACATCGTATCGTGTGGAGATTCTGGGTGTAGGTAGATTGGTTGTTTGGGTCGAGGGTATGTGAGGGTTGGTGCGTGGTGTGGTGGTGGGGGAGAGGGATGGTTTGGGTACTACGGTGGGATTGTGACGTTGCGTATGTGTATATTTGTCGGTTTTGGCTGTTTTTTCTGTTGGGTTAGTGTATGGTAGTTGTGGGTTTTGAGGGTTTTTATGGGGCGTTAAGGGGGATGGGTTTAGTGGGTGATTGGTTGTGTTTTGTCACGACGTGTGCTCATCTGATGCGATTTGTCTAGGGTAAGACTTGCATCCGAGCACTACACTTGATAACTATTTGGATCTACTAATATATTGCTAGCCGTATGCTTTTTGCTTTCCTGCGAAGTGTCACTTCGATCAGGGGCTAGCTACGAGGGGGTAGGTCTTTCTTATCTTGATATGGAGACATGAAAGTCAAGTGGTCCTGAAGGGGGCTCTTCTGAAGGTATATACTGACTTCCGCCGTTTTGGAAGTTTACTCCGTATAGTAGACACTCTGCAGAATTGACTAATGAGAATACGGCAGTTGCAGAAATGCTGATTGCTGATTTCTTTATATTAGTGTGCATTATTAGACAAGAGTGTCAGTAGGACATGGTGTGGGGGACGGAGTTGAAGTTCAGGATTATACGACGACTAGAACAAGGCGGTAATAATGAAGTTGAAGTCTAACAGAAGAAGTTGCGCCTTGACTAAATTGGCTTATGGAGGCACAATCAGGTCGCCAGTGGACTTCCATTCACGTTTCTCGAAGCCAATATCTGCAGTATCACCCAGAATCTATATTCGATGCGGTATGACATCTAACATGCTACGAAACAGACAGTAGAATGTAGCTTAGTACAATAACGTGGGTACTTGCAAACGATCCGATCTGATCAGCCACAGAACAGAAGCATTGCGAATTGTGAGGGGCGCACGTAGATGCGTTGGGAGGTCCAGAAGACAACGGTATTGTGGCTTCTTGACACTGGCTGGATTACGATTCTGGTGATGACACGCTGGTTTCGCCTACTCGGTGTATATGCAGTCTGGAGTAGAAGAGAGGTTGAGGAAAGAAAAAAAATTATATGCTGGAGACGCACGATCGAAGCAATATAAGCGGTGTGTCCGCTCGTTTCGACAAAAGTGAAGAAGGCATGACGTTAAAACAAACATTTTATCGACAACAAACTTGTTGCTTAGCGCGTGGTGTATGCTCGGAGTCTGACAACGTGCAAGGGAAGCAGCATAGGGACCCAGTTCGCTCTTCCGCAGTCTTCCGCCCCTCGGGCTCCATCTCCATTTCTTACACCTTGTTCGACATTCCTTTTCCATGGTATGTGAGGAGATGTAAGTATCGCACAGCAGGCTGCTCTCATCTGAAAACGACGTTTTGATTCCCTGTCCTATCAATCTACTAACACTGATGCAAACGAATCGTTGTTAATGCGACGCTACAGAAAAGTCGAAACGCAGCAAACTCAAAAGATACGGTGGCATTACTGAACGCTATGAATATCTCAACGCAAAGAACTCATCCATCAGCAAAGCGAGCCGAAGCTCCAGATCCCATAATCCATGGACTGGCTACGAGAGCGACGTCGGACATGAAGCTGAAGAATATAATGAGCATTGTTGCTGCCGGGAAAGCAACGCAGGACCAGCTTAGGTATTTCCAAGGTCACATCGAGGAGTTGAAAGTGCTGCAGAGTCTAAAGACTGAAGAGGAGAGGGGAGGTTCACCAACGTTGTCTGGCCATGACTCGTATGGTGGCATTGCAGACCATGCGACACTCACTTCCTTGAACGGCGAAGATCAGGATGTTGAAGACGCTCAGGAATCGCCGAGTCCGTCTGATGATGACGCCGATACTGAACTATCTGACCATTCTCTTGGACACCCGAATCATGAATCTGCTGAAACGGATAAGACTGCGCCACCGAAAGAGCATCTCGTTATTTCCGAATTGGCTCGACGAGCGCAATCAGACATGACTTTCAGACGTCTATTGAAGACTGTCGCTGCCGGAAAAGCAACGCAGCACCAGCTTGTGTATTTCCAAAATCACATTGATAAGTTAAACCATTTATTTGACGAGACCACCGCCGATACTACCCTCACTACCATATCGGCGGAGCCTTCATCGTCTTCCATTCCGGGAGGAGTCACACAGAACTGAACTTCTTCTGAAAGTGTGCAATGTTTACATGAAGATTTCTGCCGTTGGCGCTCATAGCCAACTTCGAACCTGGTATCTAGGCTAGAGCTGCTCTCACCTGGTATAAAAGATATGGCCATTCACTGACGGTAACATGAGTCTTTGCAACGACCTTCGCTAAGATCTTTGGGATGATCGAAAGAGGTTTTCCCCTGGCCCGTATAACTCATCTTCTATCAAGCTAGGCTCAGAGTTGGTGGTCTCAAGGCATTATGGTATGTTTGAGATTCGAGTTGAAGTGCCTCTCTAGGTCGGGTTTACGTGCTGAGCCTGCCTTTCGAGTCTATTTTGCTGCAAGGGCCCTGTAGCCGACATGATTGTCGGATCTCTAGATCGCTCTAAAGCTCACCAAATATGATATCTCCTCCGAACACGCTCTGTAAAGTGCTTAATCTCTTGAATGTTACTTCTATACGACTTCAGGGCACCATAAGTGTAGTAGCGCCGCGATATCACTCACTTGTCAATGGCAGTGCGATAGTGAACACAACTATCGATTCACATGAGTTTTAGTCTTCTTTCGGCGCTGCAAAGCACCCAGTCTAGCGCCCCCGTCACCCCAAAGACTCTTCTCTCGCTCTCTCTCACACGCGCATATCCTCCGTCCCTTGCCCTTCTCCGTCTCTGCGTCAACCTCCCGACAATCGTCGCAGCAAAAGACACCGCCATTTCCGTCGCATTCCTCACAAACAACCAGAACCAGATGACATCCGACACCAATACACTTCCCCAGTCTATCATCCCCAACCCCGCACCCTTGACACACCGCTACCGCCTTGCCTTCGCCCTCTCCGATTGCCCCTCTCCCATCAAACACGTAGTTCCGCCCCTTAAACAAACTCTCCTCCCCTCTCATCCTCCCCGCCTCGACCTCTCCCTTTACCCACGCCTGATATGCCACAATCCCGCCATCAAGCGTATACACCGGCACATCCCTCTCCCTCTGCATCACCTCCGCCATCCACCTCGCCCCCTTTTCACACCTCACGCCACCAGTACAATACGTCAACACCCCCTCCCTCCCACTCCAGCCCTCATCCCCCAGCACATGCCGCGCCACATACCCAGGCCACTGACTAAACCGCCTCACGCCCGGCCGCACCGCACTCTCCCCCTTCCCCGTAACAAAATACCCAATCCGACTCTCATAATGATTCCGCACATCCACAACCCTGACATCCCCGCGTCGGCACATCTCATGGAACTCCCTCGGCCTCAGCGGCGTGACACAGCTCCAGTCCGCGGGCGAGTAGTTTGTGATGCCGAGGGGCGTGATCTCGGACGTCACGCGCACGGAGAGGACCTGCCCAAAGGCACATGCGCAGCCGGGTGTGGGCTTGAAGAAGCGTGCTACTTGCTCGTCGGTGGAGAGGTCTAGGCCGGCGAAGCTCCAGTGCGTGGTACATGCGGCGATGTACTGGGTGATGGAGGATGTGGGGCCGCCGAGGGTGATGTTGAAGCCTTCGTGCGAGAGGCGGAATTTGCCGGCGATGTTGAGCCTGGACGCGAGAGTGCGGTGGAATGTGGCGAGAGATTCGGGGTCTTGGGACAATTGGGGGTTCACGGAATCTTGGGGGCTGTTGTGTTGAGATGGTGGGCTTTGGGGAAGCACGGGGTCGTTTGCAAAGTAGCGGTAGAAGAGCAGGATGGAGCCGCCATTTGTGGACGCCGGACAGGTGCATGTGTATGATATTGGGTCGGAGGACATGGGTTCTGGTGTTCTGGGCGGGATTGTAGAAGATAGAGTGATGAAAAGATCCAGTCAGTTGTTATTGTTAGAAGGGAATTCTAGTTGGATACACTGTGGTGGAGCTACCCCACATTCAGCTAGCGTCTTACGCTAATGGTTTAGGCACGTTCTCTGTCTATCAACGTCAGATAGTTAAATTCGTTTGAAAACGAGGAGTATTCAGATAGTTTTGTGGACTTCTCATATTTGCCGTCCGCTTGTACGCCATATGCCTGATGGGTTCATAACCTGCCATGTTAACCACTCATCGCTTCCTCTTTGAACCTTTTATTGAAACTAGCCATTGGTCAATGCACCCATGACTTCCCAACTTCGCTACATGTCTTCAGGTTCTTTGGGATCAACTGGCCGTGATATATCAACATTGAATCCGCCGCCAGCTAGATAGTTTAACCGATCATTGGATCGTCCAATGAATGTTAGGTACGAAGGAAGCTTACGGCGTCTACGTTTTTCAGGGTCATAGCCCTCCTCCCCATACGTGAAATATTCTCCGGACACGACATCCTCTCCCATAAAGCGCTGGTCGGCAGAATGAAAGAATCCCAGCTTTGGACCAGGTAGCTTCCGCAGTTCGACGTCATCGGTGAGTGGGAGATGACGGGAGGCGAGATCTCGGAAAGCACGCGAGACACGCAAACAGGCTTCATGCGTCTTTGGATCATGGACGTGGCTCAAGATCAGTTGATAAATCTCGTTAGGAAAGACCCCGCTATTGCCTACTCGCGGCTTGAGTGTGAGTAGCTGGGCTTCCTCGAAGACAAGAGCCAGCATTGCGAATGCTCTTGACGCAGTGACCGGTAGCCCGCGCCACTCCAGACTGATGGTAGACTCATCGCATTTGATCAAATCAGCAAATACCATGACGTTCGAATGTTCGATCAACTTTCCGTTGATTTTGGCGAAAGCAATGTGACTGAAGGCGTCATACGCTAAGCCGTAGAAAATAGTTTTTGCTTTCCCCAGTCCTCTGACAAAAATCTCTTCCATCGCTGAAGTAAGCTCTCCATCGGCACAGAGGTCGTCACTAAAGATGACGAGTACACCCTCAAGCCAGTAGTGTGATTTTGAAATATTGCCAGGCTGTTGGCCTTCGAGGTAGAATCCTGACAGGGCTTCCGTGGCAAACTCTCGAGCCCTCGACTCTGCAGTCAGGGGTTTGATCGTCATGTATGGCCCATGTCGTTTGTATGAGACTTCAACATCACGAACAACTCGTAACAAGGCCGGAGAGTGCGTAGCCGTCGTCAGGAGGAGGAACATGAGCTCATGATAGTTCACGCCGTCTCCGATACATGCCTCTGGAGGACTGATGGGGATTGGACGTCTGGCGGGGACTGGGACCAATGAGTGATGCTTGTCGATGAGAATATTGAACAAACGCGAAGCCCAAGCAAATACCGGCTTGTGCAGCAATGCGGAAGCCGTCTTGGGCACTACTAATTTAAGCTGAAGACGGAATGGATTCTCCTGTGGGCTCTTCATCTGCATGATATTACTGGCGCTACATTCTTCAAGTGAAGACTCCGACTCCGGGGCCTTGTGTAGTAGATCTCGGAGATGCTCAGGCAATTTTCGGTCGTTGCCTAAAGTCATTTCCAGCTCTTCAGCAACCTGGGACCACTTGGTCTGTATATCAAACAGGTCAAAAGCCACAGGGTCATGCGAGCCATATCCTTGGACGACAAAGCGCTCGTAGTCCAAGTCGAATTCGTAGGTCCATTCTATGCTACAAGAGTATATCAGTGTAAGCCTGGTCGCTCGGATCTTGCTGCCTACCATATATCCAAGTCGGGCTTCAAATCAGAAGGTATTTCATACAACTTTGCCTCCGCGTCGATGGTAATGTTGTCTAGGCGCCGACGTTTCCGGCGCTCACGACTATCGTTAGGTATGGCTCTGAACTTCTCAACTATCCTGGACATGTCCTCATACTTGGACCTCATGTTCTCGAGCCATTTTAGATACGAGTCGCGATCATTTGGGACCTTCTCTGCAAGCTCGGTGCCCAAGACAGTCGGATATGAGTCACTATTACAATAAGTAAATTACGTCAGGGGGTAATAAGTGGAACATCCATACAGCCGATTGTAGTAAGTATAGTATATGCCACGGTATCTATAGCTATAGAGACCCCTAGTACCCATTGTGACGACACAAGGGAGTGCGGAACACCTCGAGTGGGATGGAAGGCCTCAAGAAGACGGACTCCGTTCCAGTTTCGCAAGTGAGTAAAGAGATGCTGGCGTATAATATAGAAAACAGTAGTAGCAGTTCGGGCCCTCGCAGTGGTTAGTGCGAGAATATTCAGGCAGCAAGGCGGGTGAATGTGTGATTGTGCAAAGCAGCGAAAGAAGCTGGATACTGCCTGGGAAAGGAGAGCATGGCATGATATATGATCTTCATGGCTGGAGGGGACATTTGTGCTATTGTCACCATGATGCACTGTGTTTGGTGTATCTCTTTGTTACCTCGCAGCAAGGTTACCGTCTTTGGATGCTGACAGCTGAGTGGCAAGTTACGCAACAACACCCTGCAACAGCCCATACAATTCAATTCTTCACCACTGTGCAACAGACTGTAGGTTTTCCTTTTCCATGCCACGGAGATTCCTTGAGCGTGTCGAGAACGGCGGGCAAGCTGCATTGTTGACTCAGAACTAGCGGGACCATAACACTCTTTCCATATATTGCATAGAGTATTTTCTGCACTTTGCCAGAGCTCTCGTTTGAGATAGCCTGAGACAATGTCTATACTGTACCCCGGCAAAATTTTGATGTCTTGACACTGTAGACCAAGCAGAACAAGATCCTCTGACTAGCCTAGCCCTATCATTTCGAAGTCTGCACAATGCTACAGCAGCGGACAAAGCCTGTTGGACATCCGCATTCTTCCTTTTTGCTTCTCCCGTCGCTGCTTCCCCCTTTCAGTACAAAAACAGTCCAATGACTCGGTAGGACACGATGATTCATACAAACGGCGCCATCGTTGTATTTGGTCTACACCACACAGTGTCAGGTCCATCAAACGTCAAACCAGAAAGGAACAGTAGAAGTGCTTCATGTTTATACGTGATGCAAGGCCTTTTTACAGTCTTTCTACCAGTGTGTATCTGAAAGATACTCACATGTGTGCTAGGTTGACAGACCATAACCCTTTCTTACCCAGTACCCCTTTCACCCCTTTCCTCACCCTCCTCTCCACCACCTCCTCCCGTCCACACCCAAACCCACCACCCAAACAAAAGCGCAACAAGCCCACCCGATCGTCACTCACAGCCCAGCAAGTCCAAACTACAACATCAATCTCGGCCGCAACCCCATCACAAACACAGTCCTCATCAACAACACCAAAAACGCCCCCAGTGAAAAGCACCATGCAACCTCACCATTACCAACACTTCTGTCGAAACCACAACCCGCGTCTCGCCGATAATCACAGTTTCACAGACATAACCGCTGGATCCCATACCCGATGCCCCTTCTCCGCGCCCTCGCCGCGCTCAGCCCGCGACTTCCGGACTCGTTGCCTTCTACGATACAAACATGTCTTCTACCACTCTTCCCTCGCACTCCTCACGCCCAAGCATCTACATTCGCGCCTAGCAGTACATTTGCAACCTGCTATCGAGCCTGGTCGTTGATAGGATGCTTGTTGGCATGAACGCCCTCCATCGTTACTACCAAATCATCATCATCGCCATCATCGTCATGGTCATGTTCATCGTCGTTACTACTATATACATATTGGTGTTTAAACGGGAGGTAGGATAGCTGGCTGGCAGATAGGCAGACAGACAGACACGCAGGCGCATATTCGCGTAGACATGGATAGTATGTGAGTCAAGAGCCTTCTGTGCGTATGAGCCAGGGGTTTTGTTGGAGGGGTATAAATTCTGGAGTCGAATGGGGAGATGAGATTCAGGGCTATTTGAGGCGTGTAGTGGGAGGCAGAGTAGGCGGATGTGGAGAAAGGTATATGAGCGGAGTAGAAATATATGTTTCATGTGAAGATGGATGGAGGAAGATGTAGGAAGGGGGGGTCCGGGATTTTTGGGGGCAGTGCACAGGGGACAAGTACGAGTGAGCTGGAATACGTATATATAACCTCACTATGAGCAGTAAAGTACCTTCTTGCTCTGCTCTGTGCGTTTTCGATTGATATCACCTAGCAATTCAAGGTCCCCTTACCCGTTCTCTACACACTGTAACGTGTTAGCCAAGTGATCTACACCACAGGTCGTAAGAGTATCAGCACGGCCATTCAAGTACTTTGGTGTTTTGATCCTGCAGTTCGTCTGCGACGCGGTTGCATGGAAGCATTACTTCGTTTTTCTATACAGATTTTGTATCTGAAGTCTATCAGCCGCGATTGGCACATTGACCTAACATGTCCGCAGTCCAGGGAGACAGACACGTCATGAATATCTCGAGCGGATCACCAACCACATCTACGCGTTGCTCATTGATTGTCTCATACATTATGATTCCCCGGGCGATGGATAGTGAATTCCATTCATGAAAGATCGAACCCGGCTCCCGCACTGACTGCGTACAGCAGCTTTTCCCTCAACACCTCGAAGCTCGAGTACATCGGCAGCTTCAGTAGATTGACGCACGTGCTCGACGTCGGCAGTCTCACCTCGTCCCGGCCACTGTCTCTGATCGTGAACGGAGGGTTCAATTGCCCGAAGCCCAACAGCGGAGCTCGTGGTGTGCTGGTGACGAACTTGATCACCGCACGCTTGTCCTGCTCGTCTAAGCTTTCCATGACGCGCCAGAAATGTTGAATGGTTGGGTGTTCAAGCCCATCGGTGCCGATCTGATAGACACCAGAGTAGGATATATTCCTTCGCAGGTCGTTGAGGTCGAGTGGGGCAGTGGTGCCCGAAAGTAGAGTCTGAACTTCGTTCTGGTTGAACATGCGCAGCCATTGAGGCTTGATCATGCTCGACAGCCCGCGGAGGAAAGCGTTCGTCTGCCGACTGGGCTGGAGGACAAGGCGGTGACGAGCTGTGGCGAAGACGTAGAAAAGACGGTTTTCCGATGTAACTTTGACATTTGCGCCATCGGGCCGAAGGGGCCGGCTGATGTTGCGCACCTCTCCAGTATCTAAGTTCTTTGCAGTGTCAATCGTCGTGAAGTCAATATTATAGTCGGACTCAACATCGCCGCCGTAGTTCTTGAGGCTCAGGAGACCCCGGTAGAGGTCTTCATCGTAATAGCGGAGGTCGTCGAGGGTGGCACGAAAGCCGGATTCTTTCAGTGGAGCACCCGTCTCGTCGCAGAGAGACCACTTTTGAAGGAAGAATGGTGCAAAGTTCAAGTCGACAAGGATTTCCTCGTAGAGGCATTTCCCTATAACTCTGCCAACAAATTCAAACTTCTTTAACGTTTCATCCACCTGCCTCGGCTCGTATGGGTATGTCTCCTTGATATCATCGATAGCAGAGGGGTTCGGGTAGATCAGGTTCTGCTCATTCTCAACAAACATATCCAAGGACTCGTACTTTTCAATCTGGGTGGCCAAAGACGTGAGGAACTCTTTAGTGACTCCGCCACCGTCGATACCAGCTTCAACTGTACCAAAACTGTCAAGGAAGACGATCTGAATAGGCTCTTTTAGCGAATCACCGATCTGGTAAAATTGCTCAAAAGCATCCTTCATTTCGTGCCCGCGCCTGATACTCGCCCTTTGTCGCTCAAGTAGGCTTGCGCCATTTGCATGAGAATGAACAGCATGGCGCCAATATTCTGCCTCTTCATGTCCAAATCTGCGGAGCACCTGCAGGAATAATGTTAGCTTTTGTAGCTGGAAACCGTGTCAATAGCATACCTTATCTGTCTTGACGAATTCCCGGAAAAGGTGCACACGCTTCATGAAAGGTATCGTGTATGGCATATTCTCCATGACGTCGAAGCGCGGCCTCAGGAACAGCCGCTGCCGTTCGCTGAACGCACGATTCTGCTGTCTCCGAAGCGAGTCCTGCTGCGCGAGGCGTTGAGCCCGCCCGGTTCCAATGATACGATTGGGACTCCCGCTTTCCTGAGATGGAGATGCGGGACGATCTTCCATTTCTGTGTCGCCTCCATTGGCTTCATCCTTGGTCGCATTTTCCACTTCCATTTGGATGAGCGATTTGAACAATTCATCCGTAGTGAATATCCCGTTAAATCGATCGTTCATCAACCAGTGATCCTTGGGGAGAAACGCTCTCCGCGAGTCGCGCTCGTATATCATGCGTAGCAAGCCCGTAACGAGGGTAGTCATGTATGTTAAGCTTGCCCCAGTCGGACCACTTGGACCTATCAGCGACGATTCATCAGCAGCAGAAATATCTTGTGGCATCTTGAACAGATCCGCAATTGACCTAGGCCCGGATGGACGACCAGAATTCGAGTCTAGCCTCGTGGCGTCTAGATAGAGCGACAGTCCGAGGTTCTTCAAAAATGTCACGAGATCTTGCACATCGACCAAAGGCAGAGCACTGGCCCGTGTATGAGACAGACCAAGTACATCTTCACCGGTATTCGAATCTGCAGTAGAAAAGAATTCATCGTCATTCATCACCTTCAACACGAACGTGTAGAGCTCCAGAAACATCAAAATCACCCGCCAATCACTCTCAGCAGTGGGCGGAATCTGGTGAAACTCGCCAAAAAACTTGGCATCAAGTACAATGTATTTGATCGACTGTCTGTCATTCCGGACCTGCGCAAAGGTCTCGGTATGTTTAGCGGCATTCCAGAAAAATTGTATAGCGGATTGTCCTGCGCTTGACCCGTGTGATGTCTGAGAGGGACCAAGAAACAGCCACATCCGCATCTGATCGGCTTCTGAGGGGAAGTTTCTGACCAGAGTCAAAGCAAAGTTTGCATACAATGTGGCTCTCGCGACCGACGGCCGCTGAAACTTGACAGTCTCCTGAGCATTCGAAGTCAGGTTCCGCAGACTGGTCTCGTCCACCAGTTTATGAACTTGATCGAATAAGAACTGTGTATTCTGTGCGTATTTCGACGATCGTGGGTCTACCATGAGGGAGAGATCTGGGATGGATGGAAGAAGGCGTGTTACCACGTCTATAAAGTTACTATCAGTTGAGTAGTCTCCGAGGTCGTCATTGCCTGTGCCTTCCGAAGCTCTTCGTGATCGGCTTTTCACATAGATGAACATTCCTAGCAATCTGTAGTTTGCATCCTTGATGCTATCAATCTCCGAGGGCCCAACAGTACTTGCGCTCGTTGCATCGGCCCTTTGACCACTTCTTATGGCTACGACAAGCTGCCCGTAGTCGAGAGAGTCTGCGAGTCGGGCCACGAAGTCTTCGAATGTGCTGAACCAGCCAGAAAATGTTGATGTTGTCTTAGAATCTGATATTACCCTGATTTTAGATGCGTCTAAGCTGTCTGTAAGCCCACGATGTATAAATAGTCTGTTTGAAAGCCATTTGTATGCTTCGGAGAGCTTGGCACCTGAGTTCAAGCGTAGAGGAAGTTTCACGGCATCCAAAATTTTGTTGGCTAGCTCTTCCTGCCTACTATTGCCAGATGTGGGGAGACAAACAGATGCTTTCAAGTGATCGATCACAAGCGAAATCGATTCGAAGTAACTGGCCCCGTTATTTGCAGACGCCCCAGGAATCTGGTTTGATACTTCTGAGAGGGCGCCAAGAAGCTCAGCGACTGTATGACTGTCTTGTGGTATTGCTTCGGGTTGCACAGATTGGGTTTGGGTACATCTATGATTTATGGCAGCGAGAATCTTGTTTTGGAGCCGCAGAAGAGCATGGGTGTATCGTGTTGGGGTGTCCAACATGTGGTACCTGACGGTGACATCAAAGCGGTGGCAGAAGGATATTATCAAGGCCTGATCAGCATGACTGGAAGGCTCAAAGAAGAACAACAGCCTCCTCAGTTGTAGTAGAGCCTCATCTTGGCTTTCATATGCGAGTACTGTCTTCGTGATCTTCTTTTGAGTGCCTAGTTCTTGATCCATAAACTCTTGTCGCATCTGCTGTGCAGCTTCAGATCTAGACATGTGGCCACGCCATATCCGTTGTGCTCTTCTCGTGCCGCTTTCCAGAGCTTGTTGGTACTGCCTCTCCGCGCGCTCTTCTTGCAACTTCGCTGCCGTTGCTTGTGGACCTACGCGGGAGCCAAAGGGATTCGCATTTGGTGACCGGCCCGACAGATTTACCTGCCTTTGTCGGCGGGAAGACCCTGTGAAAGTTTTGTGCATCCTCTCACAGAAGGCCTTCAGGCCTCAGTATGTTCGGCGGGGGCAACGCTTCGACTTCTAATGGGTCAAGTTTCTTGGAGATAGCTAGGTCTAGCTCTTGCACAGATGATGTAGGTCCAAACTTGGGTCGGAGGTAGTCTTAGGACGGGACTGGGTATCGAGACCGCTGGCAGTGTTTGCGTATGAGGGGATTCAAGTGAGAGCGGAGTTATGGTATAGCCCCGCTAAGGGTCTAAGGAAAGTTCTAGAGTGAAATACTATACAAGAGAGAAAAGATCGCTGCTACTCAGATGCGGTAAGAAATTGAACAATTGAAAGACAGGAAGGTGAGCCGTAGGATGTACGTGCGAGAGTGATAGGCAAGCAACAGGGTGAGTAATGGGATCTGTTCGCCATCGCGGTCCGCAACCTTGTCCTCTTGTCCTTCTATCGTCACTGGCTGACTGGGCTTGAGCTAGTTGGGACTAGCCCATTTCAGCCTTACGCCTTCATAAACGACACACGACCGACCTCAACTGTTATATTTTGCAACAGATGCTGCTTGTAACAGTTCGATGGTGCTTCATAGGCTTATTTATGATTCTTCGAAACCATATACGGGCCTGAGCTGCGGTGATAGTCCACGCTGAAACACGAATCATCGAGAGCTGGTAAAAGCGAAGGAAATGTCCAGAATCTTATTATACCTCTCCCTCTAAGTAAGATTTTAAACTTGCCTTTATAATATATTGTTAGACGTATTCTAGAAGTAGAAACTTAGCACGAGGCCAGTAACAATCCAGGGATTAACATAACACGCAAACAAAAAGCGCATACATATCAAAAACCAAGCAGTAGCGGCCAAATGAGCAAAACAACAAAAACTACAACCCTTCAGGCTTGAACCCTGGGTATTATGTAGAAAATCGCTGGTACGATTTTTTTGATAGATCCTAATATTCTGCGCGTTGTTGACTTTACGCCATAAGTGCCGCTGACTGAAATTCTGTCAAATTCACCCAAATATAAATGGTCGAAATTAGAAAAAAATGGTTTCGAAACATAACAGGACACAGACATGTTCCACGTTAGAGTGTCCCAGTGGACGACTAGTCTGACGATAGTATAACAAGCAGTCATGGAAGTGGCAAGTCGTGAGCCGAGGATTCATTCTTTGGTTTCGCTTCACTTTGTCTGTTCCCTGCGAAGCTCACATTAGTGAATAGCAGAGCCAAGCTTTCTCTGTGTACGTCATATTGTTCTACCTCATTTGCATGGACTGGTTGCTCATACAAGGAATGCAGCCTTGGGTTTCTGGAGCTCAAGTGTCAGTTTGACCGGCGAAGTGGCGTTCTTCTAAGTTCAAGAATGTGGCACACATGTCTTTGTTTTAGCCCTTGCTGCCTTGGTTGAGAACAGCCTAACACGTATAAACAGGTAAGAGAGAGAACGTAACATCCGCACATCTTGCCCATCTATCTCTTCACCTTAGTCTTCAAAAAGATCTCGTTCTCTTACACAGTTTGAAGGCTGTTGCCACTTACATGCGATATGGCGACCAACACCACTGCAGGACCTCTCGGGTTACCTAGCCATCACTGGGAGTCGACAAAGTCGGTTCCTTCGATTGATGAATTCGTTCGCCTGCACAATCTGACCATCGTCACCGCCGAGACCCAGGATGCTGCACTCATGCGAAGCTGGACCCGAGACATATTCACATTCGCTCTTTTGATCATCCTTCTATGCTGTGCTCTATGTTCAGCGCTCCTGCGCGACAAATTCGCAAGCATATACGAAAGACTGCGCACCAAGCCCAGTGAATCCGAACAGCCTCTGAAAAGCGCCGCGTATCTAGGTGTCCTTGCATCTGCGACGATCCTGTTCCTGCCCATGTGGATTGCGACGTTCGCCATCTCGACAAACCGGGGCGCAGCTGGAGGATGGATCTCAGTCTCGGGGTTTACAGTACTCTTTCATTTGGCCGTGGAAGTGCATCGGATATTCGCCATACTTGGTGTAGTCTCCTGGGTGTTGTCTCTGGTGTACATTGTGGGGAGGTGGAAAGGAGTCACGGCCTACCTCGTCACCAATCTCAATGGCTGCAAATATCACGATGGACTAGATTTTCTGCAAACCGGGCGCAGAACTGCAGACTTTAGGATCTTCAGCACCGTAGCGTTTGTACTTGCCACGCTTGTTGCTCTGTGGGGTTTGTTTCCATGCGATCGGGACCGGAAATTAGGATGGCTTCTGCTCCCCCTGGTATTCGCGATCTTCTGCTACGACTGTTATGTTGCAAATGCAGGCACGCCTTTGGTGGTGTCTGGAAATTGTTTGCTCGTGGAGGAGAGTCCTGCTCTCGGTTTCATGGACTCTGGAGTGAGGCTCTCCTGGAAGGTGTTGAGTTTCTTTGCTTGAGTCGACAGGCGACTGGAGGACTTGAGGCCCCACGCAGAGCAGGACTATGCAATCGCTGTTAGGGGGTTAGTTCGCTTCTTATTGTAGTAGTACTAGCAATGGCCACTGGAATATAATACAACCTTACCTAATGACCGGGAAATCTAGATCGTAATGGGGCTGTCACATGATGAGGACATGCTGCGTATACATTGGGCTGCGCAACATGAATGAGAGTGTTCGCCATAAGAATAGCATATTGAAGAGCTGACATGCACCAGGAGTCAAGCAAGGATTGCTGTGCCAAAGTCGATTATGACACCTTTGCAGGTTCACACATGGTACGCGTAACGGTATCACCGTGTAAGTCGAGTGTGGAGTTAGCCCACCTTGGGCAGCATCGTCGGTGTCGTACCAGTGCCGTGCCCAGACCGGCACAGAAGAGAATACTAAGGCCGGACACAGCGTTCCGTGCCTCGTAGCAAGGGGACCTGGCGTTCTAGCGTTTCGAGTGGTTGCTGCTGTGGAGCGCAGTCAGTGGCCATCGATAGTGTCGTGTGCGAACGAACGAGTGCCTCGCTGTTGGAAGCGACATCGAGTGCGTTGATGAAGTGGATTGGCTGAGTAACTGAGTCGGGTGTGTGATAGGGATGTGATAGTGATGGTGATGCTCGGCAGACTGGGGCCACGAATCCCGTGGGACTCCATGGTCACAAAGATATGAAACAGGGCTAAGCCAAAGGAATGGCTGGTAGATGCTTGCACTGTTCATTATACTGTCGACGTCCCTATTGATATCATACCGATGGCGCGTCGGACCACGCTCCATTCAGATCTGACGCGAGCTTGACTGATGGAATGCGAAAGAGCATTGGGTTGCTCCAAGCCCTGATTGGGCTGGAAAGGAGAGCAGAATCACGACTAAGGTCATACGAGTATGCGTGAGTATACTGCGATGAATGTCTACCATCAATCAATTCTTGTTAGACGGATGTATCTTCTTTGACGCGGTGATGTTGTCACTTCGATCTGCTCTTACTCCTACAGACATACAGCCCGAGAGTAAAGTCATATAGCGTATTATCAAACAAGGGTGATGGTGCTGCAGGGAGGTCCCTGATAAGTTGGCTCTGCCGACCGTTGGCAGCTTACTCGCACGTCGAAAGGGCCAGACCACGGATGGACGGTGGAGCCGGGCGGTGAACAACAATGACAACGACAACGACAACGACAACGACAACGACAACGACAACAGCGACAGCACAGTGGCTTGGAGAAAGATGTGTTATTGGTGGTGGTATAGTGTAGTGTAGTAGTCGATACGGAGGAATGGTGTAGGCATATAGACAATAGCAACAATGTAGCAAGCAATTTGTGATCTCACAAGCAACGACGCAGGTGTATAATTACGCCGGCTGGAGAAAAAAGGAGGAGTATTCTGGAGTATGTTCCTAGAGTGAAGAGTGAAAAGGTGAGGAAATCAGCTAGGGGAACAGGGAAGACCACGCCGCAGTTGACCAAGACCCTCTTACGACCCAAGACCGAAGATGAAAACCCAACCACCCAGCGGACCGGCTCATCCGTCCGGGGGCTTAAGTAGCAGCTGTAGCAGCTCCAATCGAAAGGAATCATCACACAGGGGGGGAGAGAGAGTCAGATACAGGGAACGGGCTTGTTTTGTTTTCTTGTGGAACGCACGCCCAGCCAGAATTGCTTGAAACACACAAGACAGACAAGACACTTGTCGCGTTCTTCTCGTGTTCCGATGTACACGCATATAATACATACATATACATTCATACATGCATACTGTACATGCATATCTGGGTAGTAGTAGTCGTGGTGGTGGTGGTGGTGGTGGTGGTGGTAGGGCCCGTACAGTAGTAGTAATCATCAGTACTATTTATCATCTGCTCCCCCCGTTACTACTCCTGCACGCGCGCCTCACTCACGCCTCTTCATCTCTCCTCATCTTCTTCCCTCCTCCTCCTCTTCTTCTTCTTCTTCTTCCTCCACCACTTCTCCGTCAGATTGCGACTGCGACTGCGACTCAACTCATCTCTCATTCTATTACTCCGGACGCGCGCGTGTGCTTTGGGACGCAAATTCCGGGGAAGCGTCTGAAGCCTGCGTAAAAGCAGTTTAGCCCCGAGCGCCAACCGTCAATCCTCCCCACCCCCCGAAATTTCTTTTCGCTCCACTACTCGCTACCTAGCCTCATCTCCCTTTCGCCGATCTCCTCACACTTTGACATTTTGTCAATACACTGCTACTATTTCTGACCGCTTCTTTACTTCTTTTTGCCGGACACTTCCCCCTGTTGACTTCCTGGGTCCCCTGTACCTTGTCACTCGTCTCTCACTTCATCCACTCCTGTCCGCCCGCGGTCATCCTTGTTCTGTCACCATCTCTCCATCCATCGTAATGGAACCCAAGCCAGAGCCTCTCTCCAGCGACTTTCCTCCCATGTTCTAGGAGCCCACACACCATCCACAGCGTCAGATAGTACGGCCGTCTCCCGAATGCGACACCAGCTGCCGCGCCCACCTTCTCTAATGCCCACGACCTCTCTGCTGTACGCCGCGACGTCTGTGGCTCCACTCCTTTCATTCACTACGTCGCCTAAGTGAACTGTACTCAACACTATATTGTCGCAACTCGGTGCGTAGATGGGACTACCAGCAGACATGGATCGAAGACACCCTCCCCGATCACAAACAAGCTCTACACCGCCAACTAGTACAATGTCGCGCTCTACAACTTCGTACGATCTGGCCTCCTCAATCGAGGCCATTTCGGAGCCACGATCTGAATATTTGCGACGTGCCTTGATGGAGCGCAAGCAGCGACGGTCCACCAGACTTTCCGTGCCCCATATCGAGACACCGCTGGTCAGATCTGCGACTCCTGATACACTCGACCTACAAGCGCGCCGTCTAGAAGAAGATGTCTTGGACGATGCCTGGACACAGGAAGCTGGCTTTGAAGAACCCCACACTCCCAGGATGTCTCATCTTCGACGCGCAAGCACTGCCGGCACAGGGAAGCACAGAGGTACTCCTACTCAAGATATGGAAACAAGTATGGCTAAGCTCGAAAGGACAAATTTTGACCTGAAGATCCGCGTGACTATGCAGGAGGAACGCGCAAAGAGACTGGAGATCGAGCTGAAGGAAGCTCTGGACAAGATCAAGGACCTGGCGCAAGTAAATGAGATCAAGGACCGTCAGAAAGAAGAGCAAGATGAACGACTTAAAGATCTGGAAGTCGAAAACGCTGCGCTTGTGTCGGACAACCAGGAGATGTTCACTCTCTACGATGAACTTGTATTGGATCTGGAGCAGAAAGATCACGCCATTACCGAGGCTGCCGATATGGTGTGTGAGGTCGAGGATCAGAAAGACGCGCTGGAGGCTGAATTGGCTCTGTCAAACGAGAAACTCCTGGTTGTTCAGGATGAATTGGAAAAATGGAAGACACTGGTTGAGACTTCGAGCAAGCCGCCAACAGACTCTGATTACTACAGCGCTGCCACTGAGCGATCAGACTTGAAGCACCATATCAGCATTATGCCCGACTCGAGACCGTCCTCAGCTCGACAGTCGGACTATTTCAGCGCAGAGTCGACTAGCAACAGAACTCCCAAGCTCCCCAGCCCATCGAAAGAACCTCGTTTTAGTGGCATCAAAGGCCGGCTTCAAGGCCTGAAGCAAACAATGAAGTCCTATCGGACTCAACGAGTGGGAGAATTGCGCGCAAAGTCATATACTTCTCTTCCAAATTCCTCCTGCCTATCCCAAACCCCGAACAACGACTACCGTATCCCGCTCAACGACCTATTGGAAGACGTGGGAGATCGCATCGATGAGTCTACTACGGGCGAAACGACCGACATTTCGACATTAGCCAGTTCGTCTGGCGGCCGTAGAGGCTCTGCTCCTCACAACCTGCCTTTGCGCCATTTGTACATCGAAGGTGAGCACGTCGGTGGGCTCGCACAACTACGTGCCCCTAAAATGCGTAACCCAGGCGCAGAGTCACCAACTACTGTCCGAAGCGGAAATAGTGCGCAGCGAGCATTAGCCTTGCAGCGTTCTAACAGTAGCTGTGCGATTCGTTCGCCCATTTCAGACAAATCAATGGCCCCCATAGCAAGAGACGTGCGACGCTCATCTCGTGGCCGTCCAGAGTTGAATCGTCTTACCACGACCATCCCGAATAGCACCTCAAATGCCGGGGCTGGCATTCTTGATCGAACCACGGCCTGGCTCGGTTCCCTGCCTAGGCCTGGTGGAGAGCCCCCGAGGGACATGATGTTCAATCGTAACGCTGAAGAATTTGGCCCAGTAGGACTGCTCGCAGCTGGCCAGCAAAGGAAGGATCCTACCAGCAAGATCCTGTGGCCGTGAATACACGGCCTCTGACTTGGCGCGAGATTTCGGGATATTCATTATGGCACTGTGTTATCTTTTGGAGTATTAGGGACCGGCCGGAAAAAGAACGGAAAAGCGCCTTCTTGTTGGATAGAGAGTGTTGTTGGATTGGTTTGATTTTTTTACTTGCATTGGAAAAAATTAGCTTTGGGACGGCCAGATTGTGATTATTAGCAGTATGAATACCTTTTATGCATCTATGTGTCCAATTTATAATTACACGCCGACTACCAGAGGCTCAAGACTGTTGCATTACTACATGTGTTGTGTGTTGTTGCCTTCTCTCATCACGTTAATAGAGCTTCTTCCCTAAGTAGCCAAGTAGCTTCCCGCAATATGACCGTGTCCTCAACTTCCAATTGTCTCAACAACACAACTCCATTCATGTCCGACACTCCATGCGCAGCAAGCTCAGCTCCAGGTCTTGAACCTCATAATACGTTCTACAGTATCTCCAGCTCAAGAAGCATTGTGCGCCCCGGCGCGCCATCAGATTCGCACTGATCTTCCGCCCACATCTCCCTCTCCATCACACACCACCCACCTAAACCTCCACCGACACCACCCACACGATGCACACCTCCGGCTTTTCACACACGCCCGTCTCGCGCATCCTCGTCTTCTACATCATCGCCTCCGCCCTCCTCGTCAGCCTCACCGACAACCGCCAATACATCTTCATCCTCGTCGACCGCCACCTGTGGGGCTACCACCAGTTCTGGCGCCTGCTGACCTGGCAAGCCGCATATCTGAACAGCGTCGAGGTGATATGCGCCGTATGGACGGTGTATGGGCTCAGAGTCGTGGAGAGGGGTTGGGGGAGTAGGAAGTTTATGGTACGGTTGCATGCTCACCCTCCTTTCTAACGCACCGCTCGTATCGGGTTATATTATATATAGATACTGACAACGAACTCACAGAGCTTCATCCTAACCACCCTCCCATACACAACCCTTCTCCCCCCTCTCCTCACAGCCCTCATCCTCCGCCCCCTCACTCTCAACTCAATAAACCTCCTCCCCGCCGGCCCTACACCCCTCATCTTCGCCCTCCTGGCCCAATACCACGCTTCCGTCCCCGCGACATTCAGATACCGCCTCCTCACGCGCCGGCCCCCATCCACATCCACATCCACATCCACACAACCCTCCTCCTCCCCGCCAGCATCCCTAACACTAACCTCCAAATCCCTCTCATACATCTTCCCCCTCCAACTTGCCCTCTCGCAACTCCCTGGCTCTGCGATCGCGGCGGCCGTGGGCTTTGCGGTGGGGTATGCTTGTAGGAATGAGGTGTTGCCGGGGGGGAGTTGGCGTGTGCCTGGGTGGGTTGTGGGTGAGGAGAGGAGTGTGGAGAGGGCGCGGTTTGAGGGGTTGAGGAGGAGGTTGGAGTTGGAGCGGGAGGGGGACGGGAGGGGGACTGGGAGGGATGGAGAGGCGGATGGGGATGGGGATGCGAGGAGGAGGACGCTGGGCGGGTTGGTGGCGGAGCAGTTTCGGGGTGGGGTTTAGGGGGTTGATGAAGGTGGGGAGGGGAGGGAAGAGGAGTGGTGGTGGTGTCTTGCTTGTGAGTATGCTATTGAGGTATATGTATACGTATTATTCATGCCTCTGGCATGTGTCTTGTGCATGCCAGTATGTAAAGATACACTATATTTACAAGTCGCGTCTACGAGACGCTCGCTGCTCAAAGCCTTTGTTCCTCAGGCCGAGCCGTCATGTTCGTCTGTCAGTATACCCTCTGATTACATGCTCTTTGACTGGACTGAACTGAACTGAACTGAACCGAAGGAAGTGTCCTGTTCAACCCTCCGAACGTCCCCCTTGAAGGCATATCTTCCTCGTTCTACGCACCTCTCTTCTTCCAGATTTCCATTTCGCCTCACGGACGGATATAGATCCTCTCTCCTTTGTGAAGTATTTAGTGTTTCGTACTTAGTTTTGAGTTTTGAGTTTTGAATGTGGAGTGCCATCATCGCTGCTGCTGTTGGGCATGTGTATGTCGAGCGAACGATTGATGGGTTGGGAGAATCGAATTCTTGGCTTATGGTAGTGGTGCCTATCGTGCGGTGCGTAGGTGGGTATCATGGAAGTTCGAGTTTGAGTAATACTTGTGTTAAAAGTTGTAATGCTGTCGAGTGTTGCGTTCGATGTGCTTGCTGCTGGCTCAGAGAACCAAGAGCAAGACCAGCAAGACAATCAACACGGCGATGAGCAGTCCTATACAACAACTCGACCAGCGATCTGTGTAATACACTCTGCGTCAGCCCAGTCCAGCACCACAAACTCCCCCAAAAAACCATACATACCCTCATTATGCCGAATCACCCACCCGACCCGCTCCAACCCACTCGCCAACTTCCCACCCACCCGATCAGCCACAACCTCGACCTCCTCCAACATCCCCCGCTGCTCCTCCAGCTCCCGACCCATCGAATCAGCCTGCTGCCGCAGCGTACCCACCGTGTGGAACACCGAGTCCAGCGTGCTATCCTGCGCTTGCATAATTTCTAGCTGTTGCTCTTGTTCGAAGCCTTCGTATGCGTCTCCATCTGCGTCTTCGTCCTCGCGGTCAAAGGACGACGGGTCGGGCAGGTTACTACTACTCCCTACACCACCGGTACCAGAAATCCCATCCTGCATCCCGTCGACCTCAAGCCCGACGCGCCGCACGAACTCGCGCCGTCGGGCGAGTTCATCGGGCGCGATGCCATACCGTGCGGGGGCTTGCTCGACGGCGGACACGGAGGCGAGGAGGTCGTGTAGGTCGCTGGTGAGGTCGGCGAGGTGGGACGAGAGGTCGGTGCGGGCGGAGGTGAGTTCGGGGGTTGTGGTGTTGGGGGATCGGGTGGTGGTGGTTGTGGTGAGGATGCGCTGATAGGAGGAGTAGAGGGTGCGGGTTGTGTGGAGGAGGGTGAGGAGGTCGGCGCGGGCTTGCGGGTAGGGGTCGGCTGGGGGTGGCATTGTTGTGTTTTTGGAGATGGAGATGAGGGTGAGGATGATGATGTTGGAGTGAAGATGGAGGAAAGTGGTTTGGGAGCGGGGATGTATGGATGGATACGGAGCCTCGCCCGATATTGTGTCGCGTCTTCCGGCCCGCGATAGTTAGATATTTTTTTATGGTGCGTTCGTTCCGGGTGTTGTGTTTAAGGCGAGAGTAATAACGGTCGCGAGAGCATATGCTGTGATATGACATGCCGATAGGACCAGAAAAAGCGCTGCCTCTGCCAGCAGGATTCGACGACGTGGACTCGTACGTGGACTCGTTGCTCCATTTTGGGACGTCGTCATGGCTTCTGCAAACCCTGTGCGGCGGCGTGCACATTCTCGACTTCTTCACGCGGGACCCGGACATCTACTCGCAGATCCTGCCACAGGATTGGCGGGACTGGTTCGAGAAGCAGGAGGACATCATGCCGATTCTGGATCTCTTGATGCGTGATGACCTGGGTGTGCATCTTCAGTCTGCGAGTGGTTGTGATGGTGGGGAGAACGTGAAGACTTGTTGGCAAGGGGGCCCACCGCCGGCGTCGCTTGTCGAGTATATCGCTGATGTGCGTCGACATCTCCTGGACCGCCGGTTTGAGCCCTTGCAAGCACCACCGCCTACGAAGCCGGATGTCAGAATGCACAAGCATGGCATAACCCTGCAGATCGCGGTCGGCATGAAAGACAAGAAAGTCCACGAGGTCGACAATTTTGCTAGATATGTGGACAGACTGACTGCGGATATTGCCGCGAGTAAGTCGCGCAACATCACGCATCTTGTCGACTTTGGATCGGGGCAGAACTATCTCGGCAGGGCGCTGGCGAGCGAGCCGTATAACAAGCATCTGATTGCGGTAGAGAGTAAGCCGCATAATATCGAGGGCTCAAAGATCAAGGATATGCGCGCGCAGAGGTCGAGGAAGCCGGTCGTTATTGTGAACAAGAAAGCTCACCGCACCGAGCGCTATGGTTTGAACGCGAGGAATGGCTACAAGAAAGGGGAGACTCCGAAGCCATTGCGTGAAGGTCTTGCAGAGAGTGCTTCCCCGATAACTGAACCTACTCCAAATGTCGCTCCAGAGCACGCAAAGATGTACAAGGAGGCCTCAGACAGGGGGCAATCAGCAACAGATTTGACAAGGGGGCCGGTGAGGGCAAAGTTGGACATCCCGCAGGAGGGCAAGGGCACGACGCAGTATGTCGCGCACAGGATAGAGGATGGAGATCTGTCTGTGGTGATAGACCAAATCGTAGACACTGACCAGCTTCCTGATGCCACCAAAGACATGTCCTCTCTCGCGATCACAGATTCCATCTTAGCAGAGACCAAGGCCCAAGAACCCAACCTCATGACAATATCCCTCCACTCGTGCGGAAACCTGCTCCATCATGGCCTCCGCACCCTGACCCTCAACCCGAAAGTCAGCGCTGTCTGCATGATCGGCTGCTGCTACAACCTCGTTACAGAACGCCTCAGTCCTCCCTCATACAAACTCCCTTCCCTTCGATCCAACCATCCTCGCCTCATCTCGACATCAAATGCACGCGATCCCCACGGTTTCCCCATGTCAACCCGCCTCGCAACCTACAAAATGCCTCCCCTTGACCTCCCCAAACACATCCTCACCAACCCCGCCATGACAGACGGCATCGACGACATATCTTCCCTTCCCCGCGGCGAAGGCATAAACCTCAACATCACCGCACGTATGATGGCCGTGCAAGCCCCTCAAAATTGGGGCCCTGCCGACAGCGACGCCTTCTTCACCCGCCACTTCTACAGAGCCCTCCTACAACGTATCTTCCTCGACCTAGACCTGATTCCGGCCCCGATACCAACAGCATACACAATGTGCTTTTCCAAGGACACACCCGCGCACGACCGCGCTTCGCAGAATCGTCCGCCGCGCTCACCCGCGGGCAGCGGCAGCGGCGGCGACCCCATCATCATCGGCACGCTCAAAAAGGCAGCATATGCGTCCTTTGTCAGCTACGTGCGTGCGGCAGGTGAGAAGTTGGCCGGCACGCTGACGGCGTACGACCACCACTCGGCGCCCAACCCGGCGATCGCAACTGGTCTGGCAGCACTGACGGACGAGGCGATTCTGGATTACGAGCGGCGGTATGCGCATCGCAAGCGGCAGCTGAGCGTGGTGTGGTCGCTGATGGCGTATTCGGCGGGGGTGGTGGAGGCGATTATGGTGGTGGATCGCTGGGCTTGGTTGCGGGAGCAGGAGTGTGTTGGGGAGGCGTGGGTGGTGCCTGTGTTTGATTATGCGCTGAGTCCGCGCAATTTGTGTGTTGTTGGGGTGAAGAAGTAGCTTGGTATGGTGTGCATGCGTACGTGCATCTGGCAGCTGGGTTGTAGGATCTGTCGTCTACGTCTGGGGGTTCTTGTCGCGTTCATCACCATACGTTTCACTGGCAACCATACATACATACACGGCCTAGGCATGATATTGATATCTAGCGGGTACGGCATCGGATGTACGCCCACGCCTCTCCCACTTACTCGGGATGATACCTCTCACACACTGCAGTCTCGAAATACGCACTTCCTTCGCAAGTCCTTGTCGCTCCAATCGCCCCGTCCGTCATACCACCCCGCGTGATGAACCGAAGACGACGCTCCACAGCCTTGCCCTCCACCTCCCACTCGTATGTAATCCAGCCACACGAAGTGAAATAGCTAGCGTCTTCTCCGTCCCATAATCACGATCAACGCCAAACTCTATCTATCTACGACAACTCCAGCAGCAGTCCCGGCTGGCAACGACCGTCTCGAGCCCTTCTGGTATAAACAAAGAAGATTCTCCATTGTATTCTAGTATCGAGCCCCTCTTCGACGCAGTTCGGGGTGTGTTATCGACATTGGCGTCATTCCGAAGGCTATCAGCGCCTTTGAGGATGAATGAATCGTTATAATTTCAAGACGAATCGACACCCATCCGGACTGTACATATTGTGGCACCGGGCAAATAGTCTCTAAACTCGACGAGCTCCTGGTATTTCCAGGGTAGCCTCTGTTGAGGAATACAGTATGTAGAGCACGCAAGCAACAGGCAAGGAACGGCAGTACTCTGTCTACTGCGTGGTAATGGCTGGTCTGATAATAATCACTTGTTGTCTCAGTGTCAAGTTGTCGATGTACCTGCGCGATAATGCCATGATAGCTATAACATTGCAGCTCGTTACCCACGCCACCCGCACCCCCTTGCATAGACAGATGCCGGTAAAGCAGGCGCATAGGAGAGCACTTAGGAGACCGCTCGCTGTCGATGGGTTTCAGGTTTCCGTAAGGGATGATGGAAGTGATAGCTCTTAGGGTTGATCCGCGCAGGCTCCGGAAGTCCGGGTCACATGCCGGCAGGATGTATGAAACGGAGCTTGTCCCCATCGGGATAACGGCTCGGCAGCGCTTTGAGTTGCGTCTCTTCGACCTTCCATTACCATAAATCCTTGTTCTCTGCTGTCTCAATTTACTTCATCGGCCATCGAGCCTCCTTCCGCTGTTCTCTGTACACAGCCCCCGAGTACAGGCTTCATCCTGTCTCGTTCGAGCGCTCTCAGCCATCGTCTCATTCGTCTACCATCGCCGCAAAATCTTCTTTCCAGCCCGTCTATCGTATCACTTTCGAATCGTTCTTCGGTCATGAAACGGAGACTTCCTACTTCTCATTGGTGTCTACGGTTTCCATCAGGACCTGATTAGGATCCAGCTATAGTCGAAATCACTGTCTGTTATATGTCCAGTCAAGTTGGCTTCTTTGTGGATTGCGACAAGTCACTTATGTGTTCAGAAAGTGGCGTTCCCAGTCCACTTTTCTCCACTCCTGTTTTCTTTACATATATCCACGCCTGGTGCCAGGATGTCGTTGTCTTCCCTTCACGCGTTTTCCTCACATATCGACGCCGCAGGGCTGGACACAGCCATCGATGCCAGCTTTCTTTGGCCGACGAGCGAGGATGATGATGATGCAACAACGCTATCAGAGTCTGGACGTTATTATCTGCCTGCAACAGTCACCACCCAATGATTCGGCAGCCTAAACAATGGTTGACCTTGAACAAGTCACTACGGCTCGCCCAACTCCTCTAGCAGTACTGAGTCAGTGGGATAGCAGATCAAGTTGCGAGGTCCCAATATACAGCAAGAAGGAACAAACACGGGAATAAGTACACCCGGGCTGTTTCAAGGCCTGTCCAGTGCCACACAGCATCAGCCTTGTATATCTTGTACGATCCATAAGAGACAAGATCCAAGCGACCCCTCAGGCTTTCTCCGGCAGCTATTAGATCGAGTGGCATCTCACTTTCTAGCTTGAGTAGTCGCGCCATGAGTAAGTCTCTATTTTATCTAGACATATATATATCTATATATATACACACTTCCGCTACTTCAGCCCCAATCTGATTATTATGTTATCCTATATTACCCTTCTCCCTTGATGGCATTTCGTCCCGTGCAAACTGCTCATCATTGTCCGAAGTTTCCTCAGCACTCGGTCCGACTACAATCATCAGTCGACAATGCTATCGAGTCCCCTTGTCGTTTGGTTCCTCCTTGCCTACTACACTAGCTTAGCTTATGGCGAGTCCCTCAAAGAAAGCGATCTGACGGCAGAATCGTCTAGTCGTCCGTTCTCAACCTTGACCATCTCTCTATCAGGTCAAGGTGTGTGGCCAATCGACCAACAAGCAGCCAGCGGATATTCGGAATCGTCGAGCTCAGACAGCTCTTCTTCAGACGACAGTACTCCTTACTCCAAGACGCCTGTTACCCCGCCGTCGACCATCTCATCGCCATTCACCCAGGATATCGGCCCTTCTTCTTCTTCGTCGTCGTCTTCTTATTATTCTCCTTCTCCTCCTCCTTCTCCTCCTCCTTCTCCTCCTCCTTCTCCTCCTTCTTCTTCTTCTCCTTCTCTTTCTTCTTCTCCTCCCTCTCCTTCTTCTCCTTCCCCTTCTTTTCCTCTCCCTTCTTCTTCTCCGTCTTCCTTTTCCAGCTTTGACACACTATCGTCGAATTCTCTGGTAGCCGAAAGCTCATGCTGCATTACTACCGGTGTAAGTTCTACATCAGCGATGCCATCCACCGCCAGTTCGTCAGCACGCGTAGCAGGGTCATCTTTTGGCAATAGCCCTGAGGAGACATCACAAGCTTTGGGTGGCGCCTATAGTTCCACCAGGATAGTGGACGGGGTCCCGACTATGGTGGAAGGTACCAGCACGGCACCCGACATAACTCCTCCTCCTGCTGTCCCTAGTGGGCCATTACCGTGGGGTCGAGTCGCTATTCCTATCGAAGTTGAGATTGACGGCATCAAGTACATGCTTCCCATCAATCAGAGTCAAAAGTTTGACCACATTAACAAAGACAACAAAGTTATGCTTTTAGAGCTCTCCCACGATGAAGTCAAGATCACTACGGATCCGGAGGATGGTCCTCAGAAAAGAGAAACAACCGCTATCTACTCCATTCCGCAGGATATTGGGGATGGAGACGTCTCTATCAATCCAAAGAGCGGTAGTGGGCCTACAATCAAGGCTCACCGGGGCCACAAGTCCAATAAGCACAAGAGTTCTCTCTTCGATGCACTCAAGTCGCTCACGGACACGGTTGGCAAGGTTGTGAGTAATGCAAACAGCGTGGTGGACTCTGCAAAAAAGTTGATTGAGGACGATTTCAAAACCCCAAGTCTACAAGACCAGGCGCTGACGTCGATCGATGAGCTCATCCAAAATGCCGTAAATTTTGCAGAGGACACAAGTCAAATGGCAAGTGATGCGAGTTTCGAATTGGTTGAACTGGGAACCATGAACGCTCCAGCTACCAAAGCATTCAACGCCTACGAGGGGAGCACATGTATACTCAACCAGCTCCGTCCAGTCCAGAACATCATGAAGATTTTAAAAGGTACGCCTGGAAACCCGGCCGCGCTGGATATATTTAAACATATCCTCAGGCGCACGGTGACAAAGCCTGTGGCAGGATTGCTGGTATTGAGCGGGTCTATCGCCCTATTACATCCCTTGGCCACACAGACGTACGATGACACAATTCCACTCTCAAATATGGTGGGTAGCTCAAGCTATACATCTTCAGCCGCTACCTCGACCGCCAAGCCTACGGGGAAACGATCTCTGCACACCATCTTCACGAAGGACGGAACTCCTTATGAAACCTATAAGGCTTTCCTTGAGGGACTTCCGGACACTGTGCAGGTCAGCACGGACCAAAGTGAATTTCCTGATCCGCAGTGGCAGGTCTTGGTCATTAGTCTTACAGATCAGGAAGCCAAAGATATTGCAGGCCATCCAATCATACAGTTGCTAGTAAAAAAAACAGACCATATCGACGACCCAGTAATGGACGACTTCGCGGACTTCTCGGCGGACTTCTCGGGTCCCGACCTCTCACAGCTAAATAAACGAGCTCCTCCACTGCGCCCGCTTCTTCCTAACACGATGCTGAGGAGGTCCTCTGCGCCCAATCATCTCAAGATGCTTGCCCAAAAACAGCCAGGAGACTTGAACAATCCCGGCTATCTATACGACAACCAGCTCGGCCTGGGAACCAACGTGTACGTATTAGATTCAGGGTTTGATTATAATCATCCGGAATTTGCCCAGGGTGATCGAGATGAGAAGCCCAAGTTCATGGTCGTGCCGAACCGCTATGCCCTTGGTGTCATACCCGGCGCGAACGCCAAAAGGCAACGCTGGGCCCCCGAAGACTTGCGTGACTGGCTCATTGTCACTACCGAGCCACGATACCCGGGTGATGAGGTTGGATATCAGGGCCACGGCACCGGTATGGCAGCGGGTGCAGCAGGTCTGCTCTTAGGAGTAGCGCCCCGAGCGAACCTATACTGTATCAAAATATCGAATGCCATTCTAGATGACTTTGATAACGTACCCGGTGTTCGTAGGGGTATTTATTACAAGGCGGCATCTATACAGGCTGAAGCCCTCAACTATGCCCTTGAAAGAGTTCTCAATAATGTATTGGCCACTGGTAAACAAGGAAAGGCAGTCATCAGCCTTTCCGCATTCACTGTACGATTCCACACGAACTCAGGACCGAATGTACGACAGAGACAGCTGTATGAGAAGCTATGGAACCATTGGACGCCGCTGCTCGAACGTCATGAAATCTTGTTAGTCGGAGCGGCATCAAACGGAGGATTGAATCCGGACCCCAGAAAACAATACGTCGAAAATTATCTGCCTCCGGGGGCCGAGAGGGTCAATAATGCTATACTAACGGTCGGTGCGGTCGATCTCACTGGCAAGTATGCGAGTTTCACTTCCAGGGCGAGACCCGGTGGCTTGGCGCAGGTTCGGATCCATGGTCCGGGCAGAAACGTACCATATGCACGATCGGTCATGCGCTTAGATTCCTCGATCGCTCGACTCGTAGATGAAACAAGCGGAACGAGTATTGCAACGGCTTTGATCAGCGGACTGGTGGCGTACTACATGTCTCTGCCGAGTGTGTACCATACCCTCAAGAGCAATACGGCCGATCCACGGTCCATGGCCGTAAAGTGGAAGCACTATCTACTTGATCATGCACATGAGCTGCTGACGGATCCCAACAATAAGTTCACTTATCCGCCGCCTCCCGTACCCCAGGATGTTGATTATCCAATCCTGGTAGGGTACAACGGGGCTGCGAGCTTCGTCTGTAGTTTCATAGGTGGACCCCTCAGGGGTATACCCAAGAAGCGCCAACTCGATCACACGTTCAGCAGCTTTCACGGGTCTTCTCTGGCTGGGGAGTTGGATCAAGCTGACTCATGGGAGAATGTGAGGAGAGAGTGAGTCTTTTATTTTGTTACCACAAGACGTCGTCGTCGTCGTCGTCGTCATCATCATCATCATTCGTAGCCTGTTTAACAGAGCCTTTCTGCTGACGCGCGTTCGTTGCAGTGACATCAGCACGACGATCACCATTGAGGATGGGGTGATCAAGAACCCAGAAGCCATCGACTGGCCGCTACAGTGCGACAGGACTGAAACCGGCACCATGTCCATGTCTCCGGCTTCGACCGGGTCAAGAACACAAGTGTCGACAACAGCCATGATGTCTCACGGTGCATCGGCTTCTTCACCTTCCAAGTCTCCGTCATCCGGCATCACAACGATGGTGACCCCCGTAGCGTCCAGCGGAAGTAAGCTGTCGTCCGGAGCATCCAGTGCAAGCAAGATGTCGTCGTCCGGCGGCGCGACAAGCAACCCTTCCACCAAGAAGAAAACCACAGCCTCACCCACGCTCTCCACTCCCACCCCGACCGAACCCTCCCCATCATCCGAACAGGAAACCCCAACCATAAACCCAACCCCAGTCGTCACCCACTGCGAACCCAAAGTCAACTGCGCCGCCGAAGTCCAATACCACTTCCTCACCGACGCCGCAGACGACATCTGCGACCACGACCTCGCGCGCGAGAACCCGCTCTTCAACCCAACCTCCAAACCCATCACCCGAACCGTCACCGACCCAGACACAAGCATGACCTTCAACATCACCGTCTCCTGGATCCCCGGCTGCACGGCCGAGAAGGCCCACTTCCACGACTCCATCGACTGCTCCCGCGCCCTCCTCGCCCCCTACAACCTCTGCCTCGCCGGCGCAGACGACAACAACGTCGGCGGCTCCGCCACCTCCGGCTGCGTCCGCTACGACGTCGCCGTAGACTGCACCCCCGACGTCCCCCGCTTCATGCCCACCTGCAAGCCCTCCCTGAACTGCCCAGGCGGCATCAACATAGCCAGGGGCTGGTGGCAGGACTCGCGCGCGGCATGGTGCGACGACATCAAGGGCACCCGCATGCACCCGGGCGACCCGCCCTGGTTCCGCCGCTACGCCAAGCTCGGCGGCGAGTACCAGATTGTCTTCCGCGCCGACTGGGTCAAGGGCTGTCGCCTGCTCGAGAGCCAGCCGATCAGCGAGACGACCAACCCGGACTCGCTGTACGGCCACGTGAATCTGTGCGAGAAGATGCTGGATGCGGCGGACGAGGAGTGTTCTGACGGGAATGATTTTGCTGGGTTTACGATGCTGGATCGTTGTGTCAGGGTGGAGATGATGGGCAAGTGCTGTTACGGCAAGGAGCAGTGTGAGAAGGGCGATCCGCTGTATGGGAAGGAGGAGCCGGATTAGGATGGGGATGCGATATATTAGGTTGGGGTGAGACCTTGGGGCTTGTTTGGAGGATTGTTAGGAGCCTGTTTTGCTTAAGTTGGACGGATGGATAGGGACGCTCGTTTCTTTGCACATTCTTACCCTCTCTCGCGGTCGGCTGTAAAGTAGCAGTTTTTGTATTTCGAAATCTCAGTAGGCACGCACTCTCACACACACTCACACACACTCACACACACTCACACACACTCACACACATCTATTATACCTATCTATACCTACACCTCTCCTCTCCTCTCCTCTCCTCTCCTCTCCTCCCTTCTCCTCTCCCCTATATACATAAATACATACATACCCACCCACCCCCCAACTCACCCACCAACTCACCAACCGACAAAGCACCACAAAGCACCCCAAACCAAACCCAACCCACGTCCACCACACCATACATAGACCGAGACCAGACACACACCGCCAAGAAAACAAAGTCGCCATCACATCGTAGTAGCATAAGTATGTATAGATAGATATAGATGTAGCCAAGTATAGCCAGCTATAGCCAAGCATAGTCAAGCATAACCACCCAGCTATAGCCAGCTATACCACCCACATATCCCACCAACCAACCAACCACCCAGCTCTATATATAGAAAAGTATAGTAAGTAGTAGTAGTAAATAGGGATAAAGCTCGTCTATGATTATATAATATACCCATACCCATACCCATACCCATCCATCCATCCATCCATCGACGCGTAATATAGTTAGTAGTATATATATACATATAAAAATCTACTTTGTAAATATACTAGCTAGATATATATATATATATATACAAGAAACAGGCTAGCTACTACGTACGACGTGGTTAGATGTAGATAGATATAGGTGGGATACGGCGGCCAAGTGTGCTTAGTCAATCAAGTATATATAAGAAAGTGGGATAGAAGATCGAAACTGTATATATATGTCTACTTACCTACTTACCTACTATGATATAATAGGTATACCGGACTTATACTATGCTATACTTGATAGACAAGGACCAGGTCAGCCATCACGACAGCACCGCACAACGACACGACAGGGCAGACAGCAAGGACAGACGTCGTCGTGAATCAGGAACTTTTTGCTATTAAACTACAGTTCGTACGCTACGTACGAGGTACCTATGGTGCGTTACAACACCGCGTAACCAAACCGCCTTCTACCCATTACCCCCTAGCGGACCGCGCAAAACACACCCCAGTCAACACCAAGACCGTGTTGCGCTCCGAGGAGCGAGAAGCGGTCGACGCCAGGCTCCGAATTCGCCAGCCAGCAACGGCAACATGTTATGCAAAAGAGAGAACAAGCGGGAGTGCCACGCCGCCTCAGTCACGGAGCCAGGCGCGACGCTTCTCCTCCTTCTTGGCCTTGCGCTTCTCCTTGAATGCCTTGACTTCCTCCTTTGTTAGTCTCTTGTTTGCCCGCTCGGCGCGCAGACTGCGGCCATCATGAGCGTTTGCGGCAGCCTCAGCATCAAAGTAGGCCTGTTGCTGGCGCTTGCTCTTGGCCTCGTCGTTGTAGTTCTCCGGGTTGAGGTCGGCGCGCTGCCACTTGCCGGTGAAGCGGTTGAAGCGGCCAGTCGCGGCGTAGGCGGCAGCAGGGTCAGCACCAGCAGCGATGGCGGCTTGTACGTCGGCTTCACGCTCGCGCACGGCGGCCTCTTCGGCGTCAGCCTTGGCATAATCGGCGTTGGGGTCGTAGGAGCCATGGATAGCTGGGTTGTAGCGAGGGCGGTCGGGCTCCGGAGAGGCGGCAGAAGAGGTTGCGACATCTGTGCCAGGCGCGCCGGCATAGCCCTTGTAGTTGGCATTTACGACAGTGGTCGAGGCCTCTGGCACGCGAGGGTTCTCCCACTGATTGACGCCGGTGAAGCGGTTGTGGTAGTACCAGGCGCCGGCATTGTAGTCCCAGGCAGCTTCCCAGCCATCATCCTCTTGAGGCGGTGCTTCCTCAGGGAGTGGTGGCGGTGCGTCTTCAGCAGGGAGAGGAGGATTCACAGCAGCTGGGACAGGTTCCTCGGGCAGAGGAGGACCATCTGACGACGACGACGACGAGGTCTTGTCGATCTTTTCGATCTTGTCGTCCCTGACAACTACATCTGGAGCTGTCGCAGAGGTCTTCTCGGCCGTGTCGACATCAGGCGCGATCACAGAGGTCTTCTCGTCCTCGTTGACATCTGGCGGAGCTGCAGTGCCAGAGACGAGCTCGGCGTCAGCACCAGCAGGCGACTTGGCCATGTCGAACGTTCTAGGGACGAGTTAATACATTGCTAGCAACATATGCTCGACACTGCCGTGCCATGATCTACCGTATGTATATAGTGTGAATGATAGGTTGCAGTCAATGAATGTGCGTAGGTTGACACGCGCGGTGTGTGTGGTGTGGAGGTTTGGAGGATCGAGGCTGAACGGAGTTGAACGTGGGCGAGTCCGTTGTGCGAGGGCGCTAGCGTGCCAAGAGTCACGAGACATGACCGATCCGGGCGTGTTGTCATGGGCACAATCTGCACAAATACATTCAATAACAATACACATTATGATGTCACAAGTAACTCTGTAGTATCTGATAAGATTGTGTTGTCGTAGAAATGTTTGTTAGTTATCGAGGACCACGTGACTCCATCCATGATGATGATGGCCCAAACGCCCGCAAACGCCAATAATGTCCTCCATATAAGCACCAAATGCCACAGTGAGCATGTATATTCCCAACGCCGAAGCCTCTGAGCATGCTCGCTGAAAACAAGAAGAAAATTCGGGCCCATCGTCATCAAGACGCATGAAGCACCAAAAACGTACGGACACGACTACGACGTGTTACGACAGGGATGGATCGATGCACATCATCAATCGATCACAGCTCAGACTCGGTAGAGCCCGACGTCTGCGTCTGGAGCGAGGGCTGCGACGGCACGCCGTCATTCTCGGATCGTCTCCGTGCAGACTGGGTTGCAATCTCCATCTGCTCCTTTGTGTGCTTGTGCATTACGCTATTGTGCACGGTTAGCCAAAAGAAGAGACGAGTGCATGTCATATATGACGTGACGTACCGAGAGTAGCGCGACATGGCAGTGTGCGGATCCGAGAGGTCATACTGGTTGTTGAAGTTGTGCTGGGCAGTCATGGGCTCGGAGAAGCTGCCGTTGACGTAGACTGAGTTTTGGCCTTGAGGCATTGTGAAGGTGTTTGATATGAGGGATTGTTGATGGTGTGGGATATGTGAGATGAGTGAGTGAGTGAGTACTGTATCGATCGGCCCGGTAAAGAAGAGTGTGATTGAGTGAACTCTGGTGGAGGGATGGTGGATACAGGGAATGAAGAAGGAAGATATGGGATTGTAGCAAGTATATATCTGAGAATGGTGGGAAAGCTGGTAGAAGCTGGTTAGCTGGATCAGAAAACACGGGCGTGGGCAGGACGATCAAATATCAAGCTGCTGCATACTACATACATCCATACACAACTGAAAGGCATGGAAAGAATGGATATGGAGTAAGCAACAGGGCCCCACGATTCACGGCTCTGGAGATTGAGCCAGCAATCGCAGACTTCCCATTGGCTGAAAGTCGTGCTGAGAGTGCTGACTCGACCGCACTAGTCGGGATGTAGCTGCCTACTTAGCGGCGAACGTAGGGATGCGCCGGATGAGGCAGGACCCTGCAGATCTTTGGGCGTTTTGGCGCCACCACAAGGCAGGAACGACGTCGCGCCAAGCAGCCACCGCGCAGACCTCAGAACGTACACCGCAGATCCCAGAACGTAGGACGTAATTGCTGCCTCCTAAGGCTCGCCATCCTCTCTCTACCCATCTCATCCTGCATACATATACGGACTACCGCTTCATCTAGGCCGGCCACCACTAAAGCTCTTTTGAGAAGAAACCTACGCTACTGTATTCCTTTCATGCAGGAACGGACGGACGTTTTGTCGTGCTCGAGTCAGCTCGTTTGGCGGCGTATGGCATGGCCTGTCTTGGATGATAGGAAAACAAGACTAACCATCATCATCATCATCATCATCATCATCATCGTCATCTTCCATCACCAGCATGCTTGGTACAACACTGCGTCATGAGCAATATATGCACGCACGTCTTGCCAGCTAGCCAGCCGCATCAATCCTACACTGGATGCTCGCGGCGACCCCTAGGCCGTCAAGTATCTAGCAGCAGCAAGTATATGTATCACACAGTTCATAGCCCTGGTCACATTCATACCTAGCCATAGCCATACCCAGCCATCGCAATAGTGCATACAAGCCAGGGCCCATGGGAATTTCAAAGATTTCGATTGCACAGGGGATAGATTACGCGAAGGAGGCGGAGGAGGCGGACGGTGGAGCCAATCGTCGCTCGTCATCTCCCAATCTTGCGTTTTGCACTTCTGCGTTCTGCGTCATACCCGTATGCAGGGTCTTGCAGGGGGGTGTGTGTTAGTGTGTATACCTAGGAGGTGTGTGTGTGTGTGTGGATGCATCCTATATCTCCCTCTCAGGCACCTACTTCATCACTCCGCAGAGCTAATTAGTTATTGAAGCACTAATTGATTATCCCGTCAATCTATCTCTCAATGAACATCATGGCGCTGCCCGGTCCGTCATGAATTATACACACACACACAGTCCACACAGCAATACAGCAAAACAAAAACAAACCTCCCCATACGCGCCCGGACCATCTTCCCTACGTCATGGATGCAAGCGACCTTTTTGTCCGTGCCGTCTCCATGAGGTCAGTCTCAGTCTCAGTCAGTCAGGCAGTGATTACTAAGTAGGTAGTGGATCGTTACCCATCTACGTATTTGCGCGGTCATTCTACTTGTCTAGGCAGTTATCTGCCTGCTCCGTGCAAAAGTTCTACCGTCTACGTATCTTGCGTATATACAAACATACATCATAATCCCCATAATAACAAACCCACGCACGCACGTCCACATGGCAAATGACAAGCACGCACATGGTGGTATATAGTCAGAGCACGCAGAGCTCCAGTCATAGTCATACACCCGTCCGTCATCTCATCGCATCTACACTATGCTATGCGTTCATGCCCCCCATATTTAAACGATATTCCCCGTCTTCCCCTACTTACTTTATTCCCCGTATACGCCATTCCCCACCCTATGACGCTGTTCTACCAGGCATGACGTTCTAACCAGCGCCCCCCTTCCCCCCGCCCGATCAGGAAACTTTGATGAAGACAGATAGATAGATAGCAAAGGGCGTATCTATACATTCATCAGGACCAAAGCACAACACTGCCGCACGCGACATCCACCCTCTCCTTACACATAATAGTTCCAAGTTCGGTCAAGCCAAAGCAACGCACAGCAAAGTAGAGTAAAACAAAGTCCAGCTGGGATTCTTCTTGTATGTCATTTGCTGTCTATCTACACGACTAGCACTGCGCGCGAAATATGAGTCAGTCAGTCGCGCTTTACTACTGCGACTGGCCCAACAGGCCCATCCATACATCCATCCATCCATACATCCATACATACATCCATACATACATCCATACATACATCCATACATACATCCATACATACATCCATACATACATCCATACATACATCCAT